CTGTTATGATGTGCTCTATTTATTTATTATTTTGATTTATGTTTGGATTAGATATTATCCCTAATTATTTTCAACAATTCCAATTACCTTCATTTCCATCTTTTTTTCATCTGCTTCAAATGCACCAGGCCGGCTGGATCCTTGGGCTAGTCATGTCCGTAGACCCACTCGCTGATCTTGACCTTCTGTTGGGCTGCGAACCTTGAGGATTTGGGCTGCACTTGTGTTGGGTCGGTTCAATTAATTTTGAGCGTGTATAAAAACAAAACTTACGAGATTGAATTAATTATCCAATCGAAATATTTATTTTTATTTTTATCTATAATATATATGAAAAGTCGAAATCAAATTGGGGAATAAAGTTTCAATCTTAGGCAATGATGCCTCTGCCACTTTACGTATTTGATTTGCCTAATTGCAATCAATTTTTCATTACATAGATAATTACGAATTAATTAATTAATTAATGATACAGCAAGCATATCTGGTTCTGGGGTCCAGGCGCTTTCAAGAAATGGCGAGGCCACGTGCAAATGATAGGAATGTCGCTTCCGCGCCACTGATGCACGATGATAATGATTTCCCACCGTTTATTCCACTCTGTGGGCCCCATTCAAATTTTATGACCAAACAGAAAATATAAAAGAACCAACAAATTTTAATTGGTGATTGTGGGCATATTTAGGATACGAATTATCATTTATTATAAAATAATTTTAAATTATTAATTGGTCATTTATTTATAATTCAACTTACTCATTGTTGATTTGATAAGTTACATTGACATTAAGAGAAAAAATTGATAATTGTAAAATAAATTACATAAAAATACCTTTTTTTATTTTTATTTTTGATATATATATATATTTTAATTTTTCGAACATGTTAAAATGAATTTTAATTTCAAAAAAATATGCATTTACAACGAATTATAAATTAATCATGTGATTATTTTTGTTACGCTGCTAGTAGATTAACTAGATCATATATATATATATATAGATGTAGAAAATGCAACAATTAAAATTTATACCATTGAATAAATGCACACCTGAAGCATAATAGACCTCTAGATTCTAAACATAAAAAACTATTGAAAAAAATAGAAACAAATGGAAAAGGGTGATAAATTGAATGTTAATTAAAATTCTAAGTACTTTATATTAGTTTCTAATATATATATATAAATATTAAGTTTGAGGGGTTAATTTGAATTTTAATAATATTTGAATTTAATATTTTATAAGAAAAAAAATATTTGTATTAAAAATGAAACAAATATTATTGATTTTATTTGAAACACAAACAAAAATACACCTCTTATATTGGCTTATTATATATTACATCGGTCCGTCTAATAAGTAACATACTTTTGGCGTAGAATAGATAGTTAAAAGTAGTGTAAAAATAATTTTAATTTTTTTATTATTTTAATAAAATAATTACTTTATAATTAAATAAATTAAAATAAAAATATATATACATTTTGACTGAACCACTGAGTGTAACAAAAACAAATTTGTATTAAAGAAAATTTTATTTATGATGTGTTTGTTCGGGGGTTTGAATTTTGAGTTGAGATTTGAATAGTAAAAATTTTGAATTTGAATAGTTGTATGATGTGATATAAATAAGTGTTGATGTGATATTTTGAATGTAAAATTGATTTTTAGTATAATATAAAAAATAAAAAATAGATATTTGATTTGATATTTTTTGGGAAAAAATGGGATGAATAATAAAATTTTTGTAAAATCTTACAAACGAACACACCCTAGGCCTGGGTGTGTTTGTTTGGGGGATTGGATTAGATTTATACTATTCATCCAATTTTTTTCTCCAAAAAATATCAAATCAAACACCTATTTTTTATTTTTTATATTATACTAAAAATCAATTTTACATTCAAAATATCACATCAACACCTATTTATATCACATCATACAACTATTCAAATTCAAAATTTTTACTATTCAAATCCCAACTCAAAATCCAAAGCCCCGAACAAACACACCCTAATCACAAAACTAGGGGCCTTGCAAATATCGTGATTGATGGTAACTAATTTCCACATTTCGGAAAATGCTACCATATTATTGTCCCAAAATTTGAAATAAAATAAAAATAAATAAAATTGAGGAATCATTATTGAACAAAAAATAAAATGTTGACTTCGTGTCTGGAGGTTCAAAATTCCTTAAAGTGGGCCCTCCCATCCCATGCATGTTCTCACAGTACGTACGTAATGCTAAACGACATTAATACTATGACTTGTCCTATAGTAACACTGTTAGGGTGACGTTTGTCTGGGGGTTGGATTAGATTTTCACTATTCATCCCATTTTTATCCTCCAAAAATATTAAATTAAATATTTATTTTTTATTTTTTATATTATACTAAAAATCAATTTTACATTCAAAACATCACATCAACACCTATTTATATTACATCATACAACTATTCAAATTCAAAATTTTTACTATTCAAATCCCAACTTAAAATTCAAACCCCCGAACAAACACACCCTTAGAGATATTATTATTACTATACATGATAGTTATTAATTAATTATATTATTTCCTAACTCACTTGCATAAAAAAAATTAAATATATATATATAAATGCAGAGTATGTATATATACACACTGTACTAAATGCATTGTAACGTGGACGTTGGCAGGTGTATGTTGAACATTGATGAATCTGCATAGTCATGAGATTTTATTTTCGATTTTATTAATTTTTTTTTTTTTATTATAGTATTACATTAAAAATTAAAGTTTATATTAAAAATATTATATTAATATATATTTATATCAGATTAGATAATTATTTTAATTTAAAATTTAATGAATTTCAATGAAGTCTATGTAGTACTGTAGTAGCTAGCAAGTAGTAACGCATGCACGCTCCGTTCTTTATTTATGATAAAAATAAATAAATAAATAAAAAGTAGCATTGCATGCATGTATACACATACATACATCCGTATGGTCATGGTGGATTCTTCGAGTATGTGGGAAATTGTAGCAACACTTCCCAATACAGATAAAGATATATATATATATATATTCTATGGGATCGTTTGTTTTAAAAATAAACCCTATTCTCCTATCTCCGCATATACAGTGTATATATGTATAAAATACTTTCATTCGTTCTAATAAAATAGTTTTATTTATCATTTTTGTTCATTTTAAAATAATAGTCTTATTTTCATAAATAATCATATCACCGTAAAACTATCCATATTTTTTCATTTTTATTACACAATTGCCACTATTTTTTACACTAATACACTCACAAAGGCAAAAAAAAAAGGTATTTTATCTATACTTTTTATCTACTACCAATATAATATCAATATTCCTTAAATCTTGTATCCAACCCAATTAAAACTATATTTATGAAACGGAGAGAGTATTACTTTATATATACACAATGTGTGTATGAGACAGTGGAACAGAATCATATCTGAGACAAACGATCGCGTCCGATATATATATATATATATAGATACACACAAATTATTATTATTATTATTATTATTATTATCATTATTATTGTTACACATATAATCGATCTCTCTTTAGAGAGGGAAAAAGTGTGTGCATTTTCAAGTTTAGGGGATCCTTTATTTTCAACTTTATTTTGGGGAAAATTGATAAAGTAGATAGGAAAATTAGAAGATGCCACCGAAAAGCATTGGGACATGTCATCATGAAAGCAAGAAAATTTTCACCCCTTTGATTGGACTACCCAACCACACCCCCACCCCACCCCACATCTACACTATTATATGATGATATATATATATATATGTATATATGTATATAGACACACATACGTGTATATACCCATATAAATATCTAATTATGTTACAAATTTGAGAATAGATACTAAAAGATAATAATATAAAAATATGATAGATAAAATATAAAATTAGAGTATTATAGAAAATTTATTAAAGTGTTGACAATAATGCAGTAAAGAAATTAGAAAAATAGTGACAAATTAATTATTATTTTTTAAACTTAAAATCATATAATTATAAATGGATAAAATTATTTATTATAAATGAATTATGCGACAGTCAAAATAAAAAAAAAAATTACATAATTATTTCGTATTTTTGTTTAATTTGAAATTTCATTTATTTATTTTAGTCGGAAAGGGCTTTATTGGTTTTGATTTGAATTGAGTTTTTATTTAAATACAAGTTTAAATCGAATTTTGAATGATATTATATTTAAAAAAAATTATATATATTTATAAAAAATAATGCAAAATGAATAGTGTTGAGATAAATTTGAAAATTACACAAACCAACCCTAAATATTATCATCTTAGTAATTCATTTGAAATACTTTTGAAGAAAGATCATGGTATGGTTAGACGTGGTTTTGTAACAGTCTTGTATTGTTGTATTAAACTCAAAGTTTATTTATTTATTTTATTTTTTAAAATTATTATATCCAAATTTTGTTTTTATTCAAGCATTTATCTTTTCATAACCACGATCAATCCCAAACTACATCCATAAAATAAAAACCTTTATATCTAAATTGCCAATAATCTTTTTTTTTTTTCTCTTCAAACACGAAATATTTCATGTGGTCACATTTACATGGGCATAAATGTGACATTCTAAAATTGAATTGGCCCATTAAATAGTTGATTTCTTAAATTTCACACATATATAAAATAATTATATATTTGAAATTTATGTAATCGTGAGATAGTGTTTTTAATATAATAGAAAATATTTTAAATTGAAATAAAATGATTAAAAATTTCCAAGAATTTAAAACATAGACGATTGTATTTATATACAAGCAAATTAAAGGGTTACACGAAGGAAATGATTAAAGGGCAATGCACTTGTGTTCTTGCTTGCTTTAACTCTTACACTCACTGACCACTCCTGAACGATCCCGGACTCCAACTCCCAACAAATCCGCACCGTCGATAACGTGGGGCCGGCGCCATCTGGACCGTTCCCCGAACGCCACCTTTTCGTTTTCCTGCCTGAATTGAACAGCGAGCATGGGATATTATGGGATATGGATCAACTTTCCATTCCTCTTTTCTAACATGGAAGGAAATCTCAAGTCAACTTCACCCCATCATTTGGTCTTCTCTTCAAATCTGTAATTCCAATTTCAATTCCCTTTCCCCTTTTTTCTATATAACCACCAGAGTCGTCTTCCATCGTCGCCTGTAATTTTATCAAAATTTTCAATCGATCGAGCTCAATTGATAATCATCCATGGGGATTCAGGGTATGAGGCTCCACCACCACTTCTGGCCGGACCACCAGCCTCCGCCGTCCCTCCGCTGCAAGCGCCTCCGCCCCCTCGTCCCCAAGCTCGCCGGCGGCGGCGGCGCCGGACATCTCAAATCCTTCATCAGACCCGATCATCATCAAAACAAAGAATACAGTTTGCCTCCTCAGGTACGTACGGACGAACAAACGATCTAAACGACGACGTTTTAAAAGTTGGAATTGACAAGATAGATGTTTCTTGCAGGCGGCGGAAGCGCCGCCGCAGCACGGCGGCGGGACGCGGTGGAACCCGACGCAGGAGCAGATAAGCTACCTGGAAATGCTGTACAGGGACGGGATCCGAACTCCCAACGCCCAACAGATCGAACACATCACTGCACACCTCGCTAAGTACGGCAAAATTGAAGGCAAAAACGTGTTTTACTGGTTCCAAAACCATAAAGCGCGCGAGAGGCAGAAGAGAAAGCGCATTTCCATTTCCCAACATGGAAACACGACTTCTCCTCCTCCTCCTCCTCCTCCTTCTTCCCCCATCCCCAAAACGACGCCGTCTCCGCCATTAACAACCCCCAAGGTATAATCTTTTTAATTTTTTTTAACGTATCTGTGTTTCGAAAATTGATCTGAACCAAAACTTCACAGACAGAATCATACAGAGGGAAAGAATGTCCTGAAGAAGAAAGCAGAAAGTGTACAGAAACAGGAGATGGCGAAATTAGGACACTGGAGCTCTTCCCTCTGCACCCAGAAGGAAGATCTGATCTGATCTGTTCTTGTGATTTTTAGTATGGATCATCGACAAATTAAATATGATTATTAATTAATTAATTAATTGTCAGAGGTAGCTAATTAGTTAATTAATTTAATTTCCCATCTGCAGCTGCTAATGCTGCCATGTTCGATTATTCTTCTTGCTTATCTTCGTCTTCGTCTTCTTCATGAATTTGAATGTTGGTCTGAAAGGGGCAGTGCGGTTTGTTGACTCCATGCACAGAAGAGCACATCCATTTATTTAATGAATGTTGTTGAAATTCAGGATGTTTGTGATACACTGAAGTCAATGCACAGATTCTCTTAGGAACTTGTGTGTTTTCTGTCCAAATAATAATAAATAAATAAATAAATAAAAAATAAATTAAGAAGAACAATGAGAATGAGGTGCATATAAATATATCTATCAAATAATTATTGAATATTATATAAATTAAATTAAACACCCCAGACTATAATATATATATATATATACGTATGATATCATACTGTCATTATATCATGCGGTGTGTTTATTGGCACGTGTAATACAATTAATTTTCTACTATGTAAGTTAAAATTTATGTTTGTTTGTTATCTTTATATATATTTGTGTGCCTTTATCTATTATTATTATTATTATTATTTAATAAAATAATTCTCCCTCGTTTCAATAGAATTGTCTTATTTTTCTATTTTCGTATAAAACAATTATTTTGTTTCCTTATTTAGTAAGGATAGTTCTCACTTTATAACAAAATTATTTCTGTTTTTTCAAACTATCCATAATTATTACTATAACCTACCTTGTAAAATCATTCAAAAAATAAAGGTATATTAGTCTTTTACCTTCTACTTTATATCCATTTTCAATAAAATCCATTTTCAATAAAATAAAGGAGTATAATGTAACATTAGAAAAAAAAAAAGGATTAAATTTATAAAAGTATATGTAGAAAAGATAACTAAACATATTTATGGCGTGATTTTTTATTTCACATATATAGAGAGAAATCAGAAGCAAATGTATAATACTTACAATTTCTGAGAATGTGTTTGTTGGGGCAATTTTTCCCAAATTTTACTATTCATTCAATTTTTTTCTCTAAAAAATATCAAATCAAACAAATATTTTTATTTTTATATTATACTAAAAATTAATTTTACATTCAAAACATCACATCAACACCTATTCATATGATATCATACAACTATTCACAATCAAATTTTTTACTATTCAAATCTTAATCTAAAATTCAAACCTCCAAACAAACACAACCTTAGATTGTATAAAAATTTCGGGCTTTGGATACCGATCAAAAAATTGGGTAGAGCATTGGGTATGAAAGTTCATACCTAAAATCCAACCGGATACCTGAATTTTATTTCTATTTTTAAATATCATATTTAATAATAAAAATATAATTTAACCTAACTTGGTAATAATAATAATAATTAGTAGCTATAGATCATAGATATTAGATTATAAGATTTTTAATATAGTATATATTATATTTATTCTTAAATTGTTATAATATATACTTCGATTGAATATTGTATTAATAGTACTATTACATACAAAAATTACCATATCGGTAATTTAAAATGATAAAAAAAAATAGTATAAAACTTTTTTCACTGAAGTAGATACAGTAGATACAGTTATCATTGAATGTATTAGGAGGTCTCCTTGAAATGATTTTTGTTTCTAATTTTGAGTTTGAGTTCAACTTTGATCATTGTCATGGTTCAATATTTGATTGCATTGAGAGTCCCGTTGTTGTTTTTTTTGTTTTTTTTTTTTTTATGAGAGTTCTGTGTTTTTCGACTCTAGTGAGAGTTTCGTATTTTTGGCTCTAGTGAGAATTATGTATTTTCCACTACGGTGAAAGTCCCATCGTTTTTCATTCCATATTTTTCGATTCTTGCGAGAGTTTCGTTGTTTTTCAGTTTTATATTTTCTTATTATAGTGAGAGTTTTATCGTTTTCCATTTCCGATGAGATTTCCATATTTTCCGATTCCGGTGAAAATTTCGCGACTCCGGAAAATTCCAACAGCTTCTACCCCAGACCGCCTCTTCCCAACGCTCAGGTGATAACCTTTGGTTCTTAGTAATTTTTCTGCCAGTTCGGCTTTGTTTCTATTATTCTCAATCATATTTTGGGACGTGGCATTAAAATGTATATTTTTTATTTAATAGTTTATAACTGAATATTTTTAATATAAATTTAATTTTTACTATAAAATAAAAATAAATATTTAATTTCAAATTTTAAAACAAAAATATTAATAAAATAGTAAAAGTTCCAATAAAATCCACAAACAAACCGTGTCTATCACTCATCCATCATAAGAATTTATTTCAATTTGATCAGATATATATTTTTAAAAAATAAATAAAAACATATTTATTATTATTATATTAAAAAATTAAAAAGAGTATTTTTTATGAAATTATTATTTTTATTACAACAAAAACATAAATTTAAATGACAATATATTTTGTGACATAGGGTAATTTTTTTCATGTGTCAATAGACCCAATTTTAATAATGTAGTTTTAAAGATTTTAAAAAAAAGTAAAAAAATTGGATATTTGTAATATTACAAATTTAATATAATATTAAAAAATATATATAGATAAATAATGACAAAATTTTCAATCTAAATCACTTGGATATGTTCTTTTCAGACAGTATTTTTTTCTTTTTTTTTTTTTAAAAAAAAACAATAATCAAATATAATTTCATTATATTTCCTTACCACACACAAAATATAGTCATTTATATTCAAATATAAGCACATCCAGGAAATTCACGTGCCCCTAAATACATGCACATATATATATATTGACCACGTCATGCAGTCTCACTCCTCATGGCCGACGTTACACGTGTCTCCATCTTCTCATCGTAGGCGTAGGCGATGAAATTGTGCGGCTGAGATTTCATCGGCCTGTGCGAGCATAGGGTTTCTCGATTCCTATAGAGCTTTATATATAACCGCTCGGTGATCATCTTCCCTGAGTGCGGTGCAGATCTCTGCCCTCCCAGAGGGGATAAATCCTAAAAAATTTTCTCTGGCTTTTGCATTTCTATTAATTTGCCATTGTTATCATTTTCCCCGTTTTACCATTCCCTCTTCCCTCATCGCTACAGAAAAAACCCAAAAAATTTACGCTTTTTCTGTTTATTTATCTGATTTATCATTTCTTTATTTATTATTCAGAGGAGGTGGAGAATTCCCCTTCAAAAAGAATAATCTGAATTGAATACGTAGAAATGGCACAGATTCAGGTGCAGAACCCTAATGTGGCGGCGGCGGCGGCGGCGACTGGGCAGAATGGAGTGGCGGCAGCGGTGGTGCCTGTTGGACCCCCGCCACCGCCGCCGCCGCCTTCAGCCGACGGACAGTTTGTGTCGACCTCGCTTTACGTCGGTGATTTGGATTTTAATGTGACCGACTCTCAGCTGTACGATCTGTTTAATCAGGTCGGTCAGGTTGTATCGGTTAGGATTTGCCGAGATCTTAGCAGTCACCGCAGCCTTGGCTATGGTTATGTCAATTATACCAATCCCCAGGATGGTTAGAAATTTTCGATTTCTTCTGGATTATTGTTAATTATTATTTTATTTATTATGCCATGCCAGTGTGATTGCATGAGATGCCAATGCCAGTATACTTTTTAATGATTCAGGGGAAAAGAAATTTCTGAGTTTTTTTTTTCGATGCAAAACAATTATGGATCACAACTTTTTGCAGATTACTATTCTTGATTTGCTGAATATTCCATATTGAAATTTTTATATCTTTACTGATACTGTTAGTAATGGCTTCAATTATACACACTAAGGATCATGAACTACATTGTCCTGGGATGTATTTGCTTTGGTGTAATTATGAGGACTTTGATGCCTAAGATGACAATTTAATAATATATAAACATCCTTTTAATCGTTTTCATGTTTTAAAATTGTGGATTTAATGTAGTGTTGAAATTATGAAACTTATATTTACTCTGTTTTGCTTGAATTAATTTTAGTATTTAATCCCTCATCTTCGCCTTATTGCTTGTGAATAATAGCTGCCAGAGCAATGGATATATTGAATTTTACTCCCCTCAATAACAAGTCCATTCGGATCATGTATTCCCACCGGGACCCCAGTATTCGTAAAAGTGGAAGGGCAAACATTTTCATTAAGGTAATTGTCTCTATAATTGTTTGATGTACTCTTTTCAGCTTTAGTTTTGAAGCTTTTGAAGATATGGCCTTACTCCTTTCAAGTTATTACTCTGCTTTCTGTGATATTATATAACAAGGATCTCATGGTGTTGAAATGTCTGATGCAGAATCTGGACAAATCCATCGACAACAAAGCACTCCATGACACCTTTTCGAGCTTTGGGAATATCCTTTCTTGCAAGATAGCAACAGGCCTCAATGGTCAATCAAAGGGCTATGGTTTTGTTCAATTTGATACTGAAGAAGCTGCAAAAAATGCTATAGATAAGTTAAACGGCATGCTTATTAATGATAAGCAAGTATATGTTGGGCAGTTTGTTCGTAGGCAGGAAAGGGAAAGGGAAACTGCATCAGAAAAGACTCAGTTCAATAACGTATATGTGAAAGATTTATCTGAGTCTACAACAGAGGATGATCTAAAGAAAATTTTTGGTGAATATGGAACAATAACTAGTTCTGTGGTGATGAGGGATGCAGATGGAAAGTCAAAATGTTTTGGATTTGTCAATTTTGAAAATGCTGATGATGCAGCCAAAGCTGTTGAAGCTCTGAATGGAAAGAAATTTGATGACAAGGAGTGGTATGTTGGAAAAGCCCAGAAGAAATCGGAGAGAGAACAGGAACTGAGAGCTCGATTTGAGCAGGCTTCCAAGGAAACCATTGACAAGTTTCAGGGACTTAATTTGTATGTTAAAAACTTGGATGATAGCATTGATGATGAGAAGCTGAAAGAACTCTTTTCAGACTTTGGCACTATCACATCATGCAAGGTATTGGATATCTCTTTCTTTACGCTTGATTTCTTTTACTACTCGACTAAATTTCTTTAAATACTGTTGTGCATTGCAGGTTATGCGGGACCCTAGTGGAATAAGCAAAGGATCTGGATTTGTTGCCTTCTCAACTTCTGATCAAGCTACTCGAGCTGTGAGTTGATAAATACAATGATGGCAGTTTCTTTACCTGTTCTTGATTAAGTAATGGTTAAGCTAATCAAGGTATTGATTTATTTCATTTTAGCTTTCTGAAATGAATGGGAAAATGGTGATCAGCAAACCACTCTATGTTGCGCCTGCTCAGCGAAAAGAAGAGCGAAGAGCAAAGTTACAGGTAATGGATAGAACATACACTTCTTTCCAATGGATTCCCTGTGCCTCCCTTGTGTTGCCATTTTTGTCGTCGGATTCCACACCTCTAAATTTGATCTCAAGTGCAGGCCCAGTTTTCCCAGATAAGGCCTGTTGCAATGCCCCCAACTATGGCTCCCCGTCTACCAGTGTATCCTCCTGGTGCTCCTGGTATGGGACAGCAGCTATTTTTCGGACACGCCCCTCCTGCTATGATTCCACCTCAGGTATAACTCGTATTCTCTAATTAACATTTAATTCCTTCGTTTTTAGTCTGCACAGATCTTGACTGCATATGGTAACCATACCTTCGACACTTTCTCAGGCTGGATTTGGCTATCAGCACCAGCTTGTTCCTGGAATGCGCCCTGGGGGCGGTCCTATGCCAAATTTCTTTGTGCCAATAGTCCAACAAGGCCAACAAGGCCAGCGTCCTGGCGGCAGACGAGGAGGTGGCCCGGTGCAACAGAATCAGCAATCTGTACCTCTGATGCCTCAGCAAGTCTGTTTCATATCAGTTCTCATGGTATCTTTGGCAATTTGGACCATGTTCTTAATTCCTGATATTTTTTCTTCTGGTAGATGCTACCTAGGGGGAGCAGGATGTATAGGTATCCGCCAGGTCGGAATGGGCCGGATGTGCCTGTTGGGGGTGGTGTTCCTGGAGGCATTATGTCGGTCCCATACGACATGGCTGGCAGCATGATTCCTCGAGATTCTGCACCAGCAGCTATTCCACAACCTATTCCTGTCACTGCCTTGGCTTCTGCACTTGCCAATGCATCTCCTGAGCAGCAAAGGCTGGTAATTTAGTAATTTTAATCTCGAATCAGCATGGTGATGATCTTAATGTTTCTGACCTAAAATGTAATATTTTCTTGTAGATGTTGGGTGAGACCCTTTATCCTCTAGTTGATCAACTCGAGCACGAGCACGCTGCAAAAGTAACCGGCATGTTACTGGAGATGGACCAAACTGAGGTTCTGCACTTGCTCGAATCGCCGGATTCTTTGAAAGCTAAAGTTTCGGAGGCTATGGATGTTCTGAGGAATGTTCAGGCCCCCAACGCCCCCCCTACCGATCAACTCGCTTCGCTCTCACTCAACAACGAAAACCTCGTATCTTGAGGTGATGTCTGTCCTAATCCGTCTCCACCTGAATCAAATAAAACTCTTTCCTGCTAGTGAAGATCTAAATGGTTTCTTTCTGAGTTTTGGTTTCATAAGCTGTCCCAAGTCCTGTTGGGGTTTTTGTCGGAGTTATTTATTATTTGTTTGCCTCTGGAATTTTCATCAGAGTTGCAGTTTTGAAATAAGGGGGGGAACTCATCCCACCCCACCCCATCCCATCTTATCCTTATCCTATTATGTTTGATTCATGCAAATAAATGATGAAAGTTTTTATTCATTCTTTTATTTATTTTTATTTATGCACATGCACATGCATATATATATATATATATATATATTAGACTTGAAAGTCATGCACAGAGATTGGAATAGCCATGAGAGGAACTACTGGTGTGTTCTTCTGCAGGGACGACCCAAACCTATCAATCTCTGCCTTTTCTTCTGGTTTCATTCCTGCTTCAAGTTTCCAATCAAAGCCATTAATCATGGCTGCCACTGTAGTATGCAACATTCGAGTAGCTAACCACATTCCAGGACACATTCTTCTTCCCGATCCGAATGGTATCAGCCTCGAGTCTTGGCCCTTGAAGTCGATTCCATTACTGTCGAGGAGGAACCGCTCCGGCTTAAATGAGCTTGGTTCAGACCATATCCTCGGATCCCTACCCATCCCCCAAGCATTCACAAGTATTTGTGTGTTCTTCGGGATCATGTAGCCGTTAACCTCGACGTCGGCTTCTGCCTTTCGTGGAACCAAAAGTGGGCCTGCTGGATGGAGCCTGAAGATTTCTTTGATCACAGCTTGGAGGTAAGGAAGTCTTGAAATGTCTGATTCTTGCACTACTTGTCCCTGCTCTCCCACAATGCTTCGAATCTCGTCTTTAGCCTTCTTCATTTTCGATGGGTTGATTAGCAACTCTGCCATTGCCCATTCCGTTGTGAATGTTGTTGTCACTGATCCTCCAACAAGTAAAACCTGTACAATAATGAAATTTAAGTATGTATAAATCACCTTAGAGCGGGCAAAAATTGCAAAAACATTTAAGCTGTGAACCGACCCGTGTCCGGACCCATCAAAGTCGGGCTAATTTTTAAAAATAATTTAATAAATATATTATCAAATGAATTTATATCAAAAAAATAAAAACACATCATATTTTCGTCTGTCATATTTTAAAATATTAATTTTGTATTTTTTAAAAAAATAATCATAAACTAATAATAAAATATCATTTTAACTTTTATATAAATTATAAATATATCAATACATCTCAAATTGGACCGGATCTGATTCTTCAAGCTCTGTTCAAAATTGGATTGTGCTTATCCGATCCGAATTTATTGTCGGGTCAGACCGGCCCAACACTAAAAATCAGCCGAGCCAATTTGACACCTCGTAATTATCTCCAGTGTTTTATAACAAATGAATGAATCATATGACTTACCACAAGTAAATGTTTGATCTCATTGAAACTCATTTCATACTCACTTCCCTGTCTTAAATCAAGAAGTGCCTCCAACCAATCGTCCCTGTTAACAATCCCTTTCTCCCTCGATTCAATTCTCTGGTTAATCATCCCCTCCACCGTCTCCAGCAATTTCCCAAAGTAAACCCTAGCTTCCTTCCGAATCCCCTGTGGATCAATCCTCTTCAGAATTGGAAAATAATCTGCATAATTTGGTGCACCTAAAATCCTCCCCACCCCTTCAATGGCTTCCTTCACCTCCCCGGCGGCGCCGTCGGAGTCGAAGCTCGTGCAATCGACGGAAAACATCATCGCAGACATGATGTTGAGAAACGTTGTGCAGGCAGCATTGCTTACATTCACAGATCGTCGAGCTCGGGAGCATTCGAGAACGTAGCCATGGAGTTTCTGCAACTTCTCCCGCCTTAGGGTTTGGGTGGCGTCGAGACGATGATTCAAGAACATCTTTTCGCTGCAGATCTTTCGCATCTTTCGCCAATCGTTACCTGGTGGGATGTAAGCCATGGACATCCTGTGATGATCGTGGACTTCGACGGCGGTGATGATTGTCCGGCCGGAGAAGACTTGGCCGTGCTTCTGGAGAACTTCCCGGGCGATCTCCGGCGAGGAGACAACTACTGTGTTTATGGTTCCTAGCTTGAGGGACATTAAAGGACCGTAAATGTTGGAGAGCTTCGCCAGTGATCGATGGGGGCTTTGGCCGATCTGGAGAGCGTTTCCAATGATCGGAAACCGGCGAGGCCCTGGAGGAAGTTTGCCTGATCTTTTCTGCCATGGATTGGTTCTCAGGCCATGGAAGAGCCATGGCAGAACTCCCAGGATTAGGACAAGAAGCAGACTTGTTAGAAATTCCATCCCTTTGCAAGAATCAGTAGTTAAGGAGAGGTTCGTTATCTATAAAGCCGTAGAAGACACCATGGATGGATCCTAATAACTGCCATTTTCTAGCTTACGTCAGCATCATCGTGTGCATTACACGTTGGCAGGGACACTAAGCTCTTACAGGTTGCTTATGACATCAAAACAGTTGCAGGATTCGATCAACTTCATGGAAATCAATCGAAGTTATCTGCTCCAGGCGAAACCATAATCAGGCTTCTGACCCTGTGCTCGCAATTGACCTCGACAGTAGTTAAGGATCAACATGCCCGATCCGATCCGATCCGATTCAATTATCATTTTTACACAATTTTTTTGTCAGTTTCGTAATTTAGGGCAATGTATAAATTCAGATCATTAATTTTGTCCGTCGGAGCCGCCGGGTTCACGTGCACTTACGTGACTTCATAATTCAAAAAGAAGAAGAAGAAAGATACCCTAATTCCTAATTAGGACAAAATTGAAGAAAACCAGAAACCTGGATCGTGAAACTCTAACTCAACTACCAGAGGGGATTGATTTTGATTAGTAATTACTATGTGGTTTGGTTGTTTTAGGAAGTATCAACGTGAGCTTTTTGTTTATTTCTTATTTTTTTAGTGGCTTCTTTATTAGCATCCATGGCTTCCCCTCTTGTATCAAAACTGAGTTTTTCTTCTTGGCAGCATGTAATTGAGCTGAGCTATTCAAGGACGTGCTCGAACCTTAAATTCTTGAGCATAGATTTCCTTTATGCAGCAGAGCAGAGGGTAGTTCTTTGTTTGATAGTTGTTTTTCTTTATTGGATTTTGATTAATATTTGCAGGTTAATGTTTGCGACGAATGGACTTTGAAGAAGATTGGGCCTTTGTAATTTCAGTCCAAATGCAACGAAAGGTCACCTGATTGTTGATTCGGATAATATTTTGTATTTACGTTCAGGAATGTGCGCGTTTAACAAAAGCGAATAGTAAAATTGAGGAGAATTTAGATTTGTTACAACAAACCAAACAACGATGGGCTAATGGTACTTGTTGAGAATATTCTAGTAGAAAATTTGATTATTGAGAGGGAGAGGGGATTGGGGAATAGGTTGAGAGTTGAGAATGATCAAGAAATTGTGAAAATAATTGTTTGATTGTATCAACTTATCTAGTGAATCACGTATGGATTCGAATCTACAGATATAAGTCTTGTACTAAACTGGGTTAATAATTTGTTCTTATTATTTATCGATCTTGTTATCATAATTTGCATTTTCAGGCGGATACAACCAATCTGTTGTGGATGTTTACAGTTTAATTGATTGTGTTTGAATCAATCGATTTTTGGGGCCGACAAGAGGGTAGTTCTTTGTTTGGCAAATACCCTTCCACCAATTAATTTAGAATGAATACTAGTATAATATTGTCCGCTTTGAATTGAATCGCATACAAATTTCTTTTTGAACTTCCTTCAAAAGAACTTAGTTTGCATCCAACAATAGACCACTTATGTTAATATGGGAGGTTTCTGTGCTTCTGAAACATATTGATTTGCTATCAGTTGTGCTTATCAAGCACATAAATCTCCAAAACTTCCTACAACTTTGAATATCTTATGCCACTGAATGACATTTGAAGCAATAATTGAAGCATATCCCTCTTTAGATATTTATGGCTGTTAAAATTTTCAAAATTGACTGTAGAAACTGCTTCTAGTCAAAAGCTGACGATAAATAATTCAAGATGTAAGTAATGGATGGCAATCATAGTGAATGAATCACCTGGTTATTCCAGCTGTCCATGAATGGATATACTTTGGTGGGGTCATTGCTGAATTGAGCTGAGTCCATGTATGTTCTTCTAACCCATGTTGCTGCCATGATATTCAACCAACACATTTGTGGGGGTGAAGTCTTGGCCATTTTTGATCCATACAATCCTTGCTAATTTTCTTGATGCACATACTGTTTGCCTAATTCTGAAAGCAAAAGAGAGAAAAGTTTACCCCCAGTCATATGATTTCTGGGCACCTGGAAGCAATTCTTTTGCTTGATAAATATGTACAAGGAACAAGCAAGTTTCATGATTTCACGTGTATGCAGGTAATGGGAATAGGGGAATGGCCCATACCCCTTCTGCTGTGGGCACTGAACCAAAATCTTGTGAAAATTATATTTTTCTCAATTCAATTAAATGCAGAGAAATGGAGAAGAAGAAGATGTTCTACTGCAATAAAGGAAGTAGATTTGAAATCAGTGCAAAGGTGTTAAATAGTATATCAACCAGTCTTCAATGCTGGCACACATATGGAAGACAAGAGTTGTACCAAGAAGTACCATCATAAAGCTTGGAAATCGCCACCAAACAATGAATTTTCTTGAATCAATTTCAAATAACCCTAAATTGCACCCAAAGAAAGCCTTGTTCATAACCAGTATCCTGTAATATAGCCTAAACAAGAAACTCCCTTTTCATTCAGTATTGGAATTTTTCAGTGAATTTGGGAATCCGCCATTAAAGCAGCTCCCTACTGCCCTCGTGACCTGAACCCTACGCAATAAGCAAACAAACCCAATAAAGCAAAGAACCCACCTTTGGAGTTTGGAAGCAAAGGCAATGACACAAACAACTGACAAGTCATATGCTCGTGTTCTGGGCACACACACACACACATACATATATACATATGTAAGATCATGGACTGTGTTGTTTCAGAGTGAGTAGAGACAGAGACAAATGGTGTGAATCCCCCCACCCCTCCTGTTGTTGGGGATACAGTACCCTACAGTTACAAGGCATCTTTTATTTATGGAGGGGACAAAGACTTCCCTGCTTTAATTTGGATTCACACCACTTTGGCTTTAGCAATTTTGAATTGCAAGCATTGTTTAAGATTGATTCCCCATGTTTAAGGTAATTGAAAGATTAACCAATTGGGAATTAAATCAGTAAATAGATTTCCAGACTTGTACAAACACACAAGAATTCTTCTCTTCATATCCAATCTTGTTTCTACAACTCAATCATGAACGATATTTGAATTAGAAGAAAGTAATATAATGTCAAGAGTCGGTGAATTTACAGAGTATGTGAATCGTATTACTGTATATATACATATTCAATTTGGGTATTATTTCTTTTTAGGAAAGTAAATACGATTGATTTTGTGCATGCATATTTATCCCAATTAAAGATGGAAGAAATTATCCGCATAATTACAAATCCATAGCAAAAAATCAGATGAATATCCCAACCTCAGACGCGCAGAGCTTAAATTAACAACCCTAATATGGGAAAACCCCTGCAGAAAAGGAAATAAAAAAAAGTTGAATAATAAAAAGGGAGAAAGGCCAAGGAATATCGATTTCGATTTCAATTTCAATTTCAATTTCGATTTCGATTTTGATTTTGATTTACCTCCGATTCGATTCCCATTCGGCGCGGCATCGGTGCAGGAGAGTTGAAATCTGACAGGTGAGGAGAGTATTTGGTGAGCCACCCCCACCCCCACGCCCCACCAGGATTGCAGGAGCGAGCACATGATGGCACCATTCACATTGGGGTAAAAAGATCGAAAAAAATATAAAAATACGATCTTGATTTCCTGTTGTTATTTTCTTTTTCAACTTTTAACCTTCCCCCTTTAATCGATTTTTTTTTTTCTTCCTCATTGGTTTGCATTAATTAGCGTGGGAAAAGTGTGTGCTTTCATTATTTTTCCAACATATTGTTGTCTATTTGCGTGACGAGAGAGTGGGGAAAATGTGGCCCTGTAGGAAATTTTTTGGGGGGTGGGGTGGGGTGGGGTGGGGTGTTTAGAGTAAATTAAGATCGATGGCCTGGCCTCATTAATTCCTCCACCCGTCTTTCAGTTTTTTTCACACCGCACCACCCACCACTTTGATTTCCATCCATCTTTCTCGTCTCATTTTTCTCATTTTGTTTCGGTTGGATGAAGTGAGTTTTTCTGCTCTCTCTCTCTTTTTTTTATCTTTCAATCATCTCCTCTGAAGGTTTCTATCTCAAGCTTTGTTACAAGAGTAAAGAGAGGTGGGTTGGATTGAGTTGGGTTGTGGTGTGGTGTGGTGGGGATTGATTTTTCTTTTGCGATTCGTCTTTCCAACTTTGCCGATTCGTTTCCTGTCACAGAAACATTGTTCTAACGGCTGTTCTTGCTGTTTTCAGGTCCTGACTTTAGATCTGCGCCTCTCTCTGCCGCTCTTCGGCTGGTGAAATTTCTTAAACGTAAACGCCCTTTTTTGATTTTTTTTTTGGTGTCTTCGTATTGATTTTGTTGATGTTTGTGTTGGTTTTCTAGGTTTTTGTTTGGGTTTCGAGTTTGTTCTTTTCTCGATTCTTTGTTTCCCCATCTTTTTTGCTTTATGGGATTCATCTCTATCCTTCTTCTCTTTAAGCTTCTCTGTTCATCCTTAGTTTTCCTGTGGGTTTATCGTCTCTCTCTCTCTGTGTAAAATGGAAAAATTAATGTAAACTAAGTGAAAGTCTTATCCTTTTCTTTGATTTCTTCCTTTATGCAGATTGTTTGCCGCTAGTGTTTTCATTGGGATTTAATTGTTCGAGAACTCATCTACTAAATGGCTTTTCATGACATGATTTTTGTTCAAATGCTTGTGATGCTTGATAGCTGTTTTTGTTGAATTGAGATTCTAAAACTAAACTTATGGCTTCTGATGTCCAGGAATGATTGACAATTCCCATTTTGAGTGCTGAAATGTTTAGATTGTAACCATTATTTTGTTGCCTGACTTTGCTGTCTGGATGGACCGATAAGGTTTAAACATGCTCGAATATTCATAGCTTTGAGGAATTTCCATCATTCTCTTATTTTGTTCAAAGCTTCTGTGTTGTGATACATTGTTTAGATGCTATATCATTCATTACGATCAATGCATTGTTTTCAATTATCTCAAGTATATAATACTCCTCATTCGATCATTCCATTTCAGGGTTCAATTCACATATCTTTGAAGGCAAGGGAAATTGGATTCATTCGTTGTTGTTTGGACGTATTAGTATCTGAACAAAGTTAAGTTCAGTTTGATACACAAGGGCGCTGAAAGCATGTCTTTCGATCATGGATCCACAAGCGACACCGGCGTAGATTCCCAAATGTCTTGGAACAGCATACAGGCTTCTGCTCCAAACTGGCTACCTGTGTACAGAATGCCATCTGGTCCACCAAATGTCGAGCCTCTGCACCATCCAGGGCACGCCGGGCTGCAAAATCAGCCACACCTTAATGAAAACGAGAAGGAACATGTGTTGAGTGTTAATGAAAATCGGCTCGAGCCCTCTAATATGCATTCATTGGATAATGTCGAAGTATCAGATGATGGAAATCAGCCCACAAACATGCCGCCACTTCTTCAGATTCCTGGGCCTGACTCTCTTCCTCCGGATCTGAATTTGCTTTCAGAGTTTGGAAATAATGACTGCCAAGATGTTCATCGTTCGAATACACACCTTTCTATTGGATCATCAAAAGGGAAGATACCATTTACCGGTAGTTCGTCTGAATCTTTGGGGATTTCTCCTGATGGGCCGGGCTGTTCTGTGGACCATCAACGCACATCGTGCAAGAGAAAAGCTATTGAAATGCATCCTGGACAATCTTCTGGATCAGGAAGTTCAATTCCGTTCCAGTATTTTGAAAGAAATCAACGCCATGCTATTGGTGTGCCTATTCCTGCAGAAAATGAAATACCAAACAATAATGCATCAGAGCAGGCAAACCCAAGGCTTAGGCTCGGCGTCGAAAGAGTTATAGCACCTTCTGGCAGCTCTAGCAGAAATTCACGCTCATGTTTTGGCAGTCTTCCCCCTCAAGATTTGACATTTAGAAATTCTTCTCCAGCAGGAGCTGATGATGTTGGAAATGTGAAGGTTTCTTCATCTTCTGCTCCGTCCGGACTTGTTGACATAAACATACCTCCTCACGTGGGAACCAGAAATTTTTTGAGCATTCCATCTAGGGTTCGATATCCTCAATCTAGATGGGGTGGGGGATCCAGCTCAAGAACTGCTAATTCATCGACTTTGGTTGATTCTCAAGAGAGGGATGATGTGATTTTAGGCGAATCTGAACCGAGAACTATTCCCCCTAATATTTCAGAACATGCCGTGTTTGCCAATGAGACAGGAAGCACTACTCAACAACCAAATTGGGTTTTTGCCAATGGGAGCAACATTGTTGCCGGAAATGCTGCATCTGCTTCCAGGCCTGATGCATCTGCTTTCGCTTTGGCTAATTGGGTCCGTCCCCAATACACTCGGAGAATATCAGATGCAGTTCGGAGATCTCTCATAAGCTCTGCTGTTGCAGTGTCTGGAGGTCCGACAATCTCTCCTGCTGCTCAATCAAATTCGCCTGCCGCCTCACAGGGGATAGCGAATTCATCCGGATCAGGTAACCAGGCTCCCCTGCCGGCACACTCAAGGTCGGCATTGCTGGAAAGACATCTTGATGTTGAATTTAGAATGTCGCATTTACTAAGGAACTTGGCTAGCGCTGGTGAAGGAAGAAGCAATGCGATGTCTGAGGTATTTCTGTACCCCCATAATATGCAACTTAATTATTATCGACAAAATTTTGAACTGCCTGTGTCATCTTGTTGCGTTGCGCTCTGTTTGCTGCTTCAAATGTGGATTTGAAATTGCAAATAGCCTCTTAGTATTTGTGTCAATTCTTCTATACAGTATTTCTTCATTCAGGAATAGGTCTTTATAACATCGACTTCAGATAAGTGCGAACAAATAATATGCTCTGTTTACTTAGATACCTTTAGAATTTTCGATATTATTCATCAACAGTAATTTTTTTGAAAAAGATAAAATCATATGAAATACCCAATATTCTACTATTCTCTAAATTTTCCAAAACTTCTATCCAACTCCCTTGATGTTATCTGGAAAACATTCGATGAAATTTATTGCAATGCGACTGATTACATATTGTGTTTTAGCAGATCCGCCATGTTTTGGATCTAATGAGAAGGGGAGAGGGTCTGCGAATTGAGGTTAGTAGTATTCGCGTGTTTCTTTTATTCATCGAGTTGCGCAGTGTGGTGATAAAAATTTCTCTGCTACTACATAAATTTCTATTCAAGTTCTAATCAATGACACCGAATAAAAACATCTTCTAAAGACTACGATTTTTCCTGTTCTAGGATGTGATGATGCTCGATCACCCAGCACTCTTTGGAGTGGCCGATATCCATGATCGCCATCGCGACATGCGACTGGATGTTGACAACATGTCCTATGAGGTGAGGATCCAACATCATCTTGTCCCTTTGATTAAATTACTCTTTTCAATCTGGAATTCCATTTCCTATTCTTTCAGGAACTACTGGCCCTTGAGGAACGCATTGGGAATGTATGCACGGGTCTGAACGAAGAAACCATTACGAGCTCTATGAAGAGAAAGAAATACACACAGAGAGACCAACCCGAAAACACCGAACCTTGCAGCATATGCAGAGTACCGACTTTCCCATACTACTTTACATCTTTATTTCGCCTGTCTCTTTTACACATACTCAAATGATATTCTCACGCAATTGCATAATTTGTCGCAGGAAGAATACGTCGATGGAGAAGACCTTGGATCGCTGGATTGCAAACATGATTTTCACGCAGAATGCATCAAACAATGGCTGATGCAGAAGAATTTGTGCCCGATTTGTAAAACGACTGGACTGACGCCATGAACCTCTCAGGTTTCTTCGGCGAAACATTCATCACATTTCCTGCTGCTATCAGCAGGGAGATCTTTATATTTTTTCTGTTTTTCTTTCCAATGAGGACAATTGTTGCAACAACAAAACTTTATAATCATTTTTCAGCTGCATTTTCAATACTTTGGGCAAAAATCGCCTTAGATAATCGAAAGTAGAACTCCATTTTCAAGTCTCTTGATTATGTCTCTATAATTACTGTTTCTGGTTTGAAGTAGTATTATTATTATTTTCTTGTGGCATTCATTGCTTTGTGATATAAAAGATCGTGAAGGGACAGGTTTGGGCCATTATTCTTACAACTTTGGATTAGGGACTTGTTTCTTTGTTTTCTTACCTACATAGGAATCCAACGATGCTGGACCTCATCTTTGTCCTGTTACTCGTCGTCTCTTACCAATAATGAGCACAGAATCGGACATATTTTTAAGAGGATTGATCATCGGGTGCTGGGGTCCGTGGAGCTTCACTTCAGAAACGCCATTAAAATACCCTAATAAGTTTGACTAGAGAAAGCATCTTCCCTTTTTCTTACACGAAGCCTAATTCCACTCAATCATTACACAAGCCCCACCAGTGTCCCAAAACTAATCATTCCCTGTTTGTTTATAAACAATTTGCCAGTGATTAAAGCTGCAATTTTATCCATCAATTCCATTTTCACCGTCACTGTAAACTGTGGAGGTCGAGTCTGTGTCTGTATGTCTTTCTCTCTGTCTCTGTCAGACAGTCCAATGGCCGAATTCAGGCAACACGTCAGCAGCTAAAATGGCTCGACCTTGAACAAACCAAACAATGGTGGGTCCTGTCCCCAATTCTTGACGTCCCATCATCACAGCCTTGCTTCCCTCACCCCACCCTCTTACTGTATTTTCTCCCCCAAAAACTCCCATCTCCATGTCCAAAGCTCGAAGCTTTACCCTTTAATCTCAAAGCCCCATTTTCAATGAATTGAGCCTCTGATGGGATGGGAAGTCCGGCGTTTCTCAACGACGAGCTCTCCAAACGGACCTCAATTTTCGGCTTACGTTTGTACGTCGTCATCGGAATCTGCGTCGGCGCCGGAATCGTCATCTTCCTCTTCATCATCTCCCTCTGGTACACCTCCAGAAGAAACAACAGAAAGACTACAGCTTTAATCCTCACCAGAAAAACCTCCAAAATCCCAAATGTCCCCCGGGATATCCAGGAAATCCGACCCGACCCGAGCCGGGACACACCGGACCCCAACCCCAAACCCCCGCTGCTGCTTCTGCCGGCCCCGGACCCACCCCGACCAGCCCAGGAACCGAACCCGGTCGAGGACCAGAGAATCCACATTGAGATTGGAAAGGGCCACCGAATTTCTTACCCTGAGAAACCAGGGCAGAGCTCCGGCAACGGCGGCGGCGAATCCCGGCCGCCGGAGGTTTCTCACTTGGGGTGGGGCCACTGGTACACGCTGAGAGAGCTGGAGGAGTCCACCCATGGATTTGCAGACGAGAACGTGATCGGAGAAGGAGGGTACGGCATCGTCTACCATGGCGTGATGAAGGACAACACTAGAGTTGCCGTCAAAAATCTGCTCAACAACAGGCAAAATTAAACACAAAATTTTCTGCACACAAAAAATTCAATTCAAAAAAAAAAAAAAAATCTTTCTGATTGAATCTTTTGAATCAGGGGACAAGCCGAGCGCGAGTTCAAGGTCGAAGTCGAAGCCATCGGACGCGTCCGCCATAAGAACCTGGTGAGGTTGCTCGGCTACTGCGCCGAAGGAGCTCACAGGTGCGTTCACCACCATCAATGTCAGAAATTCAAATGTTTGGAATTTAATCTGTTTGATTTCTTCCAGGATGCTTGTATACGAATACGTCGACAATGGGAACTTAGAGCAATGGCTCCACGGAGACGTCGGCCCGCAGAGCCCTCTTACATGGGAGATTCGAATGCAGATCATACTTGGAGCTGCTAAGGGGTACACAACAAAGAATACGACCGATTTTCGCAGTCGATTTGTCTTGAAATAATATGCGTTGTTCGTGATTTTTTTTTTTGAGTTTTGCAGGCTGACATACCTACACGAAGGGCTCGAGCCGAAGGTTGTCCACCGCGACATAAAATCGAGCAACATTTTGTTGGATAGACAGTGGAATGCCAAAGTATCCGACTTCGGCTTGGCGAAGCTCATCGGCTCCGACCGGAGTTACATCACGACACGGGTGATGGGTACATTTGGGTGAGACCCGATTTACTTCGATCGAATATTCGATTCAATTCAATTCAATTCAATTCAATTCGATAAGTTTAAAATCGAAAAATGATCACACTTTCTAGCTATGTGGCTCCGGAATACGCGAGCACGGGAATGTTGAACGACAAAAGCGATGTCTATAGCTTCGGCATTCTTATAATGGAAATCATCTCCGGCCGGAGTCCGGTGGACTACGGCCGCCCCCCGGGGGAGGTATATAGATATATATATATGTAAGTATTTGCGACCATCAATGTCGCAAACCAAATTGAATCGAACTGAATTTTCAGGTGAACCTGGTCGATTGGCTCAAGTCAATGGTGTCGAGCCGGAACGCCGAGGGCGTGTTAGATCCGAAGCTACCCGAGCAGCCATCGTCTAGGGCTTTAAAGCGCGCGCTTTTGGTGGCATTACGCTGTGTCGATCCGAATGCTCAGAAGAGACCCAAGATGGGGCACGTCGTGCATATGCTGGACGCTGAGGAATTCCCTTTCCGCAATGTAAGTTTTGGACAATGTGATTCGGGTTTTGGATGAATCTTCTTGGTAATGAATGGTGGTTGTGTTGTGTTTATTCGCAGGAGCGGAGGGAACACAGCCGGTCGCAGCGCAATGATATTAGGACAGTAGATAAGTATTCAAGCGAACCTGGCGACAGCAGCGGATACGAAAGCAGCATCCAGACAGTGAGGTTTATGTCCAGAAAACCCGAGGCCGACGAAGGGCTGTAGGAAGAAGACAGATTTATGTTTGTCGATATCCATCGCATTGTTTCTGCTGTTCACCGAACTAAACTGTGCACTAGCTTTCCGGTTATTGCAACTAAGCAAGCTTTTGAGAAATTGTAGGTAGTCCAAACAAAAACCATAACTTACGACAAAAAGAATCTCGGAAATCCCAAAAAGATTCGAAAACATGGATCAAGGTGGTCTCTTCACCCCGATGCAAAACATCCTAAGTAGTAATAATCAGCACACCTTACAAAAAGATCAAGTCTTGTTGGAAATCGAATTAGTCGGCGAGGGACAGCGTGGAAAGTTGCTCGGAAGGGACATTCGACTGCTGAACATTCCTCAGAACATCCATAGCCTCGGCAACCTTATTTTTCAAAGCATCAGGAGATTCGAGCAGATGCAGAACCTCAGTCTGGTCCATCTCTAGGAGCATTCCGGTGACTTTCGCAGCATGTTCATGCTCAAGCTGATCGACGAGAGGATACAAATTCTCACCCAACATCTGTTCAAAAACTCGAAAAATCAGTCCAAAAACAAGCATGAAATATATAAACACTTGATCAGAAGACTGCATACCGTCCTTTGGTGCTCAGGAGTCGCATTAGCCAGCGCAGAAGCCAAGGCAGTGATCGGCATAGGCTGCGGCGCGGCTGCTGCATCCCGAGGAATCATCCCGCTGATGTCGTACGGAGCAGAGAGCATCCCACCGGCCATGGGCGGCGCATCAGGTCCATTCCGGCCGGTAGGGTACCTAAACATCCTACCCCCCCTGGGTAACATCTGGAAAAGAATTTTCGCAATTAGCGACATCTTAATATAGCACAAATTTAATAAAATCGCGTACACAACTAACCTGTTGCTGCATTGGAGGCACGGGCTGCTGCGGTTGTTGCCCTGCTCCTCGCCTACCGGCAGGGCGTCCCTGCTGACCCTGTTGAACTAGCGGCACAAAGAAATTTGGCATGTGAGCGCCTCCAGGGCGCAGCCCTGGAACAAGCTGTTGCTGATAACCAAATCCGCCCTGCAGATTCGAGGAAATGTCTCATCAAGAAAATGGAAATATGTTCATCGTATATATGTTTTTAAGTTGTCTTCGGTAAGGTAATTTTCGAAGGTAATTTCTGATCAATCCCTAATGAACTGAAACTTTGTTAAAAACTGTCGCGACCTGAGGGGGGATTATGGCAGGAGGAGCTTGTCCGTAAAATAGCTGCTGCCCGATGCCAGGAGCGCCAGGAGGGTAAATCGGCATGCGTGGACCAATAGACTGGGGCATTCCAAGAGGCCTCATTTGTTGAAACTGAGCCTGCGATCAAGAGATGAGTCAGGTGTAAATTCAGGAAAAAATTGTGCAATTGAAATCATACCTAAAGATAGAGCTTACGATGAAATCATACTTTTCTAGTCACAGCAAGTTTATTAAGAGCATGCTTCTGAAATAGCACTAACCTGTAATCGGGCTCTTCGATCTTCTCTACGCTGCGCAAGCGCAACATAGAGTGGTTTGCTGATCACCATTTTCCCATTCATTTGAGAAAGCTACAAGTACAGAAAAATCAAAAAAATAAAATAAGTGTGTAATCAGCTCCAATTTAGGCACTTAAATTTATATACGACGACTTGGAATAAACTCACAGCCCGAGAAGCTTCCTCAGAAGTAGAAAAGGCGACAAATCCCGACCCCTTGCTAATTCCACTAGGATCCCGCATAACCTGAATCCAAGAGTAATAAAATCATAAACAAAATCGAACAAGAAAAACTGAATTTAATAGTCAAACACATTCCAATGGAGAACAAAAATAATATTACAATACCTTGCACGATGTGATCGTACCAAACTCTGAAAAGAGTTCTTTCAATTTTTCATCATCAATGCTATCATCTAAGTTCTTAATATATAGATTTACTCCTTGAAATCTGTCGACAGTTTCCCTGGCGGCCATCTCGAATCTACTTTTGAGCTCCTGTTCTCTCTCCAACTTCTTCTGGGCTTTCCCAACATACCACTCTTTTTCATCAAATTTCTTCCCATTTAGAGCTTCAACAGCTTTAGCAGCATCATCAGCATTTTCAAAATTGACAAATCCAAAACATTTGGACTTTCCATCAGCATCCCTCATGACTATACAGCTCGTGATAATTCCATATTCACCAAAAATTTTGTTCAACTCATCATCAGTGGTAGATTCAGCTAAGTTTTTCACGTAGACGTTGTTGAACCTAGTTTTATTTGATGCAATGTCCCTCTCTTGCTTACGGAGGAAATGCCCAACATACACCTGTTTATCATTAATAAGCATTCCATTCAACTTATCTATAGCATTCTGCGCCGATTCTTCGTGATCAAATTGCACAAACCCATAGCCCTTGGACTGGCCATTCTGATCCGTTGCCACTTTGCAAGAAAGGATGTTCCCAAAGCTTGAAAAAGTGTCGTGCAGTGCTTTGTTATCAATGGTTTTATCCAAATTCTGCATGAGAAATTCGTCGTTACATTATAGAATAATGAAGAAATAAATAGATAACAACATTGCCCGTAGTGAAGGCACCTCATAAAAAGCAAAAACTTTTAAGGGTTCGAATCGCAGTCATAGAAAACTTAAAAAATTGCTAAAGCAAAATGAATAAAAGTAGATTACTTTGATAAATATATTCGCTGTGCCACTCTTTCGGATACTTGGGTCCCGGTGAGAATACATCACACGAATCGACTTGTTATTGAGAGGAGTGAAATTCAACATTTCCATTGCTCTGGAAGCTGCAAAGCAAATATAACAGGGGAGAATCAGACAGGTTACAATGACATCAGCAAAAGAGACACTGAGTAATGAAACAACATAGTCTAAAAACAGCAGAAAAAAGCAAATCCATCATTGATAAAATGATTTGAGTTTGCAAAAAATAGATTTTACTAGTGTTAATGGCCTAAAAAAATTACTATTCTTCGACCCTATAAACATGATTTCTTTCAACCCTGTAAAGATGATTTCTTTTAACCCTAGATTATCATTGATGGAATGATTGAAGCTTGCAAAAATAAGGCTTGATCAAGCTAATGGCCTAAGAAAAAACTCATTTTCAACACCATACGGGTGTGTTTGGTATAGGAGATGGGAGTGTTTGGTATGTTTCCATTTCTCTAAATCATAATGTTTGGTATTGGAGAAATGGGACTTGAGAAATATTTCTATATATTGAGAGAAATCGAGAGAAATGAATGTCCTATTAATCATTTAGTCAGATAACTTCATCTTTTTACATTTCTTAAGAACTCTATTTTCACTTTTTACCCACTCATTCTGTGCTGAATTCATTTTCTGTAAAGGTAATTCCTTCAACCATTAACTAATCTATCATTGAAAGAATATTTGAAGTTGGAAAAAATAAGGTTCGACAGAGTTGATGGGGGTAAAAAAAACAATAAATTAAAATCGTCCTCAACACTATATAGGCATTTTCTTGCAAATCCAACTTCTGAACTGAATTCTACTTAAAATGAATCACACAATAATACCAAAACAACATTCCTACGAAACATGAAAAATAAAATAAAATAAAGAATTTCAAGACATGCACGCCGCCAAATTATGCAATCACTTGTCTAAAAGAAGCATCACAACAAATTCACACAAAATACAACACTTGAATTGTGAAACACTAGCGCAAAAATCAAGATTTATTGCAAAGAACCAAATCTAAATTAAAAAGTTCTAACCTTCTTGAGGGTTGCTAAAGTTAACATATCCATATCCAAGACTCCGGCGAGTGCCCAGATCTCTGCAAACCCTAACCGAAATCACCTGTCCAACCTGACTAAACAGATCGTAGAGCTGTGAATCCGTCACGTTGAAATCCAAATCACCCACATACAGAGACGTCGAAAGAAGCTGCCCAGCCACTGCCGGCGGCGGCGGCACCGCCACTCCGTTCGGCCCCGTCGTCGCCACCGCCTGAGGCTGCACCTGAATTTGCGCCATCTCTTCCAATTCAGCAAGAATCTTGTCTTTTACGGTTAATTAAAGAGAAATTTTTTTAGGGTTTTCAGGAACGAGTGAACTAAGAAGAAGATGAAACGTTGAAGCTGAGAAAATAAAATAAAATATAATGATAACGGTAGGGAGATAAAGAGATAAGGAAAATATGGAGAGAGTTTTTGGGGTTTTTTTTCTTTGGGAGGGCAGACAACTGCACCGCACTCGAGGAAGACGATGAAGCTCGACCAAGTTATATATGTTAGAAACCCTAGTGTAACCGCCGAGGTGAAATCGTGGCCGCCCATTTATGGCGCCAAGATAAAGAGGATAAGGACACGCGTCCTCGGGACGAGAACTGTGGTCAAATCAGGTTAATGTAATAAGCCGTACGTACAGGGTGCGTCGGTTTTGATTTTAAATAATAAAATTTTGAATTAAAATTGTTGTTTGATGTGATATAATCGTAATTGATACGATTTTTAAATGTAAAATTAAATTTTAATTTAATAAAATAAATAAAAATTTAGTGTTTGATTTGATATTTTTGGAGAAAAAAACTTTTGGAATAGTAAAATCAGACATAAAATCTTACAAGTAAACAGACTATAATTCTCTTGCTTCTATATAATTTGTTTATATTTTTTATTTTTACTCTTCCCGTATAATTTATTCTTAGTCCCGTATAATTTGTCAATTCCATTTTCTATAAAATAATTATACTTTTAATTACATTTTAAATTTTAAATTTTATAATTTTTTTAATTTTAATTAAATTATTTAGTTATTTTAATTTTAATTTATAATTATTTTTATTATACTCTCTTCTGTCCGAATACAATAGTGTTGTTTACTATTTTTATCCGTTCCAAAATAATAGTCCCATTTTCATAAAAAACAATATCACCATAAAATTATCCCTATTTTTTTTATTATTATAATATAATTGCCTTTACTTTTTACACTAAGAACAAAAAAGTCATTTATCCTTACTTTTTACTATTTGTTCCATATATCTATTTGTTTTTTTTATGAAATTTTAGAAATATTAGCATTATATTGGGATAAAGTATAAATAAAGGTAAAAAAACGAAATTAACCCTATTAGTACTGTATGATATAAAGATAATAACATTTGTATAATATATTGTAAATTGAAAGAGTATTTGTAACGTTTGATAGACATTGTTACAATTACTAAAAAAAATAAATATTTGTTATGAGACTGATCAAAATAAAAAAATAGATAAATTATCAGGAGGGAGTATCAATATTCATAATTTGGGACATATGAAATATAATAATTATTTTTATTAATATATTTTTTAACGAATTTAACCGCAGGTTTTTTCATCTTAAACAGTTAGTTATATGGGCCAAATTATATTTCATGGACAATAAGCCCAAAATGTAGATGGGCCGAAATACACAGATTCTTAAATTGAAAACGTGTTTTAGTACCAACGCTTAGAAGATTTTTATGCTGTAATTTCTTGTTCCTTCAACAAAGTTAATATGTTAGAATTTAAAAATTTATATAACACCAAACATCAAATAATATAATTTTAAGATTATTAAGTTCTGTCGAAATTTACTCAAGTAAAATAAAATAATAATATAACAAAACACGATACATTATTTATATCAAAATAATATAACTAACACATACTTTCCTTACATTTCAACACAAAATAGAGAGGCACAATAAAAATACTTACATATATAGAACTATACGTGTTAGTTAAAACAATACTTCTTCTATTTTATTAGTTAATAAAAATATATATGATTACATGTAATGACAGATTTGTAATTCAAATAAAAATTAAAATATAAAATATTTTAGTATTAGTTTATGATTACTTTTTCTAAAATATAAAATATGTATATATAGTTGCAGAAAGAGTATAATATTTGTCTATTTATGATGAACTGAAGGGGAAAATCAGTACCACACCGATTTTCTCCAATCATCACATTAAACTCTTCCCAATATGATGAGTGTCCTAATCTTTAGTAGATACAAGAGAGAAAATTAGACTTATAATGTGTAATAATGTGCCTTCTAAGGCACCCCAGTGATTCATATAATGCTCTACATTTCTTTCAATCAACAAACCAACAACCTTTGTTTCTTGTTTTGAACAACAAGAAATGGTGTCTTACCTGAACATTCATCCTCAGCAAAACCTAACAATCTTTTCCTTCGGGGAGCGACTGTTTCTAGGCAAGCCAGAGTATAGAAAATGAACCATACCATCGTCGCAAATACATGCCTGTCTGATGTACAAGTCTTTCATCTTCGGGCAACACCAAAAAACTTGTAAGGGCTTTATCTCGTCGCCAAATCACTGTCTCAAAGCATATGGTTAGACAAAATAAAATAATTTTCAACCTATACTTCAACACATTTATCCTATCCTCCTCATTCCTATCTGGTCATCAACATTACCCTTTCCTTTCCGAAAATCACCGGGCAACGGAGATGATCATTCGATTCTGTAGCTATCAAAATAAAGATCCAACAAAAACTTATACAAACATATAACAAATCATTAGGGCATGCCAAAAGTAGAACTCCAATGCCATTTCAACAATGCCAAATGCATTAACATCATTCAACTCTGCAAATCTAATGTCAGGAACCTCATGGCCTACAATGTCAGTCAGGAACATTCCTTAGTTACATTCTTAAACCAATGTAGAACAAACAAACAAACAAGGCGGTCCTATGAAAACGTGAGATCAAATAGGGCAAAAACTAGCTTCGTTCTAATAAGGAAAAACCTTCTCAGTTGAACATGGCAGGCACAGGCAGTGTGGTATATGGTAAGATCTAACTGAACTAATATCGTGGTAATATCCAGGAAATCACAAACACTGTTGATCAATTCCGCAGAGGAATTTACAGAGAGAATGAAGAAATTTCAGTTACTCACTCATCACCGCCAACAGAGTTTGATTTCTCGCTCTGCGGCGGTGCCATTGTGGACGGTGCATCCTCCACCGCCTTAATCGGCGGCGGTTCATTGACCTCTGTCGTCGCCGGCGGTGCAGCCTCGGAGTTACCAGATCCAGCCTTCACTTTTTCCAACATCCTCTTACTAATGTCCTTAGCATAAACCTGCAATATCTCGACGCCGTCGCCGTCGGAAGTCTTCGCCGCCGCCACAGCCACGTGGAACGCCTCCTCCTCCATCAACTTGGCAGCATCAACCGCTTCCTCGCGGGAAATGGTGCCGTAACGGTTGGAGAGAATGGAGGGCGATGAGAGGGTTTCAATAAGGCGGTTTCTAACAGCCTCGCGCGTGCGATCACTCGGCGGCCAAACGCTGAAGCGAGCATTGGGACGTTTCTCCGGCGCCGCAGTAACGGCCGCCACGTTCGACGCCTCCGACGATTCAGGCGTTGCTTGGACAGTCTCCGCCGCGGCGGTGGCCGGCAGTGGACGATCGTGGGGTTCGGGATTTTGATCTGCGGTTGTGGATTCAACGCTGTCCGACATTATTGATCGATTGACATAGATCGAAGAATTCTGTTGGGATCGATCTTATAAGAACTTGAAAGTGGGCTTTGGGCTTTCAAATTGGGCCTTCAAAATTGTTACATTGCAGAGTAGTTGTTATCAATAATAAAATCGTGCTATGCGACATGTTTGATAAAGGAAATCGAATACAATATTCACTTATTCATAAAAGAAAATAGACTAAGTATAGTCGGAAACTCACAAAAATTCGAATGGAATCATATCAAAGAAAAATAAATTTGACAGCAACTACAAAGGAACCTTCTGATACATTTCAAATTTAATAATGCTTGTGTAAAATAAAACCCGGTCGCACATTTGCACAGTCAGCATCAAATAATAAGGTCGTGTTTGGCCAGGTTGCAAAGTTTGACGTAAAAAATAATATTGTATTATAGCAATGCTATTTTTATTGTGATGTATTTTTTTTTTTAAAGAAAAAACTAAAATTGTATATAAATTAATTAATTTTTTAAAAAATATTAATGGTAGATATAAAAAATGGTTTAAAATAATATATAAAATGAAATATTTGAAGAATATTAGTTTTGGAGTAAAAAATATAATTACGAATTAGAATAAAATTAGTATAGGAAATGCATAAATAAAATTGTCCTATTGGAAATAGCCTATGTTCAAGTTAGCGGTCACATTCATTTTGTTATGTTCACATCCACGATTTTGATTGATTTTTAAATGATTGAACTAATATCGATTAAATTTAATTATAATAAAATTAAAATTAATAAATTTTTTCTTTTTATAACGAGGTTCAAATTGATTTTTTTAAATTATAAAATCAAATAATCTTAAAATATAGGATTTGCTTGTTTAGTGTTTTAATTTAAAGTGTTTTTTATATATATATATATAAAATATGAAGAATTGTTTTGTTAGTATAAAAATCATTTTATATATCACAACTCAGAGTATTATTTTTGATATTTTTGTATATTTTATGAGAATAATTTTTTTTTTATTTTAGTAAAAATAATACTCCATCTATCCCAAAACTATAGTTTAGTTTGTATTTGACAAGAGATTTAAGAAATATTGATATTATATTAATAGTGGATAAAAAGTAACTTTTTGTCATTACGAGTGTATTAGTGTAAAAAGTTATTGGCAATTGTGTAATAATAATAAAAAAATAATGGTAATTTTATAGTGATATGATTATTTATGAAAATAAAACTATTATTTTAAAACGGACAAAAATGATAAATATGACTATTATATTGGGACGGAGGGAATAATACATTAATACCGAAAATATTTTTAACTTTACTTAAATTATAAATATATAATTAATTTATATATAAAGTAAAAAAAAAAAACAAAAACAAAAATATAAACATTTTTTATACATTGTCGTTAATTAATAATATAAGGAATATATTTGTCTATGATAAATAATCTGGTGGAATGGAGAATGAACTTGCGATAAAGAGATTATATTTTCGACCCTAGTTCACAAGATATTACTATAAATAATAATAATAAGTATTTTTCATCTAAATATAAAATCTCAAAAAAACTCATTTGAAGTAAGATAGGAGGAGGAAATGATATTTTAAGTGTTGATTTAAATAATATTGTAATAAAAATTTCTAGTTTAGTGAATAAATCCATACTTTAATAAAGTCATAACGTACCGGCGACGAACTCCATGATCTTACGGTCGTCGTCTTCCTCGAGGTACTTGTTCTGCAACAGAATGCTGTTAGGCATTTACAGCACAAAACTGCAGGAGCGATGAATGCACACAGTAGTTGAAGGTTGAAGGTTGCAAGTTGCAACTGCCCAAACTATGAATGCACAGATCTTCGTCTCTACCAAAACTCCTCCTCTATATAATTCCACTCCTTCACTAACAGTTTCCCCACCGCACCAAAACCAGAGCTTATTCAGAGAGATCCTCCATACATCCATGGCAAAGGTAAGTCCATTCCCTGCCCAAATCCTCCTCATCCTCTGCCTCTCTAGCCTTCTCTCCGCCGCCGTAAGCCGTCCGATAACCGCCTCCGAAGACGCTCCTATTTCCGACCAAAAGTTCCCCTGGTTAGGTTGGAGCTTCCCCATGCCCAGGCTACCCTACCCCTTGCCTGGCTTCGCTTTCCCTCCATTGCCGTCCGGTTTCCCCAATTTTGAGTTCCCCTTTGGAAATCCGGCGATAAACGCCGATTCCGACATGCAGCAGCAGCAGCTCGTGAAGCCATTGATTCCGCCGGTGGATTCTCCTTTGCACAGCCGGACAGATTCCGAGAACGTGGTGTCGCCGACGAGAAGAACCGGCGGCGCCGCCGCCGCTCCGCCTAGAGCTTAGGACTAATGAATCGAAGTCAGTTCTGTTCAAGAAAATGTCACTATTTGGACAGCAAAATCCTCTTTTACATCTAATTTATGAATAAACGTAGAAATCTTTCCTTTTGTGTTTGCTCTTGCAAAGATCCAAATCATAAGACACATTTATCAAAATCCAAACATGAAACACTCAAGAAACTCAAATCCATTAATCAAGAGACAGAATCTTAACCATGTTACCACCAGGTCTGCACAGAACTTCCAATGGTTTCAATCTTGGCAATGTAAGCCCTTTGCCTTCTGCCATGTCAATGTCTTCTTCTCCAACTCGCTCCCACTCAAAGCATTGTATCAGACCTCCCAACGCAAGCATCGCCACCCGTAGGCCGAGCACAGCCCCCGGACAGGCCCTTCTCCCAGCCCCAAATGGTATAAACTTGCACCCTTGATTGGCATCCCCACCAATCTCTCCGGCCTAAATGCAATAGAATCTTCCCATGTCTTAGGATCCCTGTGGATTGTCCACAAATTCCCTAGCAGCATTGTGCCTCGAGGGATGTTGTATCCGCAGACCCTGCAGCCATTGGAGGATTCATGCGGGATGAGAAAAGGCGCAGGTGGGTATAACTGGAGTGTTTCGCGGACTACGTTGTGTAGGTACACGAGCTTTGGCAAATCATCGTCATCCAACAGGTGGTCTTGCGCACAGCACGCCTCCATCTCTTCAATGGCCTTCTGCATTGCACCGGGATGACTGAGAAGCAGCGACATTGCCCATTCCAGGACAGTCAGATGTAGTTTCTGTCCCGGCACCAAGCATAGCCTGCGACAGTTTTCGGTAAACATCAAGAATGAAACAATGGAATCTAATTTAACAGTCTTCCTCACCAGGATAAGCCCCTTGATGATTTCATCTGCATGCAAAGATGGTTCGGTTTCTTGGAGGGACAGCATGACACCTATCAGTGTCTACCTCGTCGATTCTTTCCCACCATTCGATAATGTCCGATCCAGTCTTGTCCTGGCGGAAAACATTTCAACGGCTGTGATTCGCCTCAAGTTTCGCCAGTGATCACCATAAGGAGCAAAGCCCATGGTTGTACAGTTCAGCTTTCCGGCGAGCAATTCAGGCCGGTTGGCGAATACAAGATCGTTCTTCGTGAGCATTCTTCAGCTGCCTCCGGCGAGGAAACCACCAGCACTTTGCGAACTCCAAACCGCAGAAGCATAACAGGGCCATACTTCTGCGAAAGCCGCTGCAGAGTTCGGTGCACCGGCTCCTTCAGCAGATGGAGATGGCCTAAAATTGGAACCGACGATGGGCCTGGCGGCCGGTTTCCATGAACTTTCAACTGCACAAATCTCAGAACAAAGCATAATAAAGCAGAAAGCACCAAGTACAGCCATATCTCAGATCCCATCTTTCCCAAGTCAAGATCACCTGATTTCAGGGATTTGACTTTCTTCAGCAAATTGTATGTAAGCTAAGCTCCTGGTTCTTACCTTTAACACGAAGAATTATAAATTTATTCCCACTCGCAGACACCCTTTTGTCGATTTTAACAAAGTTGCAAAGTCTTCGGGAGCTCAATACAGTAAATAGTTCGCTCAAGTAATAAAATGCAGTCTGTCAAACCATATATTTTATCATGTTCTTAAGACTAATTAGAATGATATATATATTAATCTAATCAATCCTCTGGATATAGAAATACACAGTGGATAACTATAATTCAAATACTATATTGATACTCGAACAGACATAGGAAGCCAGACACTTTCCTTATCTAGAAAGCTTTTATTTCAGCATTGCATATAACAGTCTTTGCATAAATTACAAACTAGAACGCGTTAATAATCTTACAGTTGATATCCTTAAGCAATCCAATGAGCTAACTGCTGCAGAGCTGCTGTAGAAGATCAGCAGCCTCATGACGGGGACTGCAAAAAGCCTCCAGATGATTTGGCATTGGCAAAATAACCCCGGGACTAGATTTACTATGCACACCCTGCGCAAGTTCGGACACCATTTTCCACTCAAAACACTGGACAAATGCACCCAATGCCAACGAGATGGTTCGCATAGCCATGCCGGCGCCAGGGCAGGTCCTTCTCCCCACCCCAAAGGGTACAAATTTATAGCTAATTTCCTTTTCGAGATTCATGCAGTGAAACCTCTCTGGTTTGAAGTGGTGGGGCTCATCCCACACCTGGGGATCCCTGTGCATTCCCCAAGCATTCACCAGCAGGGTTGTGTCCTTCGGAATAGTGTAGCCGCCGACTGTGCATTGCTCCGACGAATAGTGAGGCAGTAAGAGTGGCACCGTGGTGTGCAGCCTTAGGGTTTCATTGATGATGCATCGAAGATAAGGAAGGTTGGGCAGATCAGCCTCGTTTATGAGGCGATTGTGGCCAATGTTGGCGTCGATTTCTTGTCTTAGTTTGTTGAGTTCGTCGGGATGAGATAGCAGAAGGGACATGGCCGATTGCATCGTCACTGCAGAGGTCTCTGTTCCTGCTATGATCATTGTCTACCAATCAAACATATACAGATGGATTTCAGTCTTTTAAAAGAGAAGATAGAACAAGTAAGGTAAAGGATATCTGAGATTACCCCAAGAAGGCTTTTGATGATGTCGTTGGTGTAGAATTCTGGTTCTGATTCCTTGAGAGATAGCAGGGTTTCGATAAGAATTCGGCTTGGTTTTTCTGGAAATCCATTGTTGTCTCTTCCCTTAAACTCGTCGATCAAACCCTGCAAGTAGGTATCTCTCTTCTCGTGCAATGAAATGATCTTCTTCTCCACACCTTTGTACCCAATCCACCTCAAAAATGGAAAGAAATCACATACCCCAAAATTCACACTACTGAAAAATAATCCCCGAATTCGTTTCACGTTCTCCGGCCCTAATTTGCCACAAATCTCCTCCTCTGCAACGCAGCGACTCCCAGCAATTTGTCTCATTATCAAATTGAAACCATAAGCCGAAAACAAGTAGTTCAAATCGACTTTCTGCCATTCCGATTTGCAAAGCTTAGCCAATTCGCGAACAAACACGCGTATCTCTTCCTGGCGCAGGGCGGCAGAATTTTGCAGCCTGTTTGACGAGAACATCTCGACGACCGACAGCCGGCGGAGGACGCGCCAGGTGTGTCCGTACGGGGAGAATGCGAACGTAGAGTAATTGTAGGTTAGCCGGTCCCCGGCCACAGTCCTAGGGCGGTTGGCCAATACTACGTCGTTTTTGGTGAAGCATTCCTCAATGGCGGACGGAGAGGAAACCACTACGCACGACCTGGATCCGAGTCGGAGAGAATAGATTGTACCGTGACGAGAACCGAGCTCGGTGAGCGCTTGCTGGAGGGGATCCTTGATGAGGTGGAGATGGCCGACGATAGGGAGAGGACGACCGCAACTAGGCGGCGAGCTGAGGGATGGACGAGATGACCGCAGTTTCAGTAAGTGGAAGAGAAGTATGGGGAGGAATAGTAGAAAAACGTAGCTCAGATCCTCCATAGCTTAGCTCTGTAGACTGTAACTGCTGCACTGTATGTAAATAACTCGAAGAAGATGCAAGCCATGACGATAATTATATAGATGAGGTTTTGGGTGGGGTCCTTCTCCAAAATAGCCGCCACGTCCCACCGTAAATTAATGGTTTATTTAACAGAAGCTCTTTCATGATTTGACACCATTCACTATACCCCTTTAATACTAATCAACACTTACTTTGTTTTTGGTTGTTTATCCGATACCTGATACTTACTCTCGACGCGCGGCAAGGAAAGTATACATATTTTTATTTTTATTTTTATTTTTCATGCATAATTATAAAATAAATATTTTATTAAATAATTTATTTTTTTATAAATATTTTTATTTTATATTATATCATTATTTTATATTAAAAAATAAAAATAAAAATATTATTAAATTATTTTAAATTATTCACTATAATTAAAATATTATTATTTCTTAAACATTGCGTCAAAAATAAATGTATACTTTGTGTATAGACGGAGGAAGTACTTTTTTTATTTTGAGTGAAATGGATATTCAAAATCCTTTTATTTTTATTTTTTAAAAAGTTTAAATAATTTTATAAATATTTAAAATTTTAATTTTATACAAATATTTTATCTTAATTATAAATAAATACTTTTTTATTTTTTTTATTAAATAAAATTTTATTATTTACAAAATAATATTTATATTATATATTTTTTTTTATTATTTTAAAAATATTTAAATAAAATGTATATACTCAATGTCATGCCAGAGAGTTCTTATTGATTTTTTTATATTGATCTTTTAATACTCCCTTTGTCTCGAGCGTTTTAATAGGTGACCTGAGTTATCAGATGTTTGAAATTATGATTTTGATCACAAGTCCAACCCTTTCAATTCTTATACCACCAGATTATCCCTTATAGGATAATATTTTATTATTTTTTTATATATGTAATGTTGTTGATATTTTAAATATTTTTTACAAATTATATCATAATAAAATATATATAATATGAATATCATTTGTAGATAATAAAATTTTATACAATACAAATGAATAAAAAAAATATTTATTTATTTATTATTATCCTAAATTAGTTTTATAAAAAATGAAGAGTTTTAAAGATAAATAAAAATATTTGTTAATTGATAAGAGGAGCATAAAATAAAAAGGTTTTGAGTGAATCCTGCAGGTAAGATGTTAAAAATTTAATTAAATTGATTTATATTTATTAAGTATGTTTAAAATTGATAAACTTAAAAATAAAAAAAATTAATCATCTGTAATGGGACCGAAAGAATATTATTTACTATATTCATTAATCTCTTATAATACAAATAATCGGTCAAATTTAAAAAACAAACTTAAACGCAGACCAACGAAATATTAATTTATTTTAAAATTATAATATAATTAATTAAATAAAAATTAATAAAATAATATTATAATTTACTATTATTAATTACTTAAATAGTTTTACCTAAATATCGTACTCCCTCCATTCCATAATAAAATATCCATTTTTCTATTTTAGTCTATCTCATAATAAAGTATCCATTTAATTTTTTTTAGTAACTGTACTATCTACTTAACATTACAAATATCTTTACAATTTACAATATTATACACAAATGTCATTACTTTTATATCACACGTATTAATAAAGTTATTTTAGTCATTTTTACTTTTTTCCTAATATATCATAATATAATACTATTATTTTCTAAAATTACGTGCAAAAAGCAAATAGATATTTAATTTCGGGACGAATGGAGTACTATTAATAAAATTGTCAATTATACGGGGAATGATAAATTATACTCCCTCCGTCTCATATACCATGTCCACGTTGCTATTTCTGTCCATCTCACGTACTATAACATACCACTTTCCGTTTTTGGAAAATGATTACACACTTTAATCTCATTTTAAATTTTTTAATTTTATTTTTTTAATTTTAATTAAACTAATTAGCTATCTGAATTTTAATTATAATTATTTATATTATAGAATAATTATTTTCACTAATACATTTTTAATTATTTATTAATTATATTTTTTTCTAAAATATTATGTTTACAATGTAACAGTAGGTGGGAAGGAGAAAGTAATTTAGGTTGAGAAAACAATTATGAATACTTGGAAAGACAAACGAATTGGGAAAAGGTGACAAGGACGATGGAGAGAAAGTCAATTGGGGGACAAGTACCCGAAAAACGAGCACCTATAGAGAAAAGGAATGGATTAGTCCCGATATGGCTTAGTAGTCAGGGTTGGATCTGTGATCGTGATTTCTGAGGCATCAGATCATTTGTTACTCATATTTGTCTAATGTGATTTTTTTATTAAATTTAATTTGTAGGGTATTAGATTCGGTTAGGAATTTAATTAGTGCACACAAAAAAAAAAACAGATGGATTAGAGTTTATTTGGTATATATAAATTTTAAATAAATAATTTTTATTTATATAAATTTATAAATATAATATTAAAGTAAGAAATTAATGATTAATAGATCATAATGATTTATTTTAAATAAGAAAATAATACTTTTGAAATGGAAGGAAAAAAAGGTAAGAAAAGTATTTGAATGAAGATGAAGAAAGTATCATTTATTACAAAACAAGCAAAAAAAAAAAAAATTAATTAAAATAGAATGAAAAGAGTATTTTTCAGTTTATTCTTTTACTATTGTTTCAAATCGAATCAACATTATTTATTTTATATTATTTTCAATAAAAATATATTATTATATTTCACAAAAATATATAATTAAGCACACAAAGTGAGTACTATTTTGTTAATGGAAATTTACACGATCGTTCCAATTTCTAAACACAGGGAAAATGACGGAGAAGCCTTTCTAGTGGTTAACACGCGTAAACATTTTATTGGTTAACGCTTAATGAATCCTTAGCAGTAACAGGAGCTCAACTCCAGTGTTAATCTACACCGTTGATTATAAGGAGACAGGAAATCTACGTCAATTTGGACCTACTCCAGGTAGGGACCTCGGGAGTTGAAGTGAACTATTCCCGATGGAGAACACACACGGCGTGGTTGTCTTTTCTGCGAATCTGTACGAGATAGAGGGCCGATGCCACACGCCACCGCCGACCTGCGCCAGCCACCGATCGCCGCCGATGCAATTTCGAGTGAACACCTCACTGAACAGGAAGACACAGTTTAACCAATCCAATGGACTCACCGCCGCCACGAAACGACGCCGTCCCCAATTCGAGTCCAGAATCTCCACAACTACAAGCGCTAGAACAGTCGCAAGATGACGAATCCCAGCGTCTGTTGCTCGCGCCATCATCCGACGGCGTTATCAATAAAACGACGCAAAAGAACGGCGCCGAAGAAGGCGAGGACGAGGAAGCAGCGTACGAGGCGCGGGAGAAGATCCAAATCGGCGAATTCGAATTGGATTCCCCGAATTACTCAGCCGTCCCTGCTTTCTCCCTCAAGAAGCTATGGCTGTTCACCGGACCGGGGTTTTTGATGAGCATAGCGTTTCTAGATCCGGGGAATCTCGAGGGGGATCTCCAGGCGGGGGCAATAGCGGGTTATTCATTGCTGTGGTTGTTGATGTGGGCAACGGCGATGGGGTTGTTGATTCAGCTGCTTTCTGCGAGAATTGGGGTTGCCACAGGCCGGCATTTGGCGGAGCTTTGCCGCGAGGAGTACCCGTATTGGGCGGGGATTGTATTATGGTTCATGGCGGAGCTGGCGTTGATTGGGGCAGATATTCAGGAGGTCATTGGAAGCTCCATTGCTATTCAGATTTTGAGCCGCGGCGTCATTCCACTTTGGGTTGGGGTTCTGATCACTGCTTCTGATTGGTATGCCTTTCCAGATTTATTCATTAATTTTCTACTCAAATCTTCTTTATACCAAAAAGATTTACTGTTCAGTTACAACTGTTAATCCATTAAAGATGGTTGTGTTTATGATAAAATCCTCAAAGTTTACTCTTAATTCTGCAGTTTAATTACAGGGAGGATAGCCTGCATACATTTGATTTATGAATTCAAACAATCTTATTTCAGTATTTGTCACCATGTCTGTTCTTATGGTTTAAAACCTGCTTTCTTTACATTGTGATCTATGCGAATTGCACTTTACTTTATTAGCATTTCGTGAAAGAAATTGTGCATTTTCAGGATAACAATATTCTGTATGAGAATGTAGTAATTGGGATTTTGTTTATTTAGTTTGTCTCTGTGTTATTGATACTCAGAAACTGCCTGAGTGCATAGGACTGGTTGCTGATGCTGGGATCGTCTTTTTAGTTTGTTTGTTAGGTGATGAGTTGATTACTGAATGATCTTTCGTGAAATTCTTATACAGCTTTATATTTTTACTTCTTGAAAACTATGGAGTGAGGAAGTTGGAAGCTGTTTTTGCAGTTCTTATTTCAACTATGGCGTTGTCGTTTGCTTGGATGTTTGCCGATGCTCAGCCAAGTAAAAAGGAGCTTTTACTCGGTTAGATACAGAACGCTCTCGAATTTAAATTTCCTCTCGAATTTAAATTTCATCTTTTATAGAAGGATAAAGGAGTTGTATAAAATGCGATTTCCTTGCAATGTTACAGGTCTTTTAATCCCAAAACTTAGCTCAAAGACAATTCGACAAGCTGTAGGAATTGTCGGCTGTGTAATAATGCCACACAATGTGTTTCTGCACTCAGCTCTGGTACAATCGAGAGAAATTGACCCGCGCAAGAAAGGTCAGGTTCAGGAAGCGATCAATTACTACACCATCGAGTCATCCCTTGCACTTCTCGTCTCCTTCATGATTAACTTGTTTGTCACGACTGTATTCGCTAAGGGATTCTTTGGAAGTAAGCAAGCACACACCATAGGCCTGGTGAATGCTGGACAATATCTTGAAGAGAAGTACGGTGGAGGGCTCCTTCCGATTCTTTACATATGGGGAATTGGATTATTGGCTGCTGGACAGAGCAGCACAATTACGGGTACTTACGCCGGACAGTTTATAATGGGAGGGTTCCTTAACTTACGTCTGAAAAAATCGTTGCGGGCTTTGATCACTCGAAGCTGTGCTATTATACCTACTATAATAGTGGCACTGGTTTTCAACAAATCCGAGTCATCTTTAGACGTGCTGAACGAGTGGCTCAACGTGCTGCAGTCAATACAGATACCATTTGCGCTCATCCCTCTGCTAACTTTGGTGGTGAAAGAGCCTGTAATGGGAGACTTCAAGATTGGCCCAACACTGGAGGTGAGTCACGAATTCATCGCATCATAAATTCATTATACCATTTTATGCGGTGATTTGCAAAGTAGACTTATGTAAACATATTTGATTTAGAGATAAGCATCTAATCCTGTGTTATACGAATTTGCAAACTGTTCTTTATTGCAGAGGGCCGCGTGGACGGTGGCTGCGCTAGTGATGGTGATAAACGGGTACCTTCTTCTCGACTTTTTCCTCTCGGAAGTCAATAGCCTGTTGTTTGCTTTCCTTGTTTTTGCCGGTGCTTCTGCGTATGGTTCATTTGTAGTGTATCTTATTTCTCATAGAAATAGCGAGCTTTTGAATTGGCTTAGTCGACGTCTACCCGGTAGATTTGGTTACTCTGAAAATTAACCCGAAAGCGCGCAATGGGACTCGAATTTGCTCTCCTCATTCATCGAATGAACCTTTTTGTAACTACTTGGTAGGATCATCACACGAAAGTTTGGGCATATAATTTTATGTATGTGTGGTATTTAATCACAAAATTGAAGGGAATTTGTTGGAGCTCAAGAGAAGTTGAAATTTTTGGTTTGATGTACAGCAGATTAAGGGGCTTTTGTAATCTCGGGTTTCCGCTGTATTTAGAATCGTTAACGAGCCGAATCGAACACAATTTCAAGTGATTTTGTTTATTTGTTAACGTTGGTAAGCAAAGCCAACTCGTTTTGTAGTAATGATTACTATGAACAAATTGCAAAACCCAAATAATAATATCATCCCAGTATGTATATATATATATATATATATATAATTATCTGGATTTAAGATTTACAGCTCGTGTAATAATTACTAATTTGGTGTAGCCCAATACTGAAAATTTAATTTAAAAATGATATGAAAATAGTGTGTATACAAGTTGCATTAATTAATTAAGAATAAGAGTAATCATTATGATCCTTGTGAATTTAACCACAAGATTTCTCAAATTAATTTAAAATTAAATTCCATAGTCACATTTTATTGCCAAGAAAACCAAAGTACATACATTATATGTAACCGTGAAATTGTATATCAAATTGATTGTTAATTTATAATTATTTCCCTACGCTTGTCTCCGTTGGCGTGATTTTGAATTTTCAAATTAAAAAAAAAAATAAAAATCATTATTTGATATAATAAAAAATATTAAAATTAATAATTTTGAAGGATAGTAGAAATAAAAATTAATAATAAATAAGCGTCGTCTGCTAAATTCGTCGAATTGTATTCAATTTGTTCCATGGATCGAAAGCACGGATTCTTCGCCTCTCTCAAGGAGGAGGTCATTCGTGGATTGTCGCCGGCGCGCTCGACCAGCGCCCGGAGTCCGTCTCCGTCTCCTTCTTCTTCTTCTTCCTCCTCCCGTCGCCGGAGAAAAGGCAGCGGCGGAGGAGCTATCCGGCCAGGGGTAGAGACGCTGTCGCCTCTCCCGGAGGGTCCGGATCCGACGGCAGGATCCGACTCCGACGACCCGAGGAGCGACGGGTGGGCTCACTGGCTCTGTCGCGCTCCAGTTTCCAATTCCGCCGCCGGCTCGCCGGAATATTCTAGGTCGAATCTCCGACTCCTGCTCGGAGTCCTCGGCGCGCCGCTGGCGCCGGTGCACGTTAGCACCAACGATCCTTTACCTCATCTCTGCATCAAAGACACCCCCATTGTTAGTCTTACTGTATTACCCCTCTCTCTCTCTCTCTCTAAAAAATTTGGTCTTTCCGGCGGCCGTGACGGCGGGTGATTTCGTGCAGGAAAGCTCGTCGGCTCAGTACATACTGCAGCAGTATGTGGCGGCGTCGGGCGGGGCGAAGGTGCAGGCGGCGATCCAGAAGGCGTACGCGACGGGGAAGGTGAAGATGTCGGCGTCGGACATTGAAACGCCGACGAAGGTGATAAAGAAGAAGCAGTCGTCGAGGTCGTCGGAGTCCGGCGGGTTCGTTCTCTGGCAGATGAGCCCCAACATGTGGTACGTCGAGCTCGCCATCGCCGCCAGCAAAATCCACGCCGGCTGCAACGGCAGCCTCGTCTGGCGGCACACCCCCTGGCTCGGCGCCCACGCCGCCAAGGGCCCCGTCCGGCCCCTCCGCCGCACCCTCCAGGTAATTATAAAATGTGATATTTTAAATTAAAATTTAATTTTTATATAAATAATATAAAATGTATAAAAGATATTGTCCATTAAAATTAATAGAAAAATTAAAAAGAATTACTATAAGTAACTACTTTATCTTTTTTTTTTTTTTTTCATACATTTTTTTTTATTAAATGTAATATCACACTTAATATTACAAATGCTTTTGTATTATACAAATATTATTATATTAATTTAATCTTTTATTTTTATTGTTACTGTATTTTAAAATAATATTAATATTTTTAAAATTCATGCAACAAAGCAACATATATATATATTACTTTCTTAAAATTAATAATAAAATAAATTTAGTTGACGTATTTAAAACGAAAGTAGAAATAAATTTGATGGACACAAAAGTAATTAGAGTGTGTTTATTTTGTAAAAATTGTTTAAAAGATATTTCTTATGTGAAGTACAAATAATTGTATTATGAAATATAAAAGTAATGAATATGTGTAATATAGTAATATTTTTTAGAAAATATAAAAAAATTAAAAGAAAAAAATAATCCTAAATATTTACTTTGAGATGTGGATGAATTAGGGTTTGGATCCGTGGACGACGGCGAGCATGTTCGTGAACGCGAGATGCACCGGAGAGAAGAAGATCGACGGCGAGGATTGCTTCGTCCTGAAAATCGGCGCCGACGGGCAGACTCTGAAGGCCCGGAGCGAAGGTCCGGCGGAGATTATCCGGCACGTTCTGTTCGGCTACTTCAGCCAGAAGACGGGCCTTCTCGTGCATTTAGAGGATTCTCATTTGACGCGAATTCAGACCGCCGCCGGCGAGGCTGTCTACTGGGAGACGACGATCAACTCCTTCCTCGACGACTACCGCCCTGTCGACGGCGTAATGATTGCCCACTCCGGCCGGTCTCTGGTGACTCTATTCAGATTCGGCGACACGGCGATGACCCACACGAAGACGACGATGGAGGAGACCTGGACGATTGAAGAAGTCGCATTCAACGTCGCCGGCGTGTCGCCGGACTGTTTCATTCCGCCGGCGGAGCTGAGATTCGATTCCGTCGACGGCGAACTGTGAATGCAAATCAAAATCTGTATATATATATATATATAACCCCACGATTAAATGCATCGATCCTGTTTCAGAATTAAAATCCACAGAGAATAATTTCTGCCATTGCCAATCAAATGTAAATTTTAAATTTGGGAAGAGTTCTTGATTTTTTATAGTTAGATTTATTGTTCTTTGCTACCCAAACATAGCTAATTAACAATTCTTGACATAAGCTGAGTTCGATTAATTCTTCAATTTTCTTGAAATCGAATGTGTAATGGGAATTGGGGTCAGAAATGTCGAAAACCTAATAATGACAAGAATGCATGATTATCATTTATGACAGAAGCATGTTGTCTGGTTATGATTATGGTAATAAGAGCTTCACAACAAAGCCACTTTCAATTTATTTTTTAAATGAAAATCTTTGTAGTCAAACATCCACCACCCATCCATAGCCGTTAAGAATTTAATATTTAATATAATATTAAATCAAAATAAAAAGAGCTGAGCCACAAATTTTGGACCAAAATGCTGTGGGCCCAATAAATAATTGGGCTTATCAATTCAGGCCCATTAACAATATATTCACATTCAATATGGAATTATGCAGACACCACTGATTCATACCAATGTTCATTTATAAATTATACACCACTATATATATATATATATATATAAATATAAAACACACACCATATATTAAAACCAATTAGCAGCAATTTATTGCAAAGAAGGTCATCTTCCCAAACCATAGTTCCTTTCAGCATTCTTGATCATCCCTGAAGCAAAACAGAATATGGTTTACATAAACAATATTCCACCATTCTTGAAGATAGCTTTGAACTCGTGTGTATATATATATATATATAATTCTTTAAATTCGAATGAATTACATGATAACTGATGCTCGGAGAATCCACCGGCGCCGGAGCACTGCTATACCTTAGTATCGTTCCAGAACATAATCGTGTCAGCATTTCAATATGTATATATTCAAGTATGAGTTTTGTGTGTGTGTGTGTTGTACTTTTTTCGCCGGAGAACTCATCGAATAACAAGAAACAACTGACCTTTCATAGTTTGTATCCAAATTAAGCGAACCATGATCATCGGCATTCTACAAGAATCATTTCACACATAAGAACAGAACAAACAGTAATGTAGAGTATCAAATGGCAGTCAAGTTCTTACAGCAGAGTAAGAATGCATCCAGCCCGGGATGGTGTCCGAGAGGACACTAATATACTGCTCCATGGCTGCCTCGCGGCCCATGCTCCCGAGCCTCTGCCAAGCATTCCTTGCACAATCGAATTAGCGCCCCCCGTCACTCACATATAGCAGCAACCCTGTTATATAGCTAGCAATCAAACTATACCCTGACCGGCTATCCAATTATCGACCCTATACACTAGTTGTTTCCTTGCATCGACACAATTAATAACATTCTAATACATTCTCATACTTCTTGTCATCGCTTTAATCCCTACCTGTTCAAACTTCTATGTGGCAATGTTAGGGCTGCTAATCTATATTCCGACCAACTAATTTTCAACAAGAACAATGAAAGTTAAAAATGTGCACGAAAACAAACATCTTATATCAACAAGAATCGAAGAAAGTTTAGAAATAGAAATACCATCTGGCGCGAGCCGAGACTTTGAGAGCCATGGGCGGAGGATCGTGGCAAGGCCCTTCCACGGCAATCTTATGAAGTCCATATAATTGCATCTGCACATCACTACCTGATTTCGTCAAATGATCAGTCCCCTTCACACCATACTCAACATAGTTGACAGCCTCTGCAAATGCTTTCTCCAATTCACTCCTCTCTATTCCCTCCCAACCACCATCATCATCATCGTTGTTGTTGTTGTCATCAATACCACCACCACCATCGACCATAACCCCCCTGTTTTCAACCTCCTTATGGTCTACCTGTCCCTCAATCTCAACAATAGCAGTTAAACCCCTTCCTTCCTCAATTCTCACTTCATTCTTTTCCTCAAGGATCACACTCTCCAGATCCCCCCGGCTTTCGACCTCCTCATCATCCACCTGTCCTTCATTCTCTACCATAGCCATTAAACCTCTTCCTTTCTCAATTCCTACTTCATTCTTCTCCTCAAAACTCACACTCTCTCGATCACCATCACCATCACCGGCCATGAAATTCTCCTCCTTGGGGATAAAACCCTCATCCATATTGCTCCCACCATCACTGTGCTCGTCAACCAGCATTGCAACTCTATCCAACTTTCCTCCTGAAACCTCATTCACACCCGATTCATCAACCCTTTCTTCAAATTCCTTAATCACTGATTCAACACCAACACCATCACCATCACCACCCAAGAATACCCTGCTTTCAAACCCTTGGAAACAATCAACCTTCCCCACCACAACATCATCCACAAACTTCACTCTCTTCTTCTTCTTACTCTTCCCAAACCCTTTACCACTCAAACAATCGTCAACTTCATCAACACAGCAAACAACAGTATTACCCGAGCAACAAACAGCAAAAGAAACAATCTTAGCAACAGCAAAGGACAAAACAATCACCATAAGAGCTGTAAAAGTCGGTTCTTGAAAAATCTCCATGCGATCAAATTCCAAGTCCACAAAAGATTGTGGAAGAGCAGAAACAATAAATAAAGAAAAAAGTAAAAGCAGGGAAGATGAACACCAGATAAAGAGCCACTGACAGATTCAAAAGAATGACGACAAGGGATAATGATGAGCTATGGTTAACATCTATAGTCGAGACTCGAGAGGAATTATTTATCATTTATTTCCTAAAAAGTAAAAAGTGATCTGAACTTATTTTCAAGAAAGGATGTTTGTGGAGACGAGCAAAGCATATTCTTTCCCCCTTTCCCTTTCCGTGCTCCCTTTAGTTATTGTGGGACTATCTGTGGCACTGTGTGTGGGTACTAAAGGCAACCCCCAATCAGGCCTCATGGAAATGTCACCAAGGTTGTCAGACTTACAAATGTTACCATCTGTGGGAGTGGGGCTATCCACATCTTAAAGTAGTCAGACATTGGATTGAAATTCCTCTATCATACAGAGCCATAGTGATAAAAACTTATGTTGAATAATCAAGAAGATGCATTGTTAAATCTCTCCATGACATTTTTACAAAGTCAGCATTGGCAAAATCCAACTTGTGTAGAAGATAAAGCATGCGTGTGTGTATATGTTGAATTCAAAAAGGAAGTCATATCTTACAAGTTGAAGCAATCCCATGAATTTTCCAACTCTAATACAAAGATTGACTGCAATAAATTTCTCCCAAGGTTAACATGTGAATATGTTGAGCTTATCTAATAAATTACACATGTCCAGCTTTGACAGGGAAAGCAAACTTACATAATTAATGCTATAGGGGTGGATAGGGTTGGAGTACTTGAGACGTGTGATTTAAATCCCTCTAACCTACACCTTATTGGGAAAAATATATCAAAGAAAGAAAAACAATCATGCTTGTAATGTGAGAAATCTTTTTGCTTTCTTTTGTTGTCACACGAAAGCAGGCTATTTCACATTCAATGTATATATATTGCAAGCCTAATTTAAGATAATTACCAAGTTAACCAAAATTAAATAGAATATAGTTTATGTAAATGAATCATACATAAGGTTTACCAAAAACTGCAATGACAACAATACAAGCAGCACACAACTTGCAAGAACCAAAATGAAGAAAACAAAAAACATGTGAAATTTAGGTGAACAGCGTATGTAAGAAGAAATAGCACTTCTATAAACTAAAATAGCATGTAAGCTTGAAAGATTCGACCAGATACATTCTTAACTATGATGTTCCTTCTTCCTCTGTCAATCAATGATTTGCATTAGAATTCTAACCAAAGAGAATGCTATGAACCAGGGGTTACATTTTAGTTGGCATGGTTTAACTCCTAGAGTAGCACCATGCAGCACACGGACGGACAAGTTAATTGAAGAGGATCAGTTGACTGGATCACTCCCCCACAGCATCAGCACTGACCTTGTTATACAAACGGTACAACAGAGTAGATTTCGACATTTGAGGCTCTCTTTCTAGTATGGCGATCACATCTTTAATTGAGATGCTACGTGCTACTCGCGGTACAATGACTTGGTTTCTTCCCACTTTTCTAACGGACGCTGCATGGAAAGAATAAAGTCAGGAAATATCTTCTTAGAACTGTTACTGGACACAATTTTGCATTATCACTGTTTTGAATGTAACATTAACCTAAGGAATTCAACATGTTCCCTTTTTCTGGTAATAGCAGAAGTCAGAGATAAAAAAAAATTAAAAAAAAGCGAATATGTCCAAAGATAAATCTTAAATGCATGTGCTGCAACAATTAAGTAGACATTCTATATCAATCGATTTAAATGCCTAGCATAGGTTCTTGATCCTAGGGGAGACATGTCAAGTTGTACATCACAGTTCATACGCTCCGATACGAATCAACTTGAGAATTCTGCAAGAGAAAGTCATTCCCCCTACAAGATAACATACCTGGGGTGCTAAAAGCTGATGAAGAATCCCGCTTTTCTCCTTCTTGATTTTCTCTTGTGCTTTTTGAAGCAGTTGTTGAAGGCTTTCGTGGTGGATCTTTACTGGGCTGTGAACTGGATGCTGTATCAGATCCTCCTTGTTTCTGTTTCGCCTCAATCATCAATTGCCACCTTGACAGCATGTCTCCAACTCCAGTAGCAGCTCGAACAGCAACATTTGCAGCTGTTGTGCGCATTTTATCATCTTCCTCCTTGTTAACCTGCGAATAAGATGGTACTTATATATTCTATCAAACACACATAAGATATAAATTAAATTTCAGTACCTTTGATCTTGCTCGACCTTCATCCTTCTCTTTGTCACCATCAGCTCCAGCAGAATTCTCTGACTGCATATCACAACACACAAGTTCACACTGATTCTGCCTCTGAGGAAAGGTAGTGTTAATGCAAAATTAAATAATTAAGTGGAAGAGGTGGATATATACGTCATTCAGTTTTTGTGACTTTTCAGTTTCAGCCTGTTTTTTCTCCCATTCTTCACGAGCTTTATTATTTATTGCCATGATTTGTTGCCTAACATCTGAAGTGACAATAGTTCTGTGCCTTGGCTTCTCCATATCAACGCGCTGAAGAAATAATTAGAATTCAACTGAGATAAACCAAGATATCATTCTTAAAAATGAAGCGGATCTAAACCCCAAAAAATGGGAAGAGATACAGGGAAAATGTGGCAGAAGATATAAAAGAATGGAAATTAACCTGTTTTGAAAGTCTAATGAGATTAGATACAAGCCCACGCATTCTTTCTTCCACACACTAAGCAGACAAGAAGCAGAAGATAAGTACATATATAAGAAATTATGACTAGAAGAAAAATATGTCCCAACTATTTGCAGACCTCAATGTGCATTATATTTAATCACGTCAAATGAATGACAACATTCTTTCAGGATAACTTTCTAAAATCACATGAAATGCTACGCCGTCCCTACAATTCAACATGAATTACCCATTTAGAGCATATTTCATATATTATATCTTACCAAGGACAAACACCTCTCCACATCGTTGCTCATGTTCTTTAGACCACATTTTGCCACTGTCACAAAGCATGAGTATCAATAAACATGTTGACTCCAAAAAAGAAAATAAAGCCCAGAGTCGGATACAATGATGGTGATAAAGGGAAGCAATGTCTTTTCACTTTGCAAATACTAACTTATCTCCACCACTTTCTTCTGAAGTGGAATCTTGTGCAAGATCAGTCTCTCCTCTTCTTCTTGAACAGCACGCCTAGATGCCTCTGAAACACGAGTGTCTTCCTTGGAACCAGATAAGAGCTGTTCCTCCTCTTCCTGTCATGCATTTTATTTCATTAGATCAAAAGAGTACAAAGAAAAGGGACGTCAAGTGGATGGAAACACAATTAAAATTATTTGTTTTGTATATAATGTAAAGACTAGCTATGGAAGATTTACCCTGAGATTCACTCCGCTTACTGCAGTCACATCATTGAGATGCTCAATGCTTTGGTCTAAAAACGCCCCAGACACTTTTTGCTTTTTACTGTTGGAACCCATTTAGAAGAATTAAGTAATAATCCCAGATAAAGAAACAAAAACATAAAAAACAAGAATAGCCCATACAGGTATGTTACAATAAAGCAAAATCTTAGTCTATAGAATAACAAAAAACACTCACCTTGATGGGGGAGAAGAAACAGGGTCCATTGGCTTCTTCTGGCCAACCAATGGCTTTTTGGTGGGAACCTTGGAAGTAATCCCAGGCCCAATAGAAGTTAAGGAAGGCATCCGAGAACTTGACTGACAGAACCGGAAAGAAGAAAGGATTTAGGGTAATCAAAACATGCAGTTTGCACACAAGTAGTCGCAAAATGTTAATATAATTTTGTCCCATTTACAAATTACTTATGATAAGAAACACACAAGTGGAGAGAAAATATGGAGAGTTCAACCAGTGCTAGATGGATGAGGGAATAAACAGAAATTAAAATGAGAGAAGCAACCAGGTTAAGAACATTTCAGACAAAACTATGCTCTTTAATAATTACCTAGAAGTTTATCATTTATTTGTTGAATGAACACTATAGGAGCTCATCTCATTTAAAAAGCAACTGGCTGTACATTTCATGGTTCTTCCAGACGATGCTAATGCAAACCTCATCTCACAACTTTCCATCAAGCTCATTGTATCTATTGAGTTACAAAAGTTGCAATTAAAACTTATCTAAGTTGTGCAAGTTCCTATTAAGAATAAAAAACGACTACAGAAAATATCTGGAAACACTCTCATCAACGTAAAACATGGGAAAATATTAGATCCTATTTGGGTAAATAATATTTAAGGCGTGTCACATCGGGCTAACTAGGGAAGGATAACTCGACGAACCTATTCCCGCACAATAAAGTGGCGAGGTTCTCTGATTCACATTGAAAGATCAGTTGCAAAGAAATAAGAAGAATACTTCAGAAACTATAACATCTTCACAGTTAATGGCACAGGGAACCCACCGAGAAACAAAACAAAAAACTAAGTTCAGTAACACCACAAAAATATCCTGAAACAATGAGAATGTATCTTTATAATGAATCATTGGCTAGTCTGCAAGAAAAAATTAGTGTCAAGTCATAACAAAGCCCTTATAACTTGGTATGCACGAAAAACAAGTCTTCATTTTTTACCTCAAATTTCTTGGACACTAGCTAGCGCTACATCTGTTTTCCTCAAATTGCTCAGATACTAGGCACAATATGATAATGCTAGTTCATCCAGGTTCCACACTCTGATTATGTGAACACTGCTGAGCTATGACCAACTCAATAGTTAAAAGTTCAAATAACTATTTTATTTCTACAATGTTTTCAATGCTCAAGCATCATAATATTTAAGATATTGGACGTTTTCAAGCATATCAGTGCATGCAGTACTTAGCCCATCTAAAAACCAAGATAAATCAAGACAAAACAGCAAAACAGAGTCATAATATACCAGCATGTTGATCTCCATTGGGCTAGAAACTGAGGAGGGGCCTCCATGCCCAGGACCCAAACTCGCAGATGGTGTGAATCCGGTTCGAGATGATTGCATCTCAAAACTTTCATCCTTCAAATTTCCTGGAACAGCATTTCCCTGCTTGACTAAGGGAGAAGACAAAGAAGAGGGCCCATGAGAGGAAGACATCTGGGTTTTGAGTTGTTCATTTGATTGATCCACTGGCTCCTGCTTTACATGAGGCATAGATGATGAAATGCCAAGTCTTTGTTCTTTACTGGAGGATGTCGACCACGGAGCCTGATTCTGTTGAAGTGCTGCATTGCTGTTCATGGCATTCAGATTTCCAGCCTGTATTTTCTTGGGATCACCAAGAGTGTTGGGCCTTTCAAACTTAGACATATTTATCATACTCGTGGAATTGGCTGTAGGCCCCAAGTGATTCGCAGGCATGTTCTGATGAGCTGGACTCTGCCTCATCTGAGAATCATGTGTTTGAGATCGGACGGAAGTTGAAGATAAAGAATTAGTTGCAGAGAAAGGCGGATAACTACTCCCAGCATTTCCGTATGAGGGGAAAGATGATTGTGAGAAGTGCATATGCTGCTGCTTATTAAATCCCTGTGTGGCAAATGTAGGATGTTTTCTATCCTGACTTAAACCACTCGAACTGGAAGTTGACATATGGTTTATATGTATGCCCTGGGAATCTGCTTGGCTCTCAACATCAAGAGACTTAGCCAAGTTATTGTCGTTTGTTGACGTGCTAATATCTGTTGATGGTTGAGAAGTAGCAGAAAATGTTAGCAGTAGGGCAGGGAATCTTCTCAAGCAATCAAAAAACTTACAGGATTACTTTAACAAAAGGATTCAGCACCTGATTGCATATGCTGTCGAGCCGAGACCTGTAGTGACTGAAATGGGTTGGCACCAGCTTGTGAGCTCCTAGCAGCCTATTTACATTTCTTATGGAATTAATTATACTCTACTTCCAGGATATTATAATTCACAACATGTGGCTAATATAACATGAACACACCTGATTCTGTAGTTTGTATACAGCCATTTTCAACATTTGGTCACCAACAATACTTCTCATGTGCCTAACAAAACCATCTTTAGAAATCTCATTTTTCTGAAACAATGTAATTATGAGGATCAGAAATCTATAGTTTGGTCATCATAGAAATACATGTGAACATTTTGAGCAACTAAAAATTACCTTCAACTTGAGGTAAAGGGTGTGAAGTTGCATAGCTCTGTCTTTATCAAGCTGAGGTTGTATGATAGGAAGCAGCATGCCAAATGGGACTTGCTTGTTTAACTTCACTTGGGCACCAGGCTGTTGATTACTATTTGTCACAGGCAGTTGACTACCAATCCCTGAGGTCATTGACTGTTGGCTGCTCATTCCCATCCCAGTAGTACGTTGAATCATTGTTGGCATAGTCTGTTCATTACTGATTCCAGTACTTACTGTTTGTTGATTTCCTATCCCTGCTGACAATGACTGTTGATCTTTCAATTCCAATCCCGCTGGCTGATGATCATTTGATCCCATTTCCATAGATGGACGGTTAGTGATATTCTGGGAATTGTGCAGATGAGATTCTATTCCTCGATTTGGTTTGGGATCTGAATTTTGGTTATCAAGAGATGAATCTCCAGATGTATGCATACTCATAGGTTGGGAAGCAGCTAAACTATTTTGGTCATCTTGTGTTTTTAAAGGAACATCTGATGATGGGTTATGCAGCAAAACATTAGGCTCATGAGAAGATGCATTATCTACTTTTTTGTTCTCAGAATCTTCAACATGTTGATGTAGGTCTAGTTGAGATGACTGCTGCTCTTTTCCCTCTGTCTCCAAGACAGCTTGACCAGGTTGGAAATTGGCGATTTCATCAGGACCAGAAGTTTGCCATTGTGGAGGCAGCTCACTTGAGGTTTGATGGTCCACCTGAGGTAAGGCTGCGGCATGTGCATGCAAGCAGAAATAACAAGACATTTCTTACAAGAGATTATCAACTAACAATACAGTGCATACCATAATCCTTATATCTGTGAAACTCAAATGCCCATCCCATCTCAAAAACATACATTTCCTTAAAGATTTTCATGTTAATATGCCATGTTATAAAAATGCATATTATAAGAAGTAACAAAGAAAAATAAGAACATTTGTATTGTCACCTTTGGAAAAAGAAAATGAACCTAAACAACATGACGAGGTGGAACAATTTAATATTTCAAATGATGAAGAGATTTTACAATATATTGCATTCTTTTGTTGGCTATGATGAGGAATCTACTTCATATTCAACGAGAAACTTGCAACTTGCCCAGACTATCAAAAGAAGACATTACAAGAATTAATTTCATTAAATTGAACATCACGATTGTAGAATTCAGTGGAGCAACATAAAAGTAAGGCTAGAAATCACAAATCTCTACAAATCTAAGAGGAATCTTAGGTCAAATGTGTAATTAATCATCAGCTGCATACATCAAATTAGGTTCACTGCAGTTGAGGGCACTATAACATGACTATCCATATTTTACATCATTGTGCTCTGAAAATGATGGTTCAACTCATAAATCATTGCTGTGAGAAACCTCTCAACAGAAAAGAGGCCAAGATGATATTTACAGCAGAAAAAACTGGTACGACATTCTGGAATAGTTTCAGTATCTAAAATTTAAAACCCAACTAAGCATGTACATAAATTGTAGAAATCACTTTTATGATCATTCCCAAGTTGCCTTCTTTCCAAATAATTCAGAGCTATGCATTTTTTGCTTCCTTTAGATTCATATAACTGGATCGGAAATAAGTCATGTAGCAGCAACATATTAATGCCATTTAATAGATTCATAAGCTTCAACAGATACCCTATTTTCTTCATCAAAAATTAACCTGTAGTGCATAAATACGAGATTGACTACCATACAAATTTCATCAGATTCATATCCACCATTGTCTTTATTCTCTTCTGTAGAAAATTTATATATCAATAAAGAATTGAAGTTCCGAACAGGAAAATAAACTTCAGGTAAAGCTAAGCGATGTTAAACTACAAAAACAGTGACCCAGCTATTCTATTTACACCAAATTAAATTATTGCAACTAACGAATTCATATAAACCATTACCAATATCGGAATCAGAGGGCTGTTGAGATTCAGAAGCATTCCCTTCTATGTCTCTGTTTAATTCCGCCGTGAAAGCCTCCACATCAGCCCCAGAATGCATCGTCTCGTCCTGCAGAGCCCCCCGCGCACTCATATAAATATCGAAAGAAACAGGCAGGCAAGAAGTAACAAACAGAAAGTCAAAGAAACAGCTCCAAATTCCGCAAAGAATTACACAATAAACCATAAAATTAAACACTTAAGGGACAGGAGACAGACCTCATCCTCTTCAAGGAATTTCATGAAGTTAGGGTCCATGAGAATCCCGCTCCAATGATTTCACTATACGTTGCGGGGAATTCGCCAGTATCGATGCAATTTGATGCTGGACTAGGACGGTAACCTAAAACGGAACAAAAATTGAAGGCGCCCCGGCGGATCAAGGAGCTAACAAAGTAACAATCCCAAGAAGAAGCGAGAAGCATTGCAGCCTGGATTGGATTATATGGAGTTAAGAGTTGCCCATTCGGTTTTGGAACCGCCGGTTCGAATCGCCGGTTTATCGGTTTTCGAACCGAAACCGTCGTGCTAACGGATTACGTTTGAACCGGCGATTCGACCATTAATTATAATTTCTTTTGTTTTTTTTTTTTTTTATCTTACCGCAGCGCAGTGGAGCAGCTATGTGAAGTGAAGTAGGAAGAGAAAAAAAAAAAGAAACATAAAAAAAAAAAAAAAGGTAAGAAGAAAAAAGGGGCAGAAAAAAATAAATAATCATTGATATAGAAAAAAAATTATAATATGATATTATTTTTTATATTTATATTTTAAATCTTATAATTTTTTATTATATAATTATACTGTATTTAATTTAAATTATTTTATTATTTAATATAAAAAAAAAATTTATAATTTATTTTTATTTATGCAAATTTAATTATTTACTAATATTATTACTTCCTCCGTCCCATGTAATATGGTTGTATTACTGTAGACAAGAGAATTTAGGTAAAGTATAATTAGTAACTAATTAAAAAGTGTATTAGTAAAAATAATTATTATTTAGTAAAAATAATTATAGATTAAGATTAAGATAAGTAAATAGTTTAAATAAAATTAAAAAAATTATAAAATTTAAAATGCGATTAAAGTCTATAATTATATTTCAAAAAATAAAAAGGATAAGTTATATAGGACGGACGAAAATAAAAAATATGGACAAATTATGTGGGACGGGGGAGTATTTTGTAGTGTAATATTCTAATTAATTAATATTAATATAATTTTTACATAGTAAAAAAATTATTTAAATAAAATTTAAATTAAATTAATCATTGTTAAATAAAATTAAATTATAAAATTGAAAAAATTATTAAAAATAATACTTCCTTCGTCCAGGGCCAAATGAGTCATTTAGAATTTTGTAGAAAATTGAAAAAATTATTAAAAATAATACTTCCTTCGTCCAGGTCCAAATGAATCATTTGGAATGTTGTAGTAAATTAAAAAATAATAATATTTTATTACTTAGTGGAAATGTGTAACAGATTTTGATATTTTTGTCCTTTAACTTTGGGGCAATTAGCTGATAGTTGATAGCTGTTAGTCTGATTCAATTTGCTGATAGATGTTAGCTGATTCAATTAGTTGGTTTGACTAGCTGATTCGATTAGCTGTTTGTATTAAAATATTTGGTAAAATAACGGTTTGATATTAGCTATTTATACGTAAAATGACAATTAAGGACATTTTTATTTTATTTTATTTTTTCTAATATATTCAATTGTGTTTATTTTGAGTTTAGAATATTTGAAATTTTTTATTATTAGTTATTGAAAATTGTAAAAGTGTTATAAAATATTATTTATTTTTATTATAGTTAGATTTAAAAAATAATATATTTTTATTGAAATATATAAATAATTTTTTCTATTAAAAATAATATAAAATATAAAATAATATTTTTTTTGTATATATATTTATTATGTTAATTAGCAATTAATTCATTATACTTATAATTTTCAATAAATTTAATTTTTTTAATTTATTTTTAGTATAAAATTTATATAATGTAATTTTAATATAAAAATAAATTATTAATATTTCATTTTTTATTTTATGTTTATTTTAATAAATTTATATATTTTATAATTAACATTATCTATATATATAAATTAATTATTTTAAATTTATAAAAGTAAAATTATAATATAATAAAATATTCTAATATAATTAATAAATAATCAAAATATATTTATTTGTGTAAAATACATAATAAATTTTTAAGGGCATATAAGGAATAAAAAAATTTAAACTAAAAAAGTTATTTCAAACCGCTGGTTAAGTTAGTTTTTCATAAATTAGTTTTTGGGGTCAAAAAAGCTAATTTACCAAACACCTAAATTAGCTGTTTGGCTGGTCAAACAGCTAAAAGTTGTTCAATAAGCTAAAAGCTCTTCAAAAAGCTATTTGTCAAACACCCTCTTTATGTAAAGAGTAATTGTATGTTTGTAATTTATATAAAAGTTAATGATAATTTGGTATTGAAGTATGATTATTTTTACTAAAATAGAAAAATGATACTTTGGAGTAAGACGGACGAAAATGACAAAAAAAAATACTTTGAGTTGGGACGAATGGAGTATATATAAACCAGTCATTCAAATTGTAACCAACATTTTTAAATCGAAATGGACAGTTAATAAACCTTAACCAAAATCGTCAAATCGTAATCGAAACCGTTATTCGTAAAGTTCGATTTCGATTTAAAATTTTGACAAATCATAATTGACGATTTATAACCGTAATATGCAGGTTGAACGTTTGAATAAACCTAGTTCTATTTGGATGGCACAATATTTAAACTATGTCCCACAAAAAGGTTGTCATGATCTTTTTAATGTTATCTTTCAATATTAATTATTCTATCAATACGTAGTAGAAATCAAAAGAAAATGACAAAAATACGTTTATTAGTCTCTTATAGTACAAATACTTTGTCGAGTAAATTATTCATATATTAAGATATTTTTAATATTAAGTATAATGACGGAAAAACCAAATAACAATTTTCTTGCGGGACGGAGGGAGTATTACGGATATAAAATAAATATTAAAAACATTAAAATATTCTTAGGAATGTATTTGTGTAATAATAGAAAATAATTCCTCCGTCTAACACAATATTTCTATTTTTTTTATTTTCGTTCGTGCAAAAATAATAATCGTATTTTTATTTTTAGTAACTCACTCTATATATTTTTACAAAATTATTCTAATTTTTCATAATAATTACATCAAGTAGAGATTTTTTTTTATTTTTTAAAAATATTTTTACATTCACTATTAGTATAATATTATTATTCCTTAATTCTATAATAATATTTCCGTTCAAAAACAATAGTCTTAGTTGGATTGAGCAGGTAGTTGGTAAAAAATATAAGTAAAAGATTTTTTTGTCCTTATGAATATATTAATGTAAAAAATAGTGATAATTGTATAATTAAAAAAATAAAAATAATTTTATAGTGATAAAGATTATTTATATAAATAAAAATATTATTTTAAAAAGAATAAAAATGTATATTATTGACACGGTGGAAATATTATTTTTAAAAATGATTGGAGCCATAGAGATAATGGAGAAAATCTTTTCAAGGTGACGATTATACCCTCAGGGCTGGGCCCCACCAAAGAGCCGCCAAATCCAATAAAAAATCCGAAACGTGTCCGTTCATCTCTCACCATTAGTGTCGGACACGTGTCGAGATCTTACGTCATCAGGATGAACTAATATCTGGCGGTTATCAGTTAATCCATCCTACCACAGACCTTCGAAGCTTTTACCAGACACACTTCCAACCAACCGTCCATTCCATCCATGGTTCGCTTGCACCACAAATTCGTCTTCTCCATCTCCTTCCACATTCGCAGGAGAAATCAGAGACGCCAGAATACCTAAAAGAGCCATAGAAAAAGCACCAGGGGGGGTCGGATCCCCCTAGGGTCCTTGATTGTTCGTTTTGATCCACCTGCAGAATTAAGAGCAGCCTCTGCTCTGTTTCTCTGTCGGCTCGCAGGCACATACACGCGTTGGGTATGTGAACCTGTTTTTATGTCAGATTTCAGATTTGTTCGCGGTTGAGGAGATTTGATTGTTTTGTGTTTGTGGTATTGATGGATTGATTGATTGATTGATTAATTGGTTGCAGGAGTCGTGGCTGATTTCTCTGTTTGATCTCTCCTTTTATTAGCAATTCCTCGAATCGTTGGGTTGAATTTGAGTTGGGAGATCAAATGACGACGGATTGCTGGCACAAAATCATGAGGCCGATGAAGAAAGTGTGGAAGAAAGTCTCCACACGTATGGGCCTTCGCAAATCTGGTAAGGTTTTTTTTCGCCCTTAGGGTTTAATTCCCGAACACTCAGCTGTTCTCTTTACTGCTAATTTTTTATTTGATTGAGACATTAAACATACATTCTCTGCTATGTTCATTTTCCTTGAACTTGTTTGCCCTTGATTGGTAGACTGATATCGGATAGACAAATTCCTGGTTGATTTCTTCGAGTTCGATGCTATTTAGTTGTTTTCTGGATAATCCATGATCTGTCAAAATTCCTTGAGAATTGATCAATCAAAGTTAAAAGAAAAATTTGTGGAGGAGAGGTAAATTGTTTCCAAAACCTGCAGAAATTGAGTTGAACAACAAACATTTGTAGTACTGCTACATAAAATTTCCTGATTGTTGATCATTCATTCTTCTTGTATAAAACCAGAAGCAGAGTTTGAGATGTTTGGAAATTCACAGGTCACGTAAAGCTTCACCACGACGTCCTGCAATGCGAGTATGAGGATGTCCACGTCTTATGGGACATGCTCAAGAGAAAAGACATAGACCTCTCAAGAAGCAGGAAGAAGGGACCCTTTTGGGACCTGGTTGAATGGGCAAAGCACTCTCCCTTGATTTGCCGAGCTGCTTAATCGATCATCCATCCAGTTCCCTGACGGTACATGATCATCGTCCATAACTACAAATGCAATGCATAATATCGTCGTTAAGTATATATATGTATGTGGGTGATTCACCGGAAGTGCATTATCATCTATATGTTGCCGTAGTCGGTTTGTCTTTTTTGTTTGCCTTGTATCATTCTTACAATTATAATTGTAAGAACTACCTTTGAAGCGTCGTGTTGTATCGATGTGCTCAAGGTGTAGAATGCAATTTGATGAATCTCCCTCCTTTCTAAACTGCATTTCTGTGTCTGTATAGAAAGATTGCCATCAAATGTGCCTGTGGCCGCAGAGCTATATTTCCCAGTATTTTACGTACTTGTAAGTGTTATGGAAAATGGTCTGTACATTTATAAAATATATCTGAATTTACATATAATGTGTGCTTTGTATTTGTGATTAAATAGTTGTACAATGTGATATTTTGCAAAGAAAAAAAAAAAATGAAAAAATTACTCCCTTAGTCCACGGATAAAGTATACATTTACGCAGATAAAAGTAGTATAATGATATTTTTGCCCTTGCTTTTTGGTATAAAAGTAATGATGTGATGTAAAGTAAGGGTGTGTTTGTTTGAAGGATTTTGGAGGATTTCCACTATTCATCCAATTTTTTCCCCCCAAAAACATCAAATCAAACGCCTATTTTTCATTTTTTATATTATACTAAAAATCAATTTTACATTCAAAACATCACATCAAACCCTATTTATATCACATCATACAACTATTCAAATTCAAAATTTTTACTATTCAAATCCCAATCCAAAATCCAAACCCCCAAACAAACACACCCTACGAGTATTTGTGAAAAAAAGTGAGGTATTTAATGAAATAATTATTTTGTAATTTGTAATTAAACGTCCAAAATATAAATATGTATACTTTGTAGCTGCTGGACAGAAAGAGTATATATCAAGAAAAAAATCTTAAAGAGAACACTAATATTTTTTTGTGACAAAAAAATTCAAATATGTTTATATAAACAAGGTTTTTTTTTTTTTTTTTCTTATCACTTGTATTTTCAATATATTCTTGCATTATGGAAATTGCAGTAATTTAATTATTATATTTCACTAAAAGAAAAATAAATTAAAAAATATAAAAAATGCATTAAAATATTAAAATTAAAACACAAGTGTATATATATATATATACACTTGATTCTGAAGGCTCTCGTCTCTCGAATATGTTGGATCAATACTTTGAAATTGATTTGAATACCAACAACTAGTTTTGTATTCTAAGATGAAACTGAACCTAAAAATGAAAATAATTAAACTCAATATGAATTAATATTCAATTTAATTACAATAAGATAATCTCTTTTACATATTCAGTTCGATTATTTTTCTATTTTCTTTTTAAAGATATTAAAGTAGTGTAAGAAAGATAGGCAAAGGACAGGACTAAGATGGGACCCACTCAGGGATGCGGCTAAACGCAACCTTAAAATAATACCACTAACTTTTTCGCCTTTCTTATTATTTCCTTAGTTATTATTAATGTACTATTGCATAGAATAAATTTGTTCCACATTAAAAGAAATAATAATAATAATAGTAGTAATAATTTCATTTGTATTAATTATTCCCAAGAAGAAATCAAAAAATGACAGTGATGGCGTGGATTACACTAGTGGTGGTGGTGGTAGTGATGCTTAGTGGGATGTGGACTGCACTTACCCTGTCTTTTAAATTGTACCCATCTTTTCAAAACCCAATATTTCATATTTCATAAATTTACAATAATCATAATAATAATAATCTATCTAAATGAAAACATTTATCCTTAATTCAAGGACAAGTACCATCGGGAATGATGAGAATATTGCCTGCAAAACAGTAACTGACCTCTGCCCACATAAATAAAGATACAAAAATTTTGAACACTGATAATTTCAAGAAAATGATCAATAAAAAAAACATGTACCAACCTTAGTAGTATTAGTTTAGTAGTTAGTACTCAATATTATAACGTTGTTGTTATAATTGGTGTTTATTTTATTAGGTCGAATAAAGTAGTAGCACATTCTGAGTAAGGGTTACAAATAAGTAGGGATTAATTAAATATTTTTTTTAAATTTTTATTTATTAATTAGTCCTCTCCTGGCTCCAAAAAGCAGCGCAATATATTATTTATATATTTATTTATACTAATTTTGGTTTCGTTTTAAGCGAAAAGGTTGAGCAGCTTTGGCTCCTTTCTACTGAACTCCGCCGTTACTTCTGATCCGTACGACGCCGTTTTCCCTACCACCGCCGAATACGGCGATTCTCTGCCGCGCACGGCGGTCGTCGGCTGGCTCCTGGAAGAGCTGCTGCTATGGCGTCCACTCCACGCGAAGGCCTCCGATTCTTCATCTTCGTGGTTAGGATGAACAATTCCGCCGGAGATCGGTACTGGTCGCAGCGCGCCGCCGTCGAGAACCGTATTCACCGCAGCCTGACAGATGTGCCAGTTTCCGGTGGATAAAAGCCCCACCGCGCCGCTCACCGGATTCACCGTGCGACCGCAAGCCTCAAACAGCAGCGATTGAAACAGAGCTGATGAATACAGAGAGACAATTCACAAAATTAGGTAAAGCTCACAACATGCAGCAGAAAACACACACTCTCCAACACTCTTTCTCATTGCAATTACTAATTATCCGTTTAATCAATTCACCAGGTCTTTTGGCTTCCGCCACGGCGGAGACGAACGAAATGAGATCGGTGCGGCCGAAGAACTTGGAGACGAACAGAATGGCGTTGCCTTGCGCCTGCGGACTCTCTATCCATTCCAAACACGGCTTCAGCACGCACCTCTCGCTGCAACCTCTCCGTAAGACTCTGCATCCATTGCAGCTCATCTCAACTCCTAAATCGATTAAATTTCCACTATCTTCCCCGCCTCAATCTTCCTGATTTCTTCTCGATTGCTCCAACGCAGGCATAGGGAATGAGAGGGATTTTGCAGCAGATGAAGCTGCGGTTAATTATAGAAGAAGAAGCTGCAGTTAAAAGTAACCATGGTTAGGTTCAGTTCCAAAATTGCACAGATACAAATTCTATATTCCCAGCCCAGATTTTGATTTTAGGCCCAATTTCGGCCCAGATCAAAATGATGTCCAGGCCCAATAAGGTACGCTCTCTCACTCACATGATTTTCACGTTCCATTGCAATCTTCTGTTGATAAGGCAGGCAAGGCAAATAAATGAAATAATCATAATCATAATCCTATCCCACATAATCAAATAGTTTAATACGAATATTAAAATAAAATAAAATCTATTATTGAAAAGATTAGGAAAATAATCTGATAGTGGGAATGGCATGCTCTTCTTCGCTGGCACCTTAGCGATAACTACGTTAGGCCAACTAATAAAGCCGTGGCCTATCTGGACCGTCCAAATTGGACGGTCTAGATTAAAGCCACGCCCAAATCATACACAGGTAACAGGTTAGACCTAAACGACGTCGTCGTATCAGCTCAGGCAGTCGGCACTGAGTTGACTTCTCCGTGAAACGCGCTTTTAAAGTAACACGATTTTAGTGTAGCTTTATTATACGTCTAAGTTATCGTAGCATGTAAATTGAGGAATAACAATTAGCAACAACAATTGTCCAATTGAACAGTGGAACGAATAAATTATAATCTGAATTCAATCAAACAATGGCTGGCTGTGATCTATTTACACCAAAAATTTTCTCACCCAATATTACATAAATCATAAAAAATAAAATAAAAAAATATCATAACAAAATATTGAATTTTTAATTTAATTAAAATACACGAATAAATAGTTTCTGACAGTTGTCCACTTCAGAAGATTTCCAACTTCGCCGGCGTCGGCGCAAGCCGTGGCTTCTTCGCCGGATAGGGGCTCTCGACTTCATCGTCGGCGGCGATACTCCGCCAGAGCTCCGGCAACGCCGGCAAGTTCAGGTCGAAGCCCCGGTGACTGACGGAGGACCCAACCCCCTCCGATGAAGTCACCGCGCTGCTCCCGGCGCCGGCTCCGTTCCCGCTCGGCGCGCCGCCTTCATAGTGTCGGCGCTTGTGACCTCCCAAAGCCTGCCCTGTCGGGAAGCACTTGTGGCAGATGGAACACTCGTGAATCCTACTGCCGCCGGACGCCGCCGGGACGGCGGCGCCGGCAGCTACGACGGGGGCGGAGGCGGCGGAGCTATCGTCTCCCGCCGTCAGCTTCCGGTGGCTGGCTTTGTGCCCTCCCAAAGCCTGGTAAGAACCGAACGCCTTATTACATACGGAGCACTTATACACCAATTTTGACGGCTCATCCGCCGCCGCCGCCGGCGGCGGCGGCGGCGGCGCACCGCCGCGGGCGAGCATGATTAGGCAGAGTGCTAAATACTCTTCCTCAGTCGGCTCGTGGGGGCCGTCGACGCTCCGGGTCCTCTTGGTCCTCTTACCCTTGGTCCACGGGACACCGGCGGCGGCGGCGCCGCTGTCGAACTTAAACGACGCCGTCGGCGAATTCAAAGCTTCTAGAGCCATCTCAAGAAACAAATGAAATGAAAGAATCAAAGTTGTAGAGAGTGAGAATGTGCGAATTGGGAAGTGGGAAATGAGTAGTGATATATATAAACAAGTAGTTGGGTAGGAAGTGTAAGGAAATTGCGTGACAAGTGTAAGGAACCCAACCCAACTAAAGACGGTTACTCACTCAAAGGTGTACAAGAAAATACATATAAATAAATGCTTACACACACACACGTACATCTATAATATAGATATACGTACACACTTGTGTATCTATCTAATGGTGTAGAAGACTTGAGGGCCAAGTGGAAGATGGTGACGACGACTGTGCTGGGCGTCGCCGACTCAGTCCGAGTCAAACCTTCTACGCGGTCCACACCACTATTTCTTCTACGGTCCCAGGACCTCACTCCCCACCTATAAACACCGTTTGTTGAAAAAGAGAGGCTTCTCCAATGCCCCCTGGTCCGCGACTCCGGGTATTCAATCCTCACTTTTGTTTAATTTCATTACCCTATATTTGTAACAAAACCACTTGCTAATTTTAATTTAATTACACATTATTAATTATGAATAATTAATATTTAAACTTGTAATTAGGTGATAAGAGTTGAGTAGGAGTGGCTAAGCCGCCAGGCGGCAAGTGGGTTTGTGGCTGAGCAGTCGGCTCCGGTAAATCTACACCGTTGATTAGGTGGACTCCACACTGTGTACGGTGTGGATTGTCGGAGCTTTAAGAACGTTCTTTTGATGGTAGTGCTTTGAATGTGCACACGTTCATGAACCTTCTTAGTGTATGCTTCCGATGATCCAATGGTCATTATCTAAATTTTCTTAATTATATATAATCGTAATTATTTTACAAATGACTTATATAAGTATTTATTTATTTATTTATTTCATTTGTACTGGAAGTTGTACAAATTTTACTTGACCAGTGGGTGGGTGGGTTGGGTGACATTCTCATGGTGTTAGAAGAGTGCCTGCCCAATTAATATATAGTTATCGTGGCAATTTTGACTTTCTCCTTACACACATTCAGAATTATTTTATTTAATTATTGTGAAATTTAAACAACAATATATATCAACAGCAGTCACTGTACAAATAACTGCAATTTTATATAGAAATAATTTCATATTAATACATTTTTAATATTTTTATTTTTATTTTTATCAAATATTATGATTATTTTATTGCAATATACCAACCATGTAGCAGCTCAATTAGTAAGGTGACGTCAGAAGTGACTTCAAAGTGAGTGCGTTGTCCGGCACATTATTAGACCACTTGTCATAATATTATTATTATTATGAACTAAGAGTGTCTCTGCGCAATTGATCAAGGAGGATAATATTATCTCAAATACATTTATACTTCTTTCCGTCCCTTTTTAAATAAAACTTTTGAAATTTTGTAATAAATTAAAAATAATAATATTTTATTGGTTAATAGAAATATATAAGAAGTTGTGATATTTTTTACATTTGATTTTATTTATCTGTTTGTTTTTTACACAGAATTTTGATATGAATAAAATAAAAAAAACTAAAATAACTTTATTAGTATTGTGTGATATAAAGATAATGATATTTGTGTAATATATTGTAAGTTATAAGGATATTTTTAATGTTAGTAGAAAATACAATTACAAAAAAAATAAAATAAATACTTTGTTACGAGACAAACTAAAATAGAAACATAGATAGATTGTTAAAGGACGGAGAGAGTATATATTATGATAATTTTTCTTTTAAAAAAAGTTAAGGTGTTTTAATATTAATATATAATTATTTTTATAAAAATAGAAAAGAAATATTTTTAATCGAGACAAATGAAAATTGTAAAAAAAAAACACTTTGAATTAGGAGCGTGTGAGTATTTACATTGAAAAAATTAATTTTAGGATAATACTATTATTTCATATATTCTAACTATATATTTAATCACTTAAATCGCTCTGCTCCCCTTTATTACTTTCTTAAATATTATTTGTTTCCATTCTGCTCAATTACCAGTGAACCGTTTAACGTTTTTTCGTTTGTTTGACTCATCTGTAAATATTTTCTCTAATTTAATCTTATAATATAAAATCTCTAAGTTCAACTTGAAAAATCACAAGTATAATATAATATAAATGTAATTCAAACAGAGTATTTTTAGAGTCTACACTATATTTTCATCAACTCAATATTTGATCATTTGCAATATGTCAAGATTCAAATATATTTAATCTATTATAAAACCCTAAAATTTCCATATATCAGTGTGTAAATATCACCACAAGCCGATTTAACAAACTTTTAGAGTTCGATTTTGAGAGAGGTAAGTGCTGAGGGTGTATGTTCACATTGTTTGTGGCCGTTTTTCTTTTTTTTTTTTTTTTTTAAAACAAAATCATATGTAACTACTACATTAGCAGAAATCGTAATATCCCAAGATGAAAAACAGTAAAAAACATAACAGAACAAAAAAAATGATAGAGTGTAGGTTCATGCCCAAGATAGAATTTCAAACCATTGGTTTATCTCCGTTAAATTTCGGTTTAGAAGATGACTCCTAATAGAACTTCTTCAACTCTTTTATCGCCTTGTCTGGTACTCGAGTCTCAGTATCAGTATAACAAAATAGCACCAATCGTTTAAGTTCAGTTCCCCACAATAGAAGAAGCTTTACAAATTCTACTTAAGTTCAACACTCACAAACCCTTCAATTTTCACAGTTTTGAGGTTGTTGCAAAGAATATTACGCTTCTACTCATCTTTCAAATATTCCACAGTTTTATACATCTGCTCAACTCTCGTTGAATCACTAATCTGACTACACCTTGGGGACTTCCAATCAAATAAAAATGTTTGTGGCCGGTTGTGAGGTTTTTAGGTTGATTTGTTTGTATTTAGGTGATTTGAGGGGTTAAGGTCTTTAGAAAACTAGCAAATGTAATATTTGATTGATTTTAAAATTTTGATAGAATTAAATCAAAGTCTAACATGAACATAAAATAAGAAACACAATTTTTAAACTGCATATTATATATACGTCAGTTGGTTAAATTCTTGATTTATTTCATAGTATCTCGTTTTGATATAGTCCATGTTGTATATATTGTTAGTCAGTTTATGGCTTCTCTGTGCATATTACTCCCTCTGTCCCTCTGTCCACGTACAAAGTAAATATTTATTTTTGCGCGATGATTAAAAAATAATAATATTTTAATTATAGTGGGTAGTTAAAGTGGTGTAATGATATTTTTACCCTTACTTTTTAGTGTTAAAGTAATAATATGATGTAAAATAAGGATATTTGTGGAAAAAAAAATGACGTATTTAACGAAATATCTATTTTGTAATTGGACATCTAAAAATAGAAATATGTATACTTTCTAACTTGACGAAGGTAGTATTTTGTATTGTATTCACTATGTCATAGGTATGCTTTTTCATGATCTATATTTTTCGGCTCACTCGTTCTTGATTTTTACAGGATACTCTAATGTAGATTAGATAGGTAATTCAACTAATTGTCAATCTACTATTGGTTTTACTTCTTCTTATGTGATTCTCTAGTTTCTTGGCGCAGTAAAAACCTCACAATTGTCTCTATGTTTAGTGTTGTGTATGATTATTGGACTCTCGTTGATTCTACGTCCGAATGTCTATGGCGTTGTTGGTTATTGTTTGATCTTGGTGCCTCAGTTCTCAACTACTATTCTGCACTGCGATAGTCACAATGTCATACAAATTGCACATAATAATGTCTTTCACGAACAACTTATTTTATTTTATTTTAGTTTTTTGGTGGGGGTCATTTTTACACTTTTGTAAACAACCTTAAATTAATATTTATAACACCTCTTTAAATTTGAGAAAATGTTAGTGTATATATTATTATTAACTGCCGATCGAATCTAATACTCTACAAATTAGATTTGACAAGAAAAATCACATTAAACGAACCATGTATAACAGTAATCTGGAAGCGGAAGTTTAAACCCTAAACTCACGGTTATAAGTCCTCCCCATGCCACTACCACTAGACATCCAAAAATCACAACAACCACAGTAACACTATTTTATATATATAGAAAGAAGTTAGAATAAAATAATGTGAATTAACCCATAAGCCTAATCAACCCTTCATATTTCCGCTTAACATGATTTGTCCTACCGTCTATTTTGCAGATTATAAATATAATATAAATATATATATATATATATATATAAAGCATGATTCATTAGGTCAACCAAATATATATATTTTCATTTAATTATCAATATAAAACAACATTAACTATTTTAGGTTTTCTGTTCACAAAAATATTATATATTCATAGTTTATAGATTAATTACTTAGGATTTGTTGATTTGAAATTAATTTAAAATATAATATTTATTTAAATTTTAATTTAAATAATATTTTATTATAAATAGTACTCACTTCGTCACATAATTATAGTACGGTAGGTTATGTTTGACACGAGATTTAAAAAATATTGATATTATATTAATAGTGAGTAAAAATTACGGATAAAATTTTTTTTTTTGCCATTATGAATATATTAGTGTAAAAAGTAATGACATAATAATGATGAAAATATAAAAATAGTTTTATAATTATATAATTATTTACGAAAACGAGATTATTATTTTAAAACGAATAAAAATAATAAATAAGACTATTTTATTAAGACAGACATTAATATCTTTTATTATAATATTTTGTATGGGACCGTGGGTATATATCAGAAAATTATTCTCAATATCATATCTAAGTGTGATATCCCACTGTGTTTTATTTCCACCAATAAATAAAATATTTGTGTCAGCCAAACAGGCCCTAGGGTACGGGGTACCCACCCTACCTCTTTACCTACCCCCATTCTCACTAATCCTCGACTTTCTTTTTCATTTTCCAGACTTTGCCCTTACCGTCCATTTAAATACCGACAATGTACTCTCTGTGTAAGCCCGCATCCTGTCGGATCCTCGAGGCTAAAATTGTCCCGTCAGAAAAATTCAACGTTTGCCACTCGGTCAAATCGGTTTCGTTCTTACGTACCGCCGGCGGATCGAGGGAAGGCGGCGGTAGGAGGCTCACTCCGACGATCCACGAGCTCCGGAGAGTGATTGCAGCAGCGGGTGTGGCTATGGCTTCTTCAGATGTTGACGGCAAGGATGATCGTATTGCTCGGATATCCTCCACCATTCGAGTCATTGCCGATTTCCCCAAACCAGGTGGGCTTGAATCTGCTTGTAGTGGTTGAGATTTTGGTGTTTGGTGTGGATTATTGAACTGAAGTGTGGTTATATGTATATTGGGGGAAACGTATGCGGTCAGGGATTTTGTTTCAGGATATTACGACTTTATTGCTCGATCCGGAAGCGTTTAAGCATACGATTGATTTGTTGGTTGAGAGGTACAAGGACAAGGATATTAATGTCGTTGCTGGTAAACATTTTTGGTGCTTTCTCGCTTATATAATTTGGAATTGAGGAAATGTGTTGTTCTGTGTAATTTAGGTTACGGAACTATGCTACACTGTTGATTACTGATTCTTCTATTGTTGATTCTACAAACGGAGAGCAATATGTATATATATATATATATATATATTGGGCGTAAGAGAGCAGTGATGTCATTGAGTTTGGATTTAGGTTGAAATTGTGGAAATTGTGAGCTTGTTTATTGTGCTTATAATCTGATCATAATAAAAATATCAGGAAGAGTTTTCCAGAGAAGAACAGATTTGTGAAATTATACTGCAACTTATCACATCAATTTAGATAATGTGTAGGTTTTTCATGTTGATTAAATTGGTAGTTCTTTATCATGCTTTACAACACTTTGCTGCGCAATACCGTTGATATTGATCTTTAGACTATCCGAAATGACCCAGGTGTCGAGGCTAGAGGCTTCATATTTGGCCCCCCACTTGCATTGGCTATCGGTGCGAAATTTGTTCCGATGAGAAAGCCCAAAAAGTTACCTGGTATGCATATGTCTTTTTATGTATTCACACAAACTAAATGATGTTCTGTTCTAAGTTAAATGCCTGGTTTCTTTGTATGGGTCTTTGTAGTCTGTTCTTTAAGTGGTGCTCGATCACAAGTCTCTGATGTTCTTCAGTTCCGAATTTCCAACTTTAAGTACAAGAAAATATGCAGTTTTGTTTTGTATGTTCGCCCATGAAAATGGAATTTGGGTATACATTTTAACATTAGGAGTATTTCCTTGTATTAGTTTCTATGATTCTTGTGATGTCACTATTGCATACTCTTAGATTCATTGATGCAGTGGAGTCATTCTCTTCTCATTATGATACTGTCGGTTTAATATTACCTTATAAAAGACGCTGGGTGAAGACAATCACCATTTTTAAGTATTGATCGCCATTTTTCTGGATGTTCTCTTAGGCCCTGTGATATCGGAAGAATACTCTTTGGAGTATGGAACTGACATAATGGAAATGCATGTTGGAGCTGTAGAACCCGGAGAGCGGGCTGTTGTAGTTGACGATTTGATTGCTACTGGAGGAACCCTTTGTGCTGCAATGCGTTTACTTGGTATGATCCTATTGCTCTTTTCCGACACAAATGCATTACATTTTTTTTGTTCGTTAATCTATTGATGGAATCACTTTGTGGGAATGTAAGCTAAAATGCGAAGAATTACAAGAAGTTTTTATACAAATGGTAAACCATGATCCTGAAAGACAGCTTTAGTTCGATGCCTAATATATAGTTCCCTCGAGTTTTCTGGAATTTGTTGTTTGTTCCACCATTCGATAAATTGCATTACCTTCTATATGATTCAAGATCAGATTTCATTACAGCTTTGAATTGATTATAACTATGATTGATCAGAGGTGGTTTTAATTTTTATTTGCAGAGAGGGTTGGAGTCAAGGTCGTCGAGTGTGCTTGTGTTATTGAGTTACCCGAATTGAAGGTAAAAATAAAACTACCATATTTTCTCCGTCCACTAGATAAAGTTTAATAGTACCTAATCATAGACTACTAATTAATTTGTTTACTTATGCCTAACACCTAAAACCTTAAAAACAAATACTAGGATTGATTGATTGATGATGTCGGGAGCTGAGTGCAATTGTTTTGGATTCTTGCAGGGCCGCGACAAGTTGGGCGACAAGCCATTGTTTGTTCTTGTGAGCTCTTCAGCTTGAAGAAGATGATAATAATGGTTTTGAGGTGTGATCCTAGTAAGGTATGTGTATGTTCATGTCCCGATTGCAATGTCTGTCCGTCGATCGATCGATCGATCACTTTATTAGGTTAACATCAATACATCCAATGCTTGTATGCATCCGACCCCAATTGACATAATGAATGGATGCCCACCCCAATTCAACTTTCTCCCTTTGGTTTGTATTTTTAAGGTTATTATTTTTCGTTTTATTGTTGTTTTAAGTCATTAAGTGAAATAGTAAGCAAAATTGCCCATAACTCCCTTGCGGTTTTGAAACTCAGCGTAAATTTCCCTCTACTTTAAAAATTGCATGACGTCTCCTTATACTTTAAAAAATGTTGTATCAAATCACTTTGTGATTTCGAAACTTAGCATAAATCCCTATTTTACTTTAAAAAATTGCATGACGTTCATTTGTACTTTAAAAAATATTGCATAAAACCCTCTTGCCGTACAAAACATATAGATAGGAAATCATCTTCTTATCACACGAAGAAAATTTCATGGTGGTGGGGTTTCATGCAATGTTTTTTAAAATATAAGGGGTATCATGCAATTTTTAAAGTATAGAGAGATTTTACGCTGAATTTCGAAACCACATGGGAGTTATAAGCAATTTTACCGAAATAGTATGATCTTTCTTGTGGAAATAACAAAAAAAATAAAAACTGAGAAAAGTTAACCCTATTCTTACTACATCAAACATCCAATTTATTTTTCCAATTATATGCTAAAAAGGAAATAAATAAATATTCTAAGATCATACTACACCCTTATTCAATCCGCTGTCGGTATATATAATACTATTTATTAATTATCTTTGAAAATTAATGTTCCATTCATGTATATTTATAAATTGCTTTCGATATAATTCATTTATAATACTATTGAAAAATACACATTACATCAAATATTCATTTCATCTCATAAAATATTATATCAATTAATTATATTATTATCAAAATTTTCATAACTTCAAAATAAATAAATAAAAAATCACATCTAAAAAAAAATGCCTAAAGTAATAAAGTTAAAACTCTAGGCCGCACTTATATATATATATTGAAAATGTTATGATATTTTAATATATAATAGTAAAAAAAAATTGAATTGAAATTAGTGATTTATATGTACGTTTATGAAAAATAAAAATTGAACTTGATATTCTATAGACTATATATATATATATATATATATGTATAGGAGTAATAAAATAAAATTAAAGAAATATAAATTAACAGACCTTAACTCAGTATAATTTAAAGGATTCTTGCATTGTTATACAAAATATAGTCGTTATAGCTTCGTAATAATAACTTTAATACGTCAATTTACACATATGCCTGGCAGCACTACAGCTTATTTCGATTTTCATTAGATATGCTCTCTGAAAGAAGGCGAAACCGTGTTTGTTTCAACCACAGCCGATGCTGTTGGACGGCTTGTCGGGCAATTTGCGTATTTTAACACATGTAGTTTAATGAATTGAGAAAATTTATTTAGTTGATCGACATGAAAGATTTCAAATCCTCCTTAATAATAGAAATAATATCTAGGTTAATAATAATAATAATAATAATAATAATAATAAAAATCTTTCAGTGAGTTAGAAATTGTTACTCGAGCACCCATAGAACTCATTGTAACAGATAGAAACCTATGCCAAATGAGCAAACTAAACTTCAGTCATTGAACTCATTGTAACAGATGGATTTTATTCGCCACATGGGTGCGTGTGTTTGTTTGGAGGTATGGACTTTATGTTTGAGATCTCAATAGTAAAAATTTTGAATTTGAATAGTAGTACGATGTGATATAAATAGGTATTGATGTGATATTTTGAATGTATAATTAATTTTTAGTATAATATCAAAATTAAAAAATAGATGTTTCATTTGATATTTTTAGAAAAAAATGGAATAATAGTGTATTTAAAATTCAATTCCCAAACAAACACACCCATTTCATCTATAATAAATAAATGAAATTTCTTCACCCCGCATAAATTAAGAGGGTGTTTGACAAAACAGTGTTTTTAAGAGTTTTTAGTTTATTGAAGAGTTGTTAGTTTGACCATCAAAAAATTAATTTAGGTGTTTATAAATAAACTTTTTGAAATACCTTATTGGCCCCAAAAAATTAATTTCTGAAAAGCTATATAACCCAACGTTTTTTAAAGAACTTTTTAATTTTAATTTTATTTATTCCTTATTTGTCCTTCAAATGTTAAATTTATTTCACATACATATAAATATATTTTATATAGGTATTTGATTTGATGTTTTTGGGGGAAAAATTTTGGATGAATAGTGAGATTTTGTCTAAATCTCTCAACCGAACACACCCTTAATATATTATTTATTAAATTATAATTATAATTTTATTTTTATAAATTTAAATTAATTAATTTTATTTGTAAACTATAATAATGTTTTAATTATTAGTAAGGGTATTTGTAGAAAAAAGTAGAGTATTTAATGAAATATTAACCGTCCCAAAATAGAAATATGTAAACATTGTAAGCGGTAGATGGACGGAGGGAGTATTATTTTATTTTTATAGTATTAAAATTAAATAAAATAGAATAAATTTATTAAAAACTATAAATATAATAAATTAATCAATAATTAATATAATAAATATATATACCAAAATTTTATTATTTTATAGTTTACATCATTCTTAATAAAAAATATTCATATTTCTTAATAAAAATATAGTAATTTCAAATAACTAATAATTTAAAAAAAATTTAAAATTAAAATATAAATATTCATTTTACACTAATATCAAGAGTTATTATATATATACAAACAGCGTTGCAAACACACCCTAAATCTATATTGGAAGAAAACGGCTGTAATATGAGCTTAACATAAAGCCTTCGTTTCATTCTTTCGGTTATCCCAACATCATTTTTCAATTGTAATTCCCAAAAATAATAATAAAAACTACAAAATATATTATACAAAAAATTAGCACTCATTATAAAAAGCAGTAGACTGCGGGGAAGATGATAATGGAAGCTCAACTCTGAGGAAAAGGTAGACCTGTAAGAATGCACATGATATGATAGACAAGAAAACTGGAAATACATACCACAATCAATCCCATAATTTATGTTTATAATCACACCTTAATAAATGAATGTTTTGTCCCTTCAATCCATTTATGGAATTAAACATCACTTCCACAATCCCAAATCATTACACATAATTGGTATCGATTTCTCACAAACATTGGGTACTTTCCTGGTTTACCGGTCATCGAATCCAACTGCAAAGTGACCCGCATTCTTATCCTACACATTTGCAAAACACTCGTAAGTCGAAAAAAAAGGATAAAAGCACTTTCCAAGCCAGAGTTATAGTTTCATTTAAAAAGAAAGGGAAGAAACCTGCGATTGCATCCTCTGCTTGTTCAGAAACTGCGTCCGCGCCTTGTTGATGGCAGAGTTCGGTGATTTGTACATCCTCTGTTGCATAAAGAACAAACCAACATACTCAAAAACAAGTAATACGAAGAAATTTCTACATCCGATTGCATTCATGTCCTACTCACCTTTTCACCTCCCGACATTCGATGCACACCCTCTGCTTGAAGCTTCCTCTTCGGTGTGAAACCAAATACATCCTGAAGAAATTGGTTCTCCTATACAACACAATATTTAGATAAATAAACATAAATATATATAGAGAGAGAGAGAGGAAGAGAGGAGAATCACACACCTGCATGTGCTTCACAAATCCTCCAGCAAGGAAATGTTTTAAGAAGTTTAACTGCAGCAGGTAAAAAATTATGAGCAATGTTACCAAGCACAGTTAAAAAGATGTAAAAAAAAAATAAAGACCTGTATCGATTGAGCCCATGTTTCAGTGCTAAGAGATTCCCCACCAATTTTCATTGCAATTTCGGGGGCATAACCGTCCTGCTATTCACAATAATAGAGTTCAACAATCCGCCGAAAGGAGACTAAGGGTGTGTTTGTCTGGGAGTTTGAATTTTGAGTTGGGATTTGAATAGTAAAAATTTTGAATTGAAATAGTTGTATGATCTGACATAAATAGGTGTTAATGTAATATTTTGAATGTAGAATTGATTTTTAATATAATATAAAAAATTAAAATATAGTTATTTGATTTGATGTTTTTGGGAAAATTTTTTTAGTGAATAGCTAAAATCCTACAATATCTGTCAAACAAACACACCCTAAGTGATATTCAAACCAATAACATCATACGTCTTACCTCCAGAAAATCAAGAATGTCGCGGAAAGTGTTCCTCTGGTTATTGAGATCTTTCTTTGCAGACCCTTTACCACCTGCCTCGGCAGAGAGGCCTCGCACTTTGTTGAGGACTTTATTTTTCAAGCCATGTATATGCATTGTTTTTCGATTCTCACTCCCATCTTCAACGGAGGATTCGCCAGATACTTTGGGTTCTCCACAGAACTTCTCCAAGCTTCCTATCTCAAATATTAATGCAAGTGCTTCGCCGGCTGCAATGCGCAGCAACCGGTCATCCTTGTCCAGCAGCGTGGAGAAGTACGATATAGATCTGCATTAACTCACAGGCATCTTAGCACTGTTAATAAGCTGTAAAACTCAACTAAAATTAATATCTAGAGAGAGAGAGAGGGAATTTACTCTTGCCAATTCCTAGAGTTAAGTGCCCATCCATTTACGGTGGTAAGAAGAAATGACCACGCAGAGACCACCATAGTTATCAACACTGGCGAGGGTTTAGCAGCAGCTACCTGGAAAATGAATGAAATTCTCATAAAAACATAATCTAGATATCGCGGGGATCATACATAATTAAGGTGCATACATTGGTACCCAATTTTGGGTGTGCCACTTGCCACATTATTTGCATTGATCTTTCTGTTTCCTCCGGTTCTTCGGCACCCACGAAAGTAATAACAGCCAAACACTCAAGCAACTGCGATTATATCAATTTACATATCTTAGAGGGAGCTATAAGCAGGAATAAACAATACAAACAGAATAAGAAGTGTTTGAGATACCGATGATGTCTTGGATGCCTCAGGCCGGGTTCGAAGAGCCTCTGATATTGGAGTGATTGATTCTTCGAAGATTTCTTTTGCATTCCTCCCAGGGCCAGTGGTCAGAGCCAAAATTCCTATAAAAAAGGATACAAAATATAACACTTGGAAACATACTAAGCATTGATGTATCGATGGAAATTCACAAAAGAGTAATAGAGGAAAACCTATCAAATGAGATGCCAGAGCGACCTCCTTTGCAGAACCCTTTTTAATTGAATTCAAACATTGGTGCAACAATGTAGCAAATCTATAACAAGAAATTAGTCATTGATGTTAGACTATATTAAGACTAGCCTATAACTATATATAACAAAAAGAAAAAGGAAAGAAATAAAAATCGCAGAATAAAGCAGTAGAAACAAAAGCACATACTTTTTTTCAATAAACTCATACTGCAAGCTGCTATTAAATGCATCAATAATTGATGCCAAAGCCTTCTCCCTGGTAGATCCTCTGCATACAGTAATAGAAATATATTCATCAACACAACGTATAGGTGAAACTCAACAAAATTTCTATCTTCTTTATCTTATTAAATATAAAAATCTACACAACTTCCTCATTGTTCGTTATCTTTAACACTTCAAATTTATTTTTATCTTTTTTACCCTTCATAAATTCCTATGATAGTAGATAACAAAAATTAGCAAATAACTACTTGAGGACAAAATTTAGAACAAGCAGGAAACTAGAAACATCGGCATTCTTGCTTAGTACAATGCAATTATGGATCAAAAGCTTGAACGTTCAACAAAGATGTATATGTACAACGATTATGGAATTGGCAAAATTAACCTTTTCTCAAACAAAGCATCCAACCATTGATCAAGCAAGGAGTCTTTTTCCACTTGCATCTCCTGGATGCTAAGCTCTGCCATGTTATCAAGCCGCAGAGATGACGAAGACGAGCTCAGACTATCAGTATCATCACTATCAAGCATTGCAGCATTTTTCTTCTGAGAACTTCCTGAAATCCCAACAATTAAAGCCAATTGAATCAGATTTCGACTTGTTGACATGTATGAAACCATTATCAATCTAGCAAGAACAATAACAGTATAACAACGCCCACCCTCTAACAAATTAATAAAGGGTTGCCATATCTGCAGAATGCTAACATTTAAGATGATCTTCAATGAAACGTGTTACCAAAGTTGAGCCAAAGGGGGTTTCGAACACAGGCAATAAACCAAAATAACATTAAATGAATCCACTTCCAAACATACAAAATTCAGTTCAAGACAGTTACAAGAAGTTCAAATAATCTTTAACTTGACCAAAGCAAACTCAAACCCAATCATCGCAATTAAAGCCCTAAAATTAATCCTTCCCCCAATTAACGACAATACAAGGAATCCCTAAAACAGCGAAGAAATAACATATAGCCCTCCAAATCCAACCCCGGCAACGAAACACAAGCTGCGCACCAACAACAGCAATTAAAGAAAAAACTTACTTCTACCCATCTTGAAGGAAGCTCGGATCCGAATCTGAACCCTTTAATTTCTGTAATCTACCGAAACTAGGTTAGCAAAAACGGACACAACTACGAGTAAAATCGGCACGATGAAAACAAACAATTGAAAAAGGGGAATCTTGAATCGAATCGAAGGGCGAGCGCAACAACAACTCCTTAATTGAATCGACAAACGACGCATCCATGAAAATGATTTTGGAGTAAATCGGCGAGAGATGGCCTTTTGTCGCGGTAGAAATCTCCGGAAGGAAATAAATGGAACTCAGCGATTGCAAGAATCCAATAGGGCAATATAACCACGCCGCTCCTTGCCGATCAATTAAGGCCTTGTTTGTTTCTAAAATCAAATTTCGTGACTCACAATTTTCTATTTATCGGTGCTTTAAAAAAAGAATTCTAATAAACGTGTAGATTTTTTGGAATTCAAATCAATTTTATGCTTTATTGAAAATAAAATAAATATATTGAAACAAAATTGGGTAGAAATTTATTAAAGATTTGCAAAATTTGTTGTCCAAACACGGCCTTAGCGACTAACAGCCACGAAATTCGTATCTATATCCCAGAACGCGAAGGATAGAATCATCGGCCAGGAATATTCGTCAAGTATACGGGAGGGAACAGGATTACTACTGTGAGGTCGATTACGTGGCATGATCCTAGCCATTTGTTTCTATAGTAGGTCCCACTTGATATACGGCACGTGCTTTGAAAGGCGGATGACGTGGCATGTGTCGGGTGGTCAAATCGTCACGTTGAATGAAAGCGTGTTGGAGCTCAACACGACGACTTTAAGGTGATCAATAAAGCGTGTCCTACAATCTAATTATTTTTATTTTTTTTAATATATACAAGGAGGCGTGACATTTAATTTTATTATTATTATTATTATTTATTTATTCTAGCCCATATCCTAAGTTGTTGTGTTAAAGCCCACAAGTTATGGGCCAAATTTAGGCCCACTTATGTTCATCCTAATACCCATGAAATAATAATTCTATACTTCAATTTTCCAGCAACAATTAACATAATGATAAATTATATTATGGAATCCATATAAGGTATTTTATAGATTTAAATTAAGATACATGCATTATAATACTTGTATTAACAAATGAAATTAAAAAGAAATATTAATTAAAATCAATTAATTAGTTATATGCATAGGTACTCGAGTAGTAACAATGCATGTAAATTAGGACCAAGTATAAATTAATAAGGTCGGATGGTTTGTTTGTTTTGAGTTTATATATAACAGTAGTTTGAATAGTTTAAATTTATAGAATATTATTTTGATAGAATATTTAACAAATAATAATATATTTTATTAAAAACTATATATTGTATATTTTTTTTTTAAAAAAAAAGTTTAAATAAAAGTAATTATATAGTACATAGTTAGGGTTAGGCGACAAGGGCATCATGTGAGAAGCAGCAGTATGCGCAGTGTAGTGACAGTGTATGATTTTTAAGACAAAATTAAACTAAACTAAACTAACTTTAGATGTAATGTACACTCGCCCACCCAGTCAAAACTTTGGGAATCCCCACCCCACCCCACCCCACCTCTATATTTTTAAAAATTAATTAATCAAATAATCATAATAATAATAATAATAATAATAATAAAAGGCAAACTGTAAATTGTACTGAAATTATAATAGTAAAAAATTTGAATTTGAATAATTGTATGATGTGATATAAATATGTATTGATGTGATGTTTTGAAAAAATTAATTTTTAATATAATATAAAAAATAAAAAATAGGTGTTTGATTTGATATGTTTGAGGAAAAATTTTTGTGTGAATAATAAAAATCCAACACAAATTCTTCAAACAAACTTACAATATCTTAGAATACATACAATTGACATGTGTGAAGTAAATTATACAAATACAATGATATTTTTTTAATGTTAAGTATAATAACACAAAAGACCATTAAATCAACATAAAAGAACAAAAATATTTCTATTAGTATCTTATAATACAAACACAATTATATTTATAAAGTAAATTATATAAATATAATGATATTTTTAATATTAATCACAATAACGACAAATGTAATATTATGTATATTACATTATATATCAAATATTATTAATTAAATAAATCAATTCTAATCAAACTTCCAACTCAAAAATTAATTACTAACCAAAAGCACCCCAAGTTGGTGACTAATCATCTTATTGAATGTCTTTGTCAGAGGCGGCTATTAGCAGGAGCACAGTGAGCGATCGTTCATGGCCCAATTATAAGAAAGGGCCTATATTTTAAAATAGTAATATATTATTATTAGATATATTAAATTTCAAAATTAAATTTTAAATTTTAAATTATATTTTTTCTTTTCCATAATTATCTAACTTAATTATAATTTTAAAATTATTTTTTAAACCCTAATCTCAAATTCAATCGTCGCCTTCACAATCCCACAGTCTCTTCTCTCTATTTCTCCCTCCAACCAGCCAGCGTTCACAGTCCCTCGCTCTTCTTCTTTTTTTCTCCCTCGGTTCAGCGACATAAAAAGATTGACAGACAATCCTCCTCTCTCTTCTTCTTTTTTTCCCTGGTTCAGCGACATAGACAGACAGACAATCTTCTCCCTCTCCTTCTTTTTTTCTCCCTCAATTCAACGACATAGATAGACAAACAATCCCCCTGCATCTTCTCCTTCTTCTTTTCTCCCTCAATTCAACATAGATAGACAAACAATCCTCCTCCATTTTCTTTCTTTTCTCATTCTGTTCAAGAACATAAACAAACATGAGACACACTGTGCCTTTTTTTTTTTTTTATGAATTAATTTAATAATTTTAATTCTCTTATCTATTAATTCTAATATAGTAATTTTATTATTTTTTCAATTCAGTTTTTTTGATAAATCGTTGGATTATGGTTTATGGATTGCAGGAAAGGCGACACATTCGGCTGCCTTCGCCAGCTGCGCTCTGTCCAATGCAGGTGGAGAGGATTTCAATCTAGGTTTTATTACTCCTTATTTTTTACAATTTACAAATAATATAATAAATTATGCCTAAAAAAAGTATGAGTTGGAATATGAAAAACCCAAAAAGAAAAAAAGAATTGATGAACTAATTCAATATCAGAGTGGAGCAATTAATAAATTTATTATAAGAGAAACAATTGAATGTCGAAAATAATTTGAATATTGAAAATAATGAAAATTTTATTGATGATTATGTTGGTGATGATATTGAGGTTGAAAATGTTGATATTGCTGATAATGCTAATAATAATGAAATTGAAAATATTGACGTTGATGATTGTACTGCTGATTTTGATAATGATTCTGATGTTATATTTAATATTTTTGATCCAATAAATTGAGTTTAAATTCTGAAATGACTAATATGTTAGCAATAAAATTGTGGATGATATTATTTTAAAAATTCATTTAATTACATGTAGAGCCTACATATTGTTTTTACTCAGGGCCCTCAAAAAGTCGAAGACAGCCCTGGTCTTTATAGACATTCATTTTATTCAAATTAGAGATTATACAATTTCTTTCAACATATCTTTCTCAAATTTGAACACATATTGGTAGGAACGGATGACCTATTTACGTAGAATAAATTTGTGACCGTAAAATTATATGTTCAAATCTCTACACATTCAGATCTTATTTATTACATATAATCCGTGTCTAGTATGATTTGCTTTAAATAAAACTAAAAAACACACACAGTCTTATATATATACAATCACTTTATCTATATGTAAATATATTGTTGCGATATGAAGCCTGATTATATCATAAAATCTAGGAATATGATTTAAATATTATATTCTAAATTTTAGAGATATGATTTAGATATTATTGACATAGGCTTAGCCTATAAATATCCATGTATTATCACTTTAACATGTGCCTGCGTACTTTATAGTAAAATTCCTGGCTTGACAGCGCCCCCAGACGTAGATCATTGTGATCGAACTGGGTTACCAAATTCTTGTTTTCTTGTGTCCTTGTTTGCCTCATCTTGATTTTCTGGAATTTTCGTAACAAGTGGTATCAGAGTCTGATTCGTTGGTAAGGTGGATTGGGAGGCATTGGATACTGATTGTGGCTATAGGAATCCCTTATGACCTGCGGAGGTGCCTTGTGTCAAAAGTCTCCTAACGGTATTAGGTCGGTCCCGATAGTTGTGGTATGTCAGACATCGGGTCCCTTTGTGATAGGCGGTGCAAGGTGGGCAGTGAAGGATAAGGATTTCAGTAAACGCAGCGGAGGAGATATCCGATGTGCTCTCATATCAAGTGAACCTTAGGTTTGTTTGTGGGAGTCAAAATGGGTGATCGTCGTGCTGTCAAGGTATTCGATGGGATGAACTTCGGTTTCTAGAATATGCCAATAGAATATTACCTGTATGGTAAAGATCTAGAGGCGGGAAGGAAAAACCCGAAGACATGGATGAAGTCGGATACAAGAAGATTGACAGGAAGACGATGAGTGTGGTTCAATGAACCATTTGAGAGAATGTCTCGACTGAATTTAGATATGAGGCAAAGGGAAATGGTGAAGATCAAGAATAGTCAAAGTTGAAGCCGAATAACAAGGACAAGGAAGATGCAAGTTAGGTGGTATGTTGGAACTTCAAGGGGCACTTGAAATGAGTGCGGGCTCCGGAGAAGGATCAGGGTTCGGCAAACGCAGTGGAGGAGATATCCAATGTGCTGATTCTGAGCGTCAGCAGTCCAATGGAGTCATGAATCTTGGTCTCACGAGCGTCATTCCACTCATGCAGTGATTCGGAAATTATGGAATCCTAAACCACATGTAATTTTGGTGTTGTCTATCTTGAAGATGATGAAACACTGAAAATTGTAGGTAAATGTATGGTTCGAATCAAAACACAAATGGTGGGGAGTGGAGACTGAATGACGTGAGCCATGTCCCGGGTCTATTCCGTTGAACAATTGGATGAGGCAGATTACTCGACAGTTTTTTAAATTAAGTCGTGGAAGATAACCTAAGGATCCATTGTGGTGGCCCATGGGAGAAGAGATAGAACTCTTTACATGACGAAAACCATGCAAGACGGAATCAGTTCTGTGGCCATAAATAGTAACACAAATTTATGGTATTCTCGTCTCGGACACATGAACGAGAAGGGGATAGGGGAACTCATTTCAAAGGGAAGATTGTCAGGTCTCAAGTTTGTCGATATTGGAGTATGCGAGGACTGTGTCTTTGGGAAGCAACAAAAGGTGACATTCTTAAAGGGTGTGAGAGACCTGAAAATGAAAAGTTGGAGTTGGTTAATACGGATCTGCGGGAACCAACTTTTGTATCGACCTTGGAAGCTCACAGTACTACACCGCGGTCATTGACGACGTTACAAGGGAGGTATGAGTATATTTCCTTAAGTGGAAAGCACGTGCAGTGGGAGTAGTGAGCCGATTAATGAGCAATCCTGAAAGACAATCTAAGATTGTGACCTTAGATGAATTAAGGTTGTGTTCAACCTCAAGTGGCCTCGATGAGTGAAGAAGGAGGTTTGACGCTGTCATTGCATATGAAGTAAAATGTTGAAGTGGAAGATGAAATCAGTCTTCAAGTGGGAGATTGTTAAGATATAAAGTCTGATTATATCCTAAAATCTAGGGATATGATTTAAATATTATATTTTAGATTTTAGAGATATGATTTGGATGTTATTGGCATAGGCTCAACCTATAAAAATCAATGTATTCTCAATTTAACATATGTCTGCGTACTTTATAGTAAAATTCATGGCTTGACAGCGTCCCCAGACGTAGATCATTGCGTTACCAAATTCTTGTGTCCTTGTTTGGCTCATCTTGATTTACTGAAATTTTCGTAACATATATATTATTATATTTACGTACATTTTAATATATTTATATAATATTTTATCAATATTATTTAATTTGGATAATTCTAAAATATATATATATTATTTATTTTTATAAAATATCAAATCAAAATATTATTTAAATTAATACTTCATAAATTATTCAAATGCAAGATGTAACTACCGGTTAATGTCAAAATGTCAATTTAGTCTTCTAAATAAAACATAATTTAAGTTGACCATAAAATCAGAATGAAAGTTCCACAACTATTTCAATAAATTACAACTAATCTTGGCCAAATTGCAACATTGTATTAATTGTAAGAGATCCTAGATTTGATCCATCTATATATATATATATATATATTTTACTACTAAATTATATTGAAATGTTTCCCAAAAAATTTAAATAAAAATTATGAATTCATCCATATATCATTTGTACTTTTATTAATTAAAATTAGGGAGATTAATCAGTGGACAGTCTGTGACCAGTAGCTGAAGTAGTGTTGTACTGAGTTCATTTAATTTAATTCATTTAATTTAATTATGTTTACCCTAAATTAAATAATTAAATCGATAGGATTGATTAATTATATTGGAATTTCTTCTGATCTAACAAAGACAAAAATAAGCCATCACCAATATCATTACACATTTGACTGACTGACTGACTTGACTGTCTGACTGACTTACAATAATTAATTTGAATTTGATACACATTATATTTAATTAACGAATCAACAATTCTTTTCCTTAAAAATATTAAAAATAATAATAATAAAAAATAAAGAATTAACAAAATGGGACATTGGATCTTGCGACGTGTAATAGTATGTGTAGTTGAAAAATAAGTGCATACAATGCTTAAAATATAAAAGTATTAGTCCGCTCCAAACAAAAGGGTCGTTTTTATTCCTCCGTTCCATATAATTTTTTCATAATTTCTATTTTTTATCTGTCTCATATAATTTGTCTTTTCTATCTTTGAAAATATAATTATACACTTTAATCGCATTTTATATTTTAAATTTTATAATTTTCTTAATTTTAATTTAACTATTTACTTATCTTAATCTTAATCTATAATTATTTTTACTAAATAATAATTATTTTTATTAATACACTTCTTAATTACTTATTAATTATATTTTGCCTAAATTCTCGTGTCTACAGTAATACACCCATATTACGTGGGACCGAGGGAGTAATATTTAACAGTATATTAAAAAATATTATCTCCGTTCCACTGCAATTGACATTATTTTTATTTTTGTATATCCTGTAACAATTGACATCTTTTTATTTTTGGTAAAAATTATTAAATTAAAATATATTTAACAAATATAAATCAATTTAATTGACTACATAACATACAACATCATAAACGATGTAGGACCACTCAAAACTCCTTTATTTCTGCATTTCTCTCCTCAAAAAAATATTTTTATATATATTTAAAACTACACATCTTTTATAAAATTAATTTATGTTAATTATAAATAAACAAAAATATTTTTTTATTTACTTGTATTATAGAAAATTTTATTCTCTATAACATGATATCCATATTGCATATATTTTTTAATTGCTATATAATTTTTAAATATTTAAACATATATTTTAATTTTTTTAAATCATATATATTAACTTTTACTTTAAAAATATAAATAGTATTAATTATAAAAAATAATATAATAATATCATTACTAATTATTATTAACTAATTAAACATCATTACCTTAAATACAATATCTCTAATCAAATGGTTCAATTTCCGTGAGAGGAGAGAGTAATAATATTAATAAAAATACTTAAAAACTTTTGATATTTTTGTCATTTAATAATACCTATAAAGTAATTGTACATATACTAATATATTTATAATTTAAGTAAAAGTTAAAAAAATTTTAATATTAATATACAATTATTTTTGTTAAAATAAAAAATATATTTAAAAATAAGATGAACGAAAATACAAAAAATGATACTTTTAACTAAAAAGACATACTTTTCTTGTCCGAACTATTTATGTCATAATATTCAACTAAAAAATTTAAAATATAATAGTATTTTAATGCAAAAATAAAATATGTAAACACTAAAATGGATATTATATAATTGGTTTAGAACTTTTATATAATAATATAAATATAATTAAAGTTTATTTGGTTTTAGTTTTAAATTTGAGTTAAATAATATTTTAACATAATATTTTATCAAAAATTAATAATATACTTTTATCAAAAATATATATATATATATATGTTATTTATGTCCGACAATAAGAGTTTTTTTGTAGGTAGATTTTTTTAAGATTAGTAATACTTCTGTCCACTGCTAGTTCATTCGTTTGCAAGCCATTGCTTTTAATATTAAAAGTAACTTTATATTTGTATAATTTTTTTTTTACAAATTATTACATTAGTATTATAAAATACTATTCAAAGATTATTGACGGTGGACGGAGATAATATTATATTAATTTGTAGTAAAAAAAAGAAAGAAAAAAAAAGATAAAATTGCTTTTATTAGTACGATATAATATAAAAGTAATAACATTTGTGTAACATATTGTAAATTAAAAAAGCATTTATTATTTTTATCAATACAATAGTCTTGTTTACCATTTTTGTCCGTCTCAAAATAATAATCTTATTTTCATAAATAATTATATCACCGTAAAACTATTCATATTTTTCATTATTATTACACAATTGTCACTATTTTTTACACAATATATTTACAAAGGCAAAAAAGTTATTTACTCTTACTTTTTACCGATTTGTGCCCAACAGAATAAAACTATACTTTTGAGACGGAGTGAGTAATATAATTATTAAATTAGAAAATAATACATTTATTCTATAATCAATAAAAATAGAAAAATAGTCAATCTCAAATACCTGCAATATTTCTTTTTTGTTTGTCCCAAACTTTACGCAACATTTGTAAATTTAAAAATAATTAATAATATTTTTATACATATATTAATATACACTTCACTTTTATCTCATCACATCACTCAAAAAAAAAAATAATAATTATTTATCTCTCTAGTCACATCACTTAATATCCAAATTATCTCAGTAACATACTTAATACTCTTTACCTAAATTGTTGTATCAAATACAAATATTACACGGTGTTTGAGACGAAGGTAGTATATTCTTCGCCAAATTAAAAAAAAAAAAAAAAAATTATATGAAAAGAAAGTATGATGGTAAGCATATAGCTCATCCACGTGTTGTAATATTATTGGATGAAAAATATAGAAGACAGTGAGCACAGTCACAGTCACAGTCACAGAGCAGAAGTACCAACTCCTCCTTTTTCACTTTGACTTATAAAATACCAACTCCCTCCATGCCATACCATCCTGCACCTCCAGCAAACCTCTGTCCCTCCCTCCCCTCCCTTCCACCAGAAGTCCAGAACAGAACCACCCATGGCCATGGAGGAGTATGGGATAGAATCAGTTCTCACTTCTTTGCTCATCACGTGTTAATTACGTAATTGTAATTTGGATGCAGAAAACTTGAGCCAGTGATACCGGAGAGATGTTAAATTCTCGACTTGTACGCTCTCCCACGAAGCAGCTATGGTGCGAAGAAAATGCATCCGATTTAGTGGATGAAGACGGAGGAGGAGCGGAAGAATTTGCCTTGGGAGAAGAATCGTGTGAGGAGGAGGAGGAGGAGGGGGAGGTGGAAGCGTATGTGCAGATGCTGCTTGAAGGTGAAAGCAGATTGCAATTGAAGGAGGTCTTGCAGTTGCAGCAGAATCTGTGGATTGTTAGGGCTCGTTTGGATGCAATCCAGTATATCCTCAGAGTTTGTTCTCGAATCCATTTCGGTTTATTTCTGGAATTTGATGTGTGTGAGTTAGAAATGCCCTGAATGTGTTTGTTGTTTTGCCTCATCTGAGTTATAAAAATCACTGAGTGAAAATAATTGTTCATCGTTTTGACGCAGACAAGGGAACATTTGGGGTACAGAATCCAAACTGCTTATGCATCCGTCACATATCTCGATAGATTTCTTTCCAAAAGATCTATTGCCGTGAGTCTATTTTGCCTTCCAATGATATCTTATTTCCATTGCAATGTGTGGTTTGGTCTCTTGAAAAGTTCGATGAATGCAGGAAGGGAAGTCTTGGGCAGTGAGGCTGCTGGCAATGGCTTGCCTTTCATTGGCTGCAAAGTATGAAGAAACTGCAGCACCACCAGGGTTGTCACACTTATGCTCGGAGGATTACAATTTCGAGTGCACTGTGATACTGAGAATGGAGCTTTTGGTGTTGGCAACATTGGAATGGAGAATGGGATTGATTTCTCCCTTTGCTTTCATTCAGTTCTTCGGGAGAAAGTTCAGTGATAAGTTTTCACCAAGAAATCATGCTGAAAAAACAGTGGGAATCATTATGAGTGCAGTGAGAGGTAAATCTTTAACCACTTATACCACAATTTCACTCACAGTCAGTTTAATGATCTTGTAATTAAAGAAAGATTGAATACACACATATATGTGCTTGATTGGTGTAATTTGACATTGTAGATGTGGAAATAATGTCTCACAGACCATCTGTGATAGCAGCAGCAGCTACATTAGCAGTGTTAGATAGAGATTTGACAAGAGATGCGCTGCAATTGAAAATCAGCTCCTTGACTTCAAGTGGTTCTTTTCAATCTGTGAGGCTTTTCTTTTCCCCCAAAAATGTTGAGTTTCACCGTGATGAATAATAGCAAATAGTTCTTTTCCCTAATGGAGAGTGGGTTTCTTTTTATTTTTCTAATTACAGGAAGACATCCTTTCTTGCTACTACCAATTCATGGAAATGGGCATTGAATCTCATGATCTAAATAGAGTTGACCCTAATGAAACTTCTTCAGTTACCTCCATGGACACAGCCAAAAGGAAGAGGCAAATGCTGGACAAAGGTGATGTGCCTGAGAAAAAGGGGAAGCCCTGAATTCAGACAGACAGAGCAGGTCAATTAAATTTTGGTGAAGGATTACTTTGTGAGTATGCTAATGATCCATCTTTGGGATATTGTACATAATAAGATTTCAAGATGATTGGGTTGGGTTGGGTAGTAGGAGGCAGGGGGGAAGAGGACATGTTTGGAGAAAAGCAACAAGAAGAAATAAAGGAAAAAAAGAAAATAAAAGTTGGCCCTAAAAAAGAAGCTAGTAGAAAACACAACAAACACAGCTCATATGGTGTGGTGTGGTGTGGACAGGGAGGGAGGGAGACCACATAGATATGACTTTCACACAGTTAACCATATCTATTGTCTTCTTCACACATTTGTCCCATCCCATTTCTTTGATTATTTCATTGACATTATTGTCTCTCTTTTTTTAACTTTTCTTTCACAGGGTTTCTGTTTTACAAAGATGTCTATCATCATCCATATGCATATGTGATGCAGCCCTAGATTTTTTTATAAAGGGGATGATGCCTTTTATTGTTTTTTTGGTTAGCTTTTTAGTGGGGAGATTGAATTCCATCCAATAGGGGTTTGAGGAAGCTGTTTCTTGATTTGATACAACATTGTTTGCTGCAGTTTGCCCATCACAAAAGTTTGCAAAAGATTGGATTTTTTTTTTTTTTTTTTGCCCTTTTTAATATTCTTGAATATGCACTTTAATTTTGAGGTGGGGGACTTGTTGTGGCCTTTGATCAAAGGCTCCTCACCATGTTTTTGTATATATATATATATATGTGTGCCGACCACAGTTTGTACCATGTGCTTCACTGTTTGTATATATTTATTTATTACAAATTGATAAATCAACTTAAAGTTAATAATACATAATGCATTATCAAATGCTAATATTAATTATATACAAAGATACATAAAAATAGTCTGTCATGGGTTTAAACTCCCAACGCCTCAGGTCGCGTACCACATATAGTTCATCTAGTGTGACTTGTCTGTCGAACCGTTTGCGGTCGGGTAGCGGCTGCGGATCCGAGAGTTTGTATTTATAGATAGTAGATGTACCATGTAAGAATATACGAAGAGAGAGAGAGTTACTACAAATCAACAGAGTCTTTGCGTGTGTCTCTTTATTTCAAATTTAACACTTTTTGCCAAACTAATCAAAAAAACACACCCTTTAAAAAATAAAAAATAAAAAATTCAACAATACTGGGAGAGAGAGGGAGAGTTATTACAAATCACCCATTTAAATTTTTTAATATAATAAAAAATAATAATATTTTTTCATTTTAATTCAAAGTATCATTTCTATAATTTTTTTGTTCCACTTAAAAAGTATAAGCTTTTTTATTTTAGTATACCAAGCTTTTTAACTTTTATTTAAATTACAAATATATCATTATATGTATAATCACTTTATACATAATGTCAAAGGACAAAAGTGTTAAAATATCTTACACATTTTTACTAACTAATAAAATATTATTATTTTTTAATCACAACAAAACTCCAAATAGATACATTCGAATGAGATGGAGAGAATATTTGATTGGTTAGTAGAAGTGTGCAAAATAGTTTTGATATTATTTCCATTTGTACTTTATATATAAATTAATTGTAATGATATATTTTTAATTTATATAAAAATTAAAAGTATTTTGATATTAGTATATGATTACTTTTAAAATAAATACTTTTGAGGTCCCGTAAGGCCATCCACAACACAGAAACCCATCCAGGGTTTCTTCTCATTCTCTCTCCTGTGCCACGTCAGTTTCTCTCTCCGCCACGTCACGAAGAACTCCAACTATATTTTCGAACCCTTTAAAATCTTTACTTTTTCCACCTCATTAAATATTTTATCTATTTATAAAATAAACTTATATTTTTTCATTATATTTTATTCTTATAATATTTAATTAAAATAAAATAATTATTTAGCATAAATAAATAAAATAAATAAAAATAATAATTCCACACCCACATACTAATTAAAAATTCAAACTTAAATTTAAATAAAAAATACATAATATTACAATATATTTTTCAAATAAATTAATTAGTCGATTGACCAAATTTCTCCCAAATGTGTTCAACTAAATCCGCTTTGAGCTGGTGGTGTGTTTCTCTAGCTCGGAGTCGCATTCTGTTCCGTAGGTATTGATCCATAGTTGCATGTCTCGTATTGTTGTATGACCAATTCGAGTTATCATTTGTCTCCACTTGATCATATTGAGATGTATCGTAATAATGCACATAACTGTCCCTTTCATCTTCTACAATCATATTATGTAATATGATGCATGCTCTCATTATTTTACCTAGTAAATTAATATCCCAAATAAGTGATGGAGTTTTAATGAAGGCAAACCGAGCTTGTAATACACCAAAAGCACGTTCCACATCTTTTCGAACCGCTTCTTGATGTTGCGCAAATAATTGTGCTTTATAACCTTGAGGGAGACGAATCGATTGAACAAAGGTTGCCCACGGAGGGTAAATTCCATCAGTAAGATAATATCCCATATTATATTGATGGTTGTTGATAACAAAATTAACCTCTGGAGCTCTGCCATTCAAAACGTCGTTAAATACCGGAGATCGATCAAGTACATTAATGTCATTGCATGTACCTGGTGTGCCAAAAAATGCATGCCAAATCCATAGATCGTATGAGGCTACAACTTCCAATATAACTGTAGGTTTGCCATGATCTCCACGTTCGAATTGGCCTTTCCAAGCAGCCGGACAATTTTTCCATTCCCAGTGCATACAATCAATACTTCCTAGCATGCCTGGAAAACCACGTGTCTCTGCAACAAATAATAATCGTTGTACATCAGTAGAATTTGGTCGTCGTAGGTATTCCTCACCAAATAGAGAACATATCCCTTCAACAAATTGCTTCAAACATGCCCTTGTGGTGCTCTCTCCAAGACGAAGATATTCGTCAACAGTGTCAGTAGCTGTGCCGTATGCCAATACACGTATTGCTGCTGTGCATTTTTGTAATGATGACAATCCATCTCTTCCTGTAGCATCACGCCGTTGCTGAAAGAACTCCATTTCATTGGAGAGGCGATCTACTATACGAAGAAAGACATGTTTTCTCATTCGAAACCTACGACGAAAATAAGAACTTGGATACACGGGGTTATCAGAAAAATAATCATTGAATAATCGAGTATGACCATCTTCACGATTCCTCTCTATGTATGTTCTCCGTCGACGTTGCCGTGAGCTTCCCTCATCTTCATTGTTGATATGCTCAATTTTTTGATACAATTGAGCATATGTTTCTGCCAATTGACATATATTTTCCAACTCTTCGTCGGATGAATCGGACAGAGATAAGGATGAAATTGACATTGTTTTGAGAGAAAATAAGATATGAAAGGTTGAACTATTGTGCATATGAATTGTGTGCATGTGAATTGGTTACATATATATAAATTAGAAACTAGCCGTTGGGAATATAGCCGTTGGAAATATAGCCGTTGGGGAATATAGCCGTTGGGAATATGGCCGTTGGGGAATATAGCCGTTGGGAATATAGCCGTTGGGGAATATAGCCGTTGGGAATATAACCGTTGCAATATTTACTATAAATACACTACATTCTCACTTCATATCATCTACACCATCTCTTTATAATCTTCTCTCTTCATTTTCTTCTCTCTATATTATCTTCTAAATTTCCTACGAATGGATCCCAACTCTCAAAATTCATCCAACTCTCAAGATCCCCAAAATTCTTTTCGATTTCCAAGTTTTATGAACATGTTAGGAAATCAACCCATATTCCCTACATCTAATGTCCCATTTCAACCATTCAATCCTTCACCATATTATCAAATTCCTCCAAACTTCTATCCTCCAAACTTTCAAGCGTTCGGAAGTTCATCATCTCCTCAATTCATGATGCAAGCGAATGAAGCAGTGGGCACCCCACAACATTGCACACCTATCAATTTAGCAGATGATGATGTGCCTCACAATTCAAAAAATAAAGATACGAGGAAGGTGTGGAGCTGGAATGAAGACGAACTTCTAATCAGTGCATGGCTGAACACAAGTAAGGATGCCGTAACCAACACTGACCAACCAAGTAGTGCTTTCTGGAAAAGAATTGCAACGTACTATATGGAGAACAAGCCCGAAAGTGCAACGAGCAGAGGTGTTACTCAATGTAAAAATCGTTGGAGTAAAATATGTAAGTCAGTGCAAAAATTTGTTGGGTGTTATGAGGAGGCCAATCGAAACATGCGCAGTGGACAATCAAGCACGGATGTCCTCAATGCAGCAAAGAAAATATACTCAAATGACGGTGAGAGCAAAGACTTCGTCCATGAAGATGCTTGGCGTATACTCAGAAATGAGCCTAAATGGAAGGCCAGTTACTGCGAATCATCTCATAACAGTGGTGGAAGTTCAAAGCGAACAAAAACGAGTGAAGACGGTGGATACTCAGGTTCGTGTCCGGCGACACCATACTTTGATGTGGATGACCCAACTCCTCCTACTCGTCCCCCTGGTATTAAAGCAAGTAAGAAGAGGGGGAAACAGGTGCAAAACGAGGCATTCAATTCAAGTCCTACTGAAAATTATGAAAAATTTTACGAAAAAAGCAGTGAATTTAGCTCAAGTATGGAACATATGGCAGCAGTCAAGGAGCAAAGATTGAAGCAACAACCCGAAAAAATAGAAGCACTTTTGAAAGCTAAAAGGATAGAAAAAACGGCAAGAAAATTTGATCGGGAAGCTAAACAGTTAGAACTTGCTAAGACGAAGATGGAAATGCTCATGATGATAATGGCCAAAGGGGATAATCTGACGGAATTTGAAGAACAGTTGAAACAAAGGTTGACACGCAAATGTTTTCCGTAAGTTTGCATTTAAATTTATTGGTATTTATTTCATGTATTTTTAATTATTATATATATTGTCTGTAATTTTAATTAAGTCGTGTAGGTTTGCATTTAAATTTATGAATATTTTTATGTATTTTCAATTAATATTTGTAGTGTGTATAATTTAATTAAGTCATGTAAATTTAATTTTAAATTTATGAATATTTTTATGTATTTTTATTTATTATTTGTATTGCATGTAATTTTAATTAAACAAATGTTATAATTGAATTAATAGATATTTACTTAAATATTTTACAAAAATATGCATTAAAAAGTTACATAAAATATAAAAATATTATATTAAAAATTATAGTTATTAACAATATTATTTTAATAAAAAAATAAATATTAAATAAAACTCATATAATAAAATTTAAATCTAATATTTTAATAAAACAAATTTTAAAACATAAAATATGATATATTATATATTATTAATAGATTTTTTATATTAATTTAATAAAAAAAAATAAGGATGGCCCACATAAAATAAATAAGAAACGGTGGTGTGGCAGGGTTCGTTTCTCCCTGACAAAGCATTTTTTTATTTATTTATGTTATGAAATTGGATGACGTGGGGGGCGCTTAGGAGGAAGCGCCCCCCGTTGCGGATGGCCTAAGAGATGGCCCGGTGGTGTAGATGTTGAATTTTTGACCGTGAGGTCATAGATTCAAACCCCCGATGCCTCAAGTCACCTCCCGTCGGGCGTAGTCTATAACAATTAACATGTATTCTACTACTCTCTCCCCGTATAGAGGACGTGCATGAGAAGATATTGACATGTTACATTCGTCCTACAAGACATTTATTTCCTCGTACCCGCTCCTCAAAGACTACACATAATCTTTGTATGTTGTATGTATGGATGTGTTTTCGTGGATGATACAAAAGAACCAAAGTGTGCCTTTCTCTCTACCTAATAGAATGTTGAAAGATTCATCTATGGAGGTTTGGAGAAGCGAGAAAATTATTCTTGGAGTCGAAGTCGAAGGAGATAACCAACTGGTATACCACCTTATTCTTAGTTTGGCTGCTAGTTGTTGGAATCATTGCAATAACAGTCCGTCAATTAAAGTTTATAAAACTAAATAGAGTTTGAGTATAAGATAGATTGATTAGTTTTGTTTGGTGTCTTGTACGGTGTAAACCAAGAGTTTGGTTTAGTTAAAACTTCTAACTAGAATCCCCAAGACGTAGGTTAAAAAATAGAACTTGAAAAAAAAAAACTTTGTGTATTGTTTTCTTTATTTGCATTCGGTCATTGGTACGTACACAAACACACTATCATTCTAACCGCAAGACAATTATGCTGTAAAGCTGTGTTTATGTTAAAACGTTTCACAGTTCGACTATACAAGTTTCTCGAAGGCGTCGGACCTCTTATTCATTGGTGCATCGATTTCCAACACATATTTAAAAAAACAGAAAAATAATATCGGACGAACCAAAATAAAATAAAAAATATATATTTTATGTTAAAGGAAAAGACTATTTATATTATATATATTTTATGAAAATATAATATTTAGAATTTAAACACATATTTTATTTTTTTTAAAAAAATCATATAGTCCCCTTTGCTATTTTCGTTTGATTAAAGGTATTCGTTTTGTTTAATAAAAGTATTTTACTTTTAAATACCAAAAAACATCTATCAAATACTAATACATTTTAATTCGTACAAAAAAATCAAATAAATATTTTTTTGATTCGGACAAAAGTATATTACTTTTTATTTCAAAAATCAACAACAAAATTCAAACTAAAAAATAAAATTATACTTTTTCCGTCCCACATAATCTGTTCTTATTTTTTATTTTCGTCCGTCACACATAACTTATCATTTCTATTTTTGGAAATATAATTATGCACTTTAATAGCATTTTAAATTTTATAATTTTTTTAATTTTAATTAAACTATTTACTTATGTTAATCTTAATCTATAATTATTTTTACTGAATAATAATTATTTTTACTAATACACTTCTTAATTACTTACTAATTATACTTTACCTAAATTTCCGTATGTACAGTAATACACTCTTATTATATGGGACAAAAGGAGTACTATAGTAATATCATAAATACGTATACGAACGGAGAGAGTACAAGTACAATAACTGAAACCTACCTAAGGCAACTTCTAGAAGGCAGGAGAAGGAGCCAGAAGAGAAGATAGGCAGGCCAGACAAATGGAGTAATAGTTATGGGGACCACTTACTTATCATCAGTTTTGGATAACGTTCCACAAGTCCACCTCACTCATTCATTTTATCCATTCCATTCCATTTCTCCAAATAAAAAATAAAAATAAAACTAATAATAATAATAATAATAATAATTAATTAATTAATTAATTATTACATTGTAGTGCCAATTAATTACCCTCTAAATCCAGCTTTTTTTTTTTTTTTTTTCTCAAAAGATTGAATTTAGATTAGATTAGTTAGGAGCACAAACAAAATTGATGGACTTTGCTGCGGATCACGTGATCGTCACGTGGATGACCCCCCGTCCACTCATCAATCGTGATCATCTTCCCTTCTCCAACAGTACAATACAATACAACAATAATAATATATAACACTTTTTTTAAAAAAGAAAAAAGTAAAAACAAAACTTGAGAGAGTCCACACTTATTCGCCACGTGTCAGCCATTATTCCTCCTCCTCCGATCATCGCCGCGTCGTCACCGCGGCAGCGCTCGCCGGAGCTCCTGCGCGAGGAGATTAGGGGCGGAGAGGTGGGGGAGGTGTCCTTCCACGTTGAGCATGTGGACGGTGCTCCGCCCTCCGAGGTGTTTCTTCAGGTACGCCGCCACCGACGGCGGCACCGACATGTCGCTGGCCGTCTGAAAAATGGAGCAGGGCACTTTAACGAGCCCCAGCACCCCCCGGAGGTCGCTGTTGAACACCGTCCGCGACACGAACAGAGTTATGTCCGGCCGCATGTTGAACAGCGTCCGGCTGAACTCCCGCACCGCCTCCGGCACGTCGGCCCCCACCGCCAGTGGCGCGAATCCGTTCACCCACGCCTCGTAGTTCGCCTCCATTGCCGAGAACACCTTGTCGATCTCCCCCTGCTCGAATCCCCCATGGTAATTCTTATCGTTCAAAAACCTAATTTCAATATTAGGTCAAAATCAAAACCCTAATTTTTCCCAATTGGGGAAAATTAATTAATAGATACCTACCTGGGAGAGGCGCCGATGAGTATGAGCTTGGAGAAGAGCTCCGGGCGGCGAATGGAGGCGAGGATTCCGATGGTGGCGGAGATGGAGTGGCCGACGTAAGTGCAGCGGTCGATTCGGAGAGCGTCGAGAATGGAGAGGAGGTCGTCGACGAAGGCGTCCAGGGAGGTGTATCGCCGGAAATCGAAGTAATCAGGGTTGACGCTGCCGGCGCACACCAAATCGTAGAGAACCACGCGGTGGTCCCGGACCAAGTACGGCAAAATTCGCTGCCACGCCGACTGATCGGTGCCGACGCCGTGGGCCAAAACCAGGATTTTCTCGCCGGAGCCGACGACCCGTACGTTCAACGCCTCCAGCAAACTATGCCCCATTTCTTCTTTTAAATTATTACGAACAAAAATTAATTCAAGAAACCCTTTTTTTTCAGTTTATGGATAGGATAAATTTGGAGAATAATTTAAATGAATAAAGCAGTACTATTGGAATGGAAGATAAGAAATTTGGTGTGCTGTGGGGTATTTATATCTGTTTGGGATTTGGATGGGTTTTCGTTTTCTTTTTTCTTTTTTTTTTCCTTATTTTTCCGGGGATGATACGGTGACGCGGCGGTCAGACAATTAACGATGACGGTATAATCTCGGCCGTTCGTTTCACTGAGTGATTGGATTGTGTGGCTGGGATTTTCAGGTGACGGTACGTTGGACTAAAAAAAAGTTAAGATAAGAGACAAAGCTTGATTCGTTGCACAAAAAAAAGGGGGAATAGTGTCTGGATTTTATTTCATGTTCTATACTCTCTCTTTTTTTTCTTTTTTTTTTTCAATAAAAACATTATTTTTTTACCATAACTTTTTTTTTTTTTTTTTTATATATTTTTATCTATTTTTGTTAAAATTCGTGACCAATAAAATGGACATTAGTATCGACGACGGACAGAGTATAATTATATATAAAGATAGGTTGGTTCTTCTTAAAATATACTTTATTTGTTTTAAATATTCTGCAATATTTTTAAAATAGAAAATAATTAGTTATATTTTATTTTATCACATAATTCAAATAAAAAAAATAAATATATATTTATCTTTTGTCACATCATTTAATTTTCAAATTATTATATTTAATACTAAAACTTAAATTTCTGTATCGAAAATCAAATGTTATATGTGAGGCGGACAAATTACAACTTTAAAGCATTTTATAATCACATTTCAATAATGTAAATTAAATTACCCCCAAAATCAATAATTGAATCAATACTATAATCCAACAATCTCACAATTATGAATATATCATCAATACAAAGGCTTAAGCCAACAAATTAAATTTGAAGTTTAAAATAATATTGTCCCGTAATTAATTAATGGTCTGGTGGTGTGGGGATGAAAAATTTGTAATCATGAAGTCATGCGATATCTTCAGATCTTGTCTGTCATATATAGTTCGTCTAATATAATTTGTCTGATTAGACTTAATTAGCAAGTTATTAGATTCGAGGAGAGTTATTTCTTATATAATATAAAATGAAAAAATGGAGAGGATGGCCATCACCTCAAAATCTTGCATTCTATCTTTTTCCTTTATTTTTTATTTTTTAAAGGATGTAATCATTTATTTTTCATTCTTCTATTTTATTATGCTTATAGTATTGTAAATTTTTTAAGAGTTTCTAACAATTTTAAATCCAAAAGATTATCCACAACTAGTGGTTGAATAATGAAGGATCAGAACATCCTATAAGGATGGTTTGGTGGTGTGGGAATGAATTCGTGACTGTGAGGTCATTGGTTCAAACTTGACACCTACAGGTTTTGCGTGTCACACATAGTTCGCTTGAATCCGACATATTTTGTCGAACCTAATTTGTATACTATTAAAAAAGGGAACGAATGATCATAAGAGTTTGATAATAATGGTAAATTATCGGAATTTGAAAGAAATCCACAAAAAGTTGGAAAGTCTGAATTAGATGGTCAATATCTCTACTATTTGATGATTATGTATTTCTTAAACACATAAATAATAATGAGGGAAAAAATCAATTTAGTCCTAATATAATAATGATTTATTAATTTTGGTCACAATATAAAAAACTCATCAATTTTAATCTTATTATAAATAATTTCAATTAATTTTAGTCCTATTATAAACAATTTCAATCAATTTTGGTTTCATCGTTAAAAAATTAATGAAAATTGCTGACGTGGACATAGCGGATGTGACGTGACAGCTGACCTGGAAACTACACGGCTATGTTCAGTTATACACGGCCATGTTGTTACATGACCATATATATTTCAGTGTATAATTATATACGGCCATACACAATTATACACGGTCATGTTGTTACATAACTATGTATATTTCAGTGTATAATTATGTATGGTCATGTTGTTACACGATCATGTATAATTCTACACGGCCATGTACTTTTATGTTTTGGTCTAAAATTTTATTTTTTTGTTATATTTTTTAATTTTTAATTTAGAATAGTTGATACAGTTAAAATGGAAAAAAAAATCAATAATAATCATAATATAATTAAAATGTATCAATTTTAGTTGAAATATAAATATTTATCGATTATGCTCGTTTGGAAGATTTTATCTAAAATTCTACTATTTATTAAAAAAAATTATCTTACAAACATCCAATTAGTGTATTGAAATAATAAATTAACTTTTAATACTAGTATAATATACAAAATTAAAAAATAGTTGTGTAATTTTATGTTTGTAAGAGAAATTTTTTTTATGAATAATAGAATTTTAGAAAAAAATATTTTAAAAGAATATATCTTATAAATTTTTATATTTGAATTAAAATTGATAAATTTTAATTATATTATTATTACTGTTATTTTGTTTATTTTAACTATATCAACTATTTTAAATTCAAAATATTTTTTTTTAAAAAAAAATATAACAAAAAAATAATCTTCTTTTTTAAATTTTAGACTAAAACATAAATGTACACGACCGTGTAACAACATGGCCGTGTATAATTGTACATGGCCGTGCAGTTTTCAGGTCAGCTTCCACATCACCTCAGTTATGTCCACGTCAGCATTTTTCGTTAATTTTTTTAACGGTGGGACCAAAATTGATTGAAATAATTTATAATGAGACTAAAATTGACGAGCTTTTTATATTGGGACCAAAATTGATAAATTTTAATTATATCGAGACGAAAATTAATTTTTTTCCTAATAATAATAATAATTATTTAGGAAATAGTATTAGTTGGGATGGATGGGGTTATATATATATATTTATATTTGCAATTGCAATACAGCTAATATCCATCACACAGCAAGCAAATGAAATGGTTACACCGCATTAATTCATATCCTATCCTCTATCTTTTATATATACATGTATGTGAATGTCACTGTCATTTTCATAATTCTTGTTTTTTCGAGTTTGGTTAAAAAAAGTTTTATTTAAATTTTATATTTTAAAAATATTTTATAAAATGTTTTGTAAAAATATAAATCTATATATATATATATATATTTTTTTTTAATACAGGATTCGAATAATAAAATTAAAGAAGAAAATTTTATAGGAACAAACCTTTAAATTTCCTATTAAACATGATAATTAATATATATATATATATATCTATTACATACATCCAAATATTGTGTGTGTAGTAAAGTGGTACAATATTGTACAATATGCCAATATATATTTTTGTCTTCATATATTTATATAACATATAGAAGACTTGAGTAGTAGTTGTTGTTGACGATGATAAGAGCAAGTTTAGAGGAAGTGATGCAACCAAATCTCAAATGAATGGACCATAAAAATTATTACTAATTAATATCAACTTAGAGTTGGCACGCACCCCACCCCACCCCACCCCACCCACATATATATTTAAATTTTTATTTTAATTTAATTCGATACATAAAGACATATAACATCAATTTGAAAAGGATAAGTCCGTATCCATGTATATTCGGGGGTTTGGATTTTGAGTTAGAGATTTAAATAGTAAAAATTTTGAATTGAAATAGTTGTATAATGTGATATAAATAAGTATTGATGTGATGTTTTGTACTATAAAATTAGTTTTTTAATTTAATATAAAAATAAAAAATAGATATTTGATTTGATATTTTTAAAAATAAAATAAAATTGATGAATAGTAAAAATTCGATAAATTCTTTGAAATGAACAGACCCTAAATATAAAATCAATTACACTGTATATATAATGAATCTATATATAATAACCCATGATAACTCATCTTATTTTATTTGTTTAATTTCAATAATTATCTATAAGCCATATTAGCTTATTTGAAAATAATATATAAGTTTACTATAATGACGATTCATCATAACTAACACTATTTACTCTAAGGCTGTAACATCCCGATACGTAAGTTATGCAAAGTCAGCCCGTGTCGGCATTGTAGACTGACCCCACATGTCAGTTCTTCAAGTGTCATTTATTTTTAAATTACTCTGGAGCAAGTACGTTTAAATTCTTGCAGTATGGTTCTACACAAATAGTCTATTCAATCCATTTAACTTCTAATCAATTTCGTATGACCTAATACCGGTCCATCAACACAGGGAGATGGCTAAACAACGGGCCAACTCCGGGGTATCACATCCTTCCCCACTTTAGAATGTAACGTCCATGTTGCATCCCAAGGATCGTCAACTGCTAGGCCCCTCAATAGTTGGGTCAATGACCGCAGGCTGTCGTAGGTCGGCTCTGACACCAACTATGATACCCGGCCTGCAAGCCACCAAAAGCCGAAATTGTCGAGATTTTAGACTGGCACTACAGGTCAAGATGAGTCCGGTCACCCATTTTCAAGTTACTTAAGGGCAATCACGTTTAACTTTAGAGTTCTTTAAGTAGAATTCTCGAAAGAGAATATGCATATTATTGGCATGAATAGTCTATTCAATCCATGTAACTTCTAATCAGCTTCGAATTACCTAATACTGGCTCATCTGCAGACGGGAATTGGCCAAGCAGCAACCAACTCCGGGGTATCACGAAGGTGTTTATTTAATTTTTACTTATTAATTGCATAATAGAAGATCGTATTTTCATTGTCTATTTCCAATAAAATTTTATCTCACTCGTATTTTCCCTTCCACGGGCAAGTTCTCGCTTTGCATGTGTGTTAAGTCGGTCTTGGGATTCAAATAAGCATAACTTTAACCACCAGAAAGACAACATATTTATATATAACACGATATAATATTACGATATAAAAGCATGTATCGTACAATTTTATATATTGTACGTTACTCTATAAATATATTTTTGTACTAAAATCAATAATATAATGTGTTATACTAAATTATAGCATGTGCTTTAAGAACATGTATCGTATATTGTTATCATGTGCAATTTATTTTAACTAAACATTAACGAGGATATATTTGTTTTCTGGAATTGAGTTTTGATTTTGGATAGAAAAGATTTGAATTGAAATAGTTATTTAATGTGCTATATAAATATGTATTGATATGACATTTTGAATAAAAATTAAATTTTAATATAAAAAAATATCCACTATGTCCACAAAAAATATGCTTATATGAACTTGACATAGGTTTTAATGAATAGCATATTAAATTAATTGATTGTGATATAAAGTAAGAATATTTAAAAAAAAATACATAAGTGAGTTAATAAGTTGAATTTTTTTTTTGGATAAATTAAATACGTAGATATTAGTGACATATATGTAAATGAATAGAATGTTATAAATTAAAGAGTTTATAAGAAATATTTACTATAAATGAAAATTATGTATTTTTTTTGGACAAATAAAAGAAAAAAAAAACATAAATTTAATTGATAGCATGAATAAGTTAAATATAGATGTTTAATTATATATATATATATGTATGTATATATATTTTTAAAAAATTATAATAGTAAAGCCAAAATAAAAATGTTACAAACAAACACATCCTCGGTAGGAAGGAAGAAAATGGATGGATATATATACTCAAATTTACGATGGATGGATATATATATATATATATATATAATTGAATAGTATATTGATTGATGTAATATTAAATAAGAGTATTTTGAAAAATAAACGAGTGAGATAATAAAATGAATTTTTTTTTGATGGATTAAGTGTGTAAGTAATTGTGGTATTTTTATAAATAAGTATAATATTAAATATTATAAATTTAAAAATCTGTATAATTATTTGCTATAAATATATGGAAGAAATTATTATTATATATATAATGCTAGTAGTGGTTAGGTTAGAAAATCAAAAATGCACTGAATGTGTATCATATCTCCGTGGGATTTATTGCATTTTTCTTTTGGAAAGTATGGCGGACTATAAGACACAGACAGTCACACCACACAAATAATAATAATAATAATTCAAAAAAAAAAGGTAATTATAAATTTAAATGAAAGAATAATTTTACTTGCTGGGCAGGCCAAGTCAGGAGTAGTCCTTACCTAACGTTTTTGAGGAAGTTACTTGAAATGATCCCAACATTTCATTTCACTTACTACTTTAATTAATTATTAATACCCACATAATTAATTAATTAGTAGCACAGCATATATAGGTCTGACCTAACTAACTAACTAACTAACTAACTAACTCCCCATTCCATCTTTTATTAATAATAATAATAATAATAATAATAATATAGTACTCTCTCCTCCCAAACATCGTGCTACATTTCTTTTTTTTTAATATCTCAACCATCCTGCAATATTTTTAAAATAGAAAATAATTAATTATACTTAATCTCTACTCCACACTTTATCTCATCCCATCACACAAATAAAGAAAATAAAATATCTCTCAATCACATCACCTAATTTCTAAATTACTACCCACTTAAAAATTTGTGTCCAAAACAAATGTTGCATCTTGTTTAGGCCGGAGGGAGTACTAACTAGGGAGGGTTGAGGAATGAGCATAGTCTAATAGGCAGGTTGGTTAAGTTTTGGTTATGTTTATAGTTAATATAAGAAAATCAATAAAAAACATGAAAAAAAAAAAAATTAGGCTCCTTTTAGGCAAGAACTATTGAAAATTATAAATACTCTATAAGAAAAAAATATATATATATTTAATATGATTTTTTAAAAAAAAAGTTACAGTATATTGATAGTACCAACAGTTCTAAAATTATATAAGTAGACGGAATCTTAGTAGCGAGTGTGTTAAGAATAAAGAAATTAAAAAGATATAATCAGTAAATAATTAAATTATAAAAACAATTATAAATTATGATATAATTAATTGATTTGATTAAGATTAAAAAATTATAAATTAAAAAGTTTAAAATATGATTAGTGTATATGAATTTTAAAAAGATATTACTCCTAATTTACAAAGAAAGTAAAACTAAGAATGGAGTATAAATTAAAAACTATGAGATGAATGGAATATTTGTTTAAAGTGAGGAACAGATAGATATATGATGTGAATATAAAGATATGAAAAATGAATGAAAGTAAACTGAAACGATAATATATAGATATGAATGAAGTTTGTGGCACTATTGACTATACTATACCTATACGATAGAGGAAGGATAGGGCATAAAGTCAAGATGACAGTGACATACTATTTCTGCCCTACTCTACTCATATACTCTCATACAAGCAGAAGAAAACAAGATATTGGCAATCTACTCTCTCTCTCTCTATATATATATATATATATATGTTATACTGTAGTTACTAGTATATAATTGGTTGGATGTCATCTCTATCTCTATCTCCATCTCCATCTCCATCTCTATCTCATGTGAGTGCATGCCATTTTTTGCTTTTGTTTGACCATTGTTCTATTCTGCAGCTACATCTATATCCATAAAGAAATCTACATAGGAAATTTTCTGTTATCAGAAAGCAGCAATTGATCATGAGTAGTAGTAGTCCAATCCAATCCATCATCATCATCCACTACTCTTCTTATCCAACCATCTATCAAAATTATATCCATTCAATCAACACTGTTCCTATATTCCATTTAAACTTCTGGCAGGCAGGCCCATCATCATCATCATCCATTAACATTTCCCTTTCACCTCATATTGGACTATTGGGCCTCCTACTCCACCCCTACTCTACTAACAGTAATCAATTAGACAGATAGATACATATATATATATATAAATAGATAGATAGATAGATAGATAGATATGTTCCTGGCAAAGCAAAGCAAAGCAAAGAAAAGAAAAGAAAATCAATCTGATCATGTGTACATGTCTTTTGTCAATCTAATATTAGAAAATACTATTATTATAAGGGAAGGGGCAGCAAAGCAAATCAAATCAAAGCTGAATAGTAAGTAACTGAAAGCACATGAAACATGTTGCAGTGCAGACAAAAGCAGTGAGGGAAGGAGTAGGCCATCTCTCTCTCTCTCTCTCTCTCTCTCTACATATGAGAGACAGACGTGTGTGAACCTTAATCATTCACTAGTCATTCATCAACTTTGATCACAATCACCATATATATATATGTGCCTTCTCACTCTCCCATTCCAATTCCCATTAATCTAATTCATTCAAACTGAAAGATCCTCCATAGATTTGATTCATCATCAACATAGTAAACTTACCCTGGCAATTCAATGCAAGGCACAGAGCTGTCCACGCTTACCAACTCACTCCCTTTTATTATTGCTGCCTACCCACTTTTCATTTCATTTCATCTCACTTTCTTGGGCCTACATATTATGTGTCATCTTCTACACTATTCACTAAATTAACTATTCAGAATCAATCCTAAACTTAGAAAAGAGATTTCTTATATGGACTAAAAACAACCAGCAGCATTAATAAAATAATAATAATAATAATAAATAAATAAAAAAAAACATAGTCTTCATGATGAAAGCAAGCCCATATAGAGACAAGTATTGATGACAAAGAAGATCAAAATCGAACTGGAGCAAGTTAAACTTTACAAAGTAATATCACTCTGTATATTTACAATTACGACCCCTCCCCCATTCCCTCCTCCCTCTAACTGACTTCAGTCTTTCTCTATCTGTCTCCACCTCTGTCTCTCTCTACCTCTATAGATGCATGCATATAATTTATATAGATAGAGAGAGATGAAGGCCCCGTTTTATATCTCCCTGTGGTGTTGGAGGGGGAATCGGTATCCATCCACGTGGGGATGGGTATGGAGGGGTGTGTGCATGTGGGAGAAGAGGGAAAGGGACAGATCAGATGTGAGTTGCAGCGGCGTTGATGGATCTTGGCTGCCTTAGGACCTCAATCAATGCTTCTGCCTGTCCTCCATTTCACAAACAATGCCACACCCCCCACCCTCAAATTATTAAATAATAATAACACCAAGACACCAACAAACAATACAATACAATACTTGTATATTTATTTGCATGAATGGAAACAGATTGGCAGGCAATATGTTATCATCTACTCTCTGTTCTGTTCTGTTCTGTTTTTTTTGTTCCCACTTCAAAAATCAATGCTCAAGATGTGTATAAAAACAGCTAAAGGTTATTCATGTTACCGTCATCAAAACTAAAAATGCATATGCAATCAAGAACACATCAACCATATTGAGTTCTGTTTTTTTGCAAAAAAGAAGTTTCTTATTTTTTATTTTTAATTACCAGAAATGAAGGGCTAAGCTAAGTCCATAGCTAACAAGTCAAGGATGCACAAGAAATGAGCATTTTTAAGTAATGAAAAGTAAAGGGCTAAGGCCATAGCAGAACAAAGCTGATGTCTTTTAACTCCAAAAGTTTGGTATTAATATTAGGTTAAAATTTCCTGAGCTTACCTTCCAAACATCATTAATAAAGCAATCCTACCTACTTCCAACTCAGCAAACACACTTTTAAACATAAACAAAGTGTCAACTTTCATGGTGTTCCATTAATAAATTAGCAATTAGGTGATGACAAGTTGGAAGTGATCCTTACATCCTACCATGCAGCAACATCAACTACTAATTAATCAGCCAATGCTAATGATTTCCAATTATTCTAAGCAATTATTAATCTAATCACATCACATAGAACAGAACTTTGTACACACTTGGGCACCCTACCAAACAGCCTACTTACTGTAGAATTTTAGCCATTAATTAATCAAAATCCCAGGAATAGAATTATCAGGCGCCAATGACTTGTTCTTCCCTGATTTGACCTAACTCTAATGATGATAGTGTTAGATGAAAGACCAGTATAACCAATTTGTAATGATCCATGAAAAACCACAAAAAAAAAAAAAAAAAAAAAAAAAAAAACAGTATTAAATGAAGGAAATTAATTCATGGAGAAGACGATGATGATGATGACGAAGAAGATGGGAAGGGATTTGTTTGTTTACCTTTTGTTTGGCGCGGCTGGTTCCAGTTTGGGACAGAGCGACCAAAGGGGGAATGGCTCCTTCGCGGGTGACCAAGGTACGGTAGGCAGGGCAATCCTCACAGAGCTGCAACAGTATGGCCGCCGCAATCTCCTTCTGCCGTTGGGTTCCGACCTCCACGATCTCTACCAGTACCGGAATTCCGCCTTCTTCAACCAGAGAGGCTCTCGCATCTGCCACTGAAACCAATAGGCTCAAGACGTATGCAGACTTATCCACCATGTTTGACCCCAAATCCGACATCATCTCCACCAGAGGTTTCATTATCCCCGCCTGCACCGCCCTAATTTTGTTCTCCTTCACCGAGCAGAGTGAATACAGCGCCGTGCACGCGTCTTTCTTTCCTCGGAAATGACCGTTTTCCAGTAAGTTCACCAGCGGAGGAATCGCGCCGGATCGACCAATCGCGATCTTATTGTCGTCGATTTGCGACAGCCTGAGCAGCGCGCACGCCGCGTTCTCTCTTGCGGTTGAGGTTCCGACTTTGAGCGCGCGAACCAACGGTTTGATCGCCCCGGAGTAGGCAATTTCTTCCTTGTTCTCGTCGCACAGTGAGAGATTCAAAATCGCAGTCACGCCGTACTCCTGCAGCTGCAGATCGCCGGAAGAGACAATTGAAATAAGCGGTTTGATCGCTCCAGCCCTAGCGATTTTGATTCGATTGTCGGCTTTATTCTTCGCTAGGAGGCGCAATTCCATGGCTGCCTTCTTCTGCTCATCGATGTCACTAGAATCAAGGTCGGAAACGAGCTGCGCGATCAGCTCATCTGAGTTCTCAGAAGCGCAAGCGAGGAAGAGGCGGCGGCTTTCAGACGACGTGGTAGGGAACTCGCCGGATCTGTCGCTGTTACAGTCGCTGAAGGCGGAGGAAGAATCATCATTGAGGCTGATATCGGCGAACTTCCGGCCCATGTAGGTGAAGCTGGATTGAAGCGAATCGGCGGCATCCATGACCGATCCAATTCCGTTAGATGAATCAGTGTTGACTTTGAGAGAGCCGTTCATGGCGGAATTGCAGGAGCAGTGCATATAAAGAGAGAGAGAGAGTCTTGAGGCAGAAGAAGAAGAAGAAGAACAAGAACATGAACAAGTACACGTGGCGGGCCGTACAGAATCCCAGTCGGAGCAGGCACGTGTGACAGACATGTCTCATCTTTTCACGCGTGCGAACATTCATTCCATATAAATTACTACTACTGCGTCATATCTGCAGCCTGCTGCCTGCTTTTTCTAAACAAAAAAAAAAAAAAAAAAAAAAATCTTGATCATCAACTTTTCTTCGACTTTCTTGAACCAACTATAAATTGGTTGTTACAAAATGATTGGACCCTTCAACCTGCTTTTCTTCCATTCTCTGAATGATCATAGACATAATAAATATATAATATTGTCAACAACAAAAAAAAAAAAAAAAAAACAGAAAGAGGTATTAAAAGGGTGAAAGAATCACAAACATATCTTTGCTAAAAAATCCCTGTTGCATTATCATCTCAAGGCAATCAATAAATGTAGTGTAGAATGCTCCTCCACTTTGGAATAAATAAAAGGCACAACTTTTAGTCTTTTATGGGCTTTATCATCTCCACAACAGACTGCCACTTTGATTAATTTAATTCAGTAACTAATTAATTAAACCATTCTTTACAATTCTTTTGACCCAAGAGTTAGAGAGAGTTGATTAAGCTGGTTTTGGTCAGAAATCAATCAACTATTTATATCAGCAGCAGCAATAACAAGAATCTGATTAGACTAAACTAAATAGTCACAAGGTATCACATGTACTTTATCACAAATGCTTTTTGAGCATGCAAATTTTCAACATATCGAAGAAAAGTAATAATGTACATACAGTAGAGTGCAATAACAGAAATTATTCGAACTGAAACTTTGTTCTAACAGAGCAACATCATATCTAAAAAGAGTCTAAAGGTTGGAGTGTATCGTGTTCTCAAGCTAATAAAGGCAGCATTGCGGCAAACTGGATTTAATATGCAAGAAAATGATGAGGGGTGGGGAGCTGGAAGGGATTGATCCTTTCGCCTTTTATTTATAGAACACGACTTTCAGGGCAAACTGCGCTGGGGATGCACCATTGAGGAGAAAATAAAGGACATTGAAATAAACAAAACCTCAGTCGCTCCAATTATCCTCATCGACTGCTGTATTATGCCCTTTCTTCCATTCATCCTGCATGTTTTAATCAAAGGTGAGGGTTAAAAGACAATCTATGTAAAATGCACTGCATGGAGATTAAGTTTCGAGAGCCTACCACTTCATCAGAAATGAATTTGGAAGGAGACCAGACAAGAATTTTCCTATCATTACCACCTGTATATAATTCCTATAAGAATGACGGAGCAAATTTATCCGTAAGTCATTTGAAAACATAAACAGAATCTTGAAAGAGGTCATTAGGAAATTGTAATAGAAAGATCCTTCATGCAAATACATATGAAAGTCCCCGGAAACAAAAAAAAAAAATCAATGCAGTTACTCATTTTGCGAGATTGAATGCAGGGATACAAAACGTTGTCATGTATACTTTCCAGCATTTTCTAGAAACAAGTGCGACTAGCCAGAGGAAAGTGATACAGGGAGAGAGATGAACCTGATCTGTAGCATTGTACCAGCAGCAGTTCACGTTTTCATAGTGACCACGGAAAGTGCACTTTGTTTGGCCAGACCACATGTCAAAGGCCTAAGAGATTGGGAAAATAAGTGGTAAAGTTGTTGTCACATTAGAAACATACAGAGGAAAAACGGACAGGATGCATTACCTTTGCAGTCGTCATGCATGGAACAAAAGCAAGAGATGAGTCTTGGGACACAGCCATTTGAATAGCCTTGCTGCTTTGTAGACGTGTTGTTTCAAAGTTCACAAGTGTATTGCATCCAGATTCTATATCCCATAACCTCAACCTCGAATCCGAACCTGAATATCAAAAGCACACAAAGGTCTCAGTATCATTGAAAAAAATCTTCAGACAGGAATGATTATATTGATTTCAATACCATGGATCTATTATATTGCGTCTTCAGTCCTAAAACTACTTAAGTAATGGCATGATTTCTTCCAATTATGAATGAAGTGATGCACCAAATCGATTATTTGGTAAACTAAATGAAAGGCAGTCCTACTTGGAAAACAAAAGTTCTTGCAACATGAGCAGCATAAAAAGGAAAGGAAAAAGAAAGCTCATATTCAAGGTCAACAGATCGCAAAGTAAATTATTCATCAGATGTTACATTTGGTTAAGCCCAATGGAATATAATCAAGAACAATCACATAGAAAATAACTCAGCTTCCTCAGGCAAAATGACAAACAGAAAAACCTTGAAAAGTTGGCTCATTATTCAGATTCTAATATGTCCTGAAAGGAAGGGATCATTAATCACCCCAGCAACTGTTTCAGATAAAGACAACATTAGAAACATAATAATGAACCTTACAAACAATCAGTTGAAAAGCAGATAAGTTATTATTCGATTAAATGGATAGCCGACAACCTGTGCTTAGAAGATACATGCCATCTTGAGTCACCTTTAATCCAGTAACAACACCATAATGTCCTGTAGCATGGTCATGAATGGACAACAATCCTGGATGAGATCTCTGCTTTGTAACTTTCACTTGATTAGAAATTCTACCCACAGAATGTGGCTTCAAACTGATTCCATTTGATGATTTTTTCTGAGGTGCTCGGACTTTTCCGTTTGAACTTTGGCTTGCTGATGAAGATTTCTGAAAAGACGTCAAGAAAACAATGTAACAAACATGTAAACAACTATATGGCTATATAACATAATATAGTCAACTTATATTCATACATAGTACGCACTGCTACTGAAATGCCTAAACATGTATAATCCTTCTAAAAGAAGAGGTAGAATAGTCGGGAACCTGTGGGTAAGAAGTTTTCTTTACTTAATCAATCTCTTGATTTAACTTTCAAGTTCATCAAAATGTAATCTCATGTTTCAATTAATGCAGAAATTAAAAAGTATTCCAATATAGTTATGTGTGAATGCATAAAGACAGTAAGTTTCAGCAGATGCATATTGTAATTCTGTAAATGCTCAATCAATCACTTTCTTATCAATGCTACATTGTCAGGCAGATGTAAATAAGTAGTGGAACTTAAGGTCATATCTCAGTTTAATCTTTGCAAATTAATCTCAGTAAACTGTAAACCTTATTTGTTATTCGGCGAGCGAGAGGTGGGCGCCTTCCAAACTGAGAATGGGATTGATCTAAGACACGAAAACATCCAGCACGCCTGATGTCCCAAAAGCGTATAGCACCATCACATCCTCCAGTTATTAATACCCACTCACTAGATCTAGACCATTCCAATGACATTACACCATCTGTCATGAAAAATACAAGTAAAAGATATGATTAAAGTTCCACAAATTCAGCTTAAATATAGGACATATCTCAGCAGCGTGATTTACCAATTAGGACTACATCCCTATATGATCATGGTACCAAGAGTATGGTAGTAAGATAAGCAGACAACAAAAGCTTGAAGGCTACATTGATGCAATTATCAAAATCAACATGTCATACAAACTAATGCATCATCAACATACCACGATGACCAGACAAAGTGTGAGCAAATGCTCCAGAGGCAATATCACACAAACGAACTTGGACGTCTTCACTTCCAGCGGCAATTAACATATGAGATCTTGCTATTGGAGACATGGCAATACCATAAACCTTTCCAGGCTTTCGAAAATTCATCACAACCTACATATGAAATGTTCACAAGAATAAAAGAACAGGAAAATTGAATTTGAATACATTTATGATACAGACTGGAGGGGGAGCTTAATTACTTGTGTGGTATTTGTATCCCATATCTTAATATGCTGATCATATGAACCTGTGACGAACAGCCCCGTGTCAATTGGATACCAGATGGCTGAGGATATGGCATACTTATGGCTATGTTCATGTTGCTTGTTTATGACAAACAGCGAATTATGCTTCGCAATCAAGCCACCACCATCATAATCCGTTGCACGCTGGATATCATAAACTGCAACAGTAGCATCCGATGCACCAGCCAATAGATATCTCCCCTCTGTCAAATCAACCTGATCTTGAGATCACCATGGACCCCAAGAAAACATTTTTTTAAAATCACATAACAATGGCAAAGATAGTTGCGCCAGATTCACAACACGGATGCGGCATAAACAGAGGCACAAAAACTAGTCTATTAACGATTGGGCTTCATTTATTAAAAAAAAAAAATGATAGATAAAAATAAAATAAAATAAAATCCCGAAGCAAAGCATCAAATTGTGATTCCTACTAATAATTGTAATTTACAACCAGAACTGTGTAGCATGTAAGTCAGTAAATGCGAGGGGTTAAAATCAAAGATACAGCTAATCTACATGCTAGCTTTATGATTAATGTTAATGCACCAGCTAAAGCCCAAACGACAACAAAGTTCAACAGCATCAACACAAACACAATAATTAGTAGTAAAAGGGAGCAAAACGAAAATTGACCTGAAGAGAGTTGACTGAACCATTGTGAGAGGAAATCACTTCCTTGTAATTGGACAACTGGATGGAAGAAACCCTAGATTTACAAATGCGACCGCTGAACAAATTAGGACGAAGGTTCCCGAGTTCTCTCTCTCTCGTTTCCTTCCACATCGTCCTCGCATCTTTGATTTTCCTCCTCCCCTCACTAGCCCAATTCTTCCACACTCCGATTTCCAACGAAAATTAAACCTCCCACACAGATTACCAACAGAATTTGCACCGGTTTTCAGTGGATTGAAAGGGAATCATGTCACTTAGAATAACCTGATCGCTCTTAATTTTAGTTTCGCGACAGATTGCCACCCAGATTTCTTCGTCTTCTCCGACGAGCGTCGAGAGCAAACAACTATATAAAAGGATAAGCCCAGTTGACCTTTGGCCTCTCAGAACACTCTATTTATATAATGACACAGTCGGATCCGGGCGACCCGAACCCGTATTGGAAGACAACTCCACAGCTTGGAGCAATTAAACTCTTATTTGTAATTAATGTATTAATTAATATGCAAACAAATCATTGCGCATTTTTAGTATAAGAATAAAATGCATATTTAACAGTTAGAGCCGTCAAGATTATTTGAGATATCTGCAAGTTGTTATTTGTTTTACTCGTCTTTTATTTTATAATTTCATAATTTTTTAAATTCATAAAATTAAAATTATGATTTATTTTTAAAATAGAGTATTTTTTATTATTAATTTTTTTAAATACATGAACTAATAATATTTAAAATTGAAAATTTTTATATTTATTATTTATTTTAAAATATTTATTATTTAAATTTTAGAATAAAACTACTTTTAACTATTTTTAAATATTAATTAAGAAAAATATTTATAACATTAATATTATTTTAATATTTTTAAAAAATTCGTGGGCTAGTCCGCTTAGCTCGCCACCCGCTAGTGAATTGGGTTGGGCTGATAAAATTTTGATCCGCCCTTCGCGACCCGCAAACAACCCCTTATTTGCATGTTACGGTGGATTGTAGGTCCATCCACCCTACTAACCTGTTTTGACAGATCCATTAAGGGTGTGTTTATTTGAGGATTTGGATTTTGAGTTGAGATTTAAATAATAAAAATTTTGAATTTGAATAGTTGTATGATGTGATATAAATAAGTCGTTGATGTGATGTTTTGTTTTGAATGTAAAATTGATTTTTAGTATAATATAAAAAATAAAAAATAGGTGTTTGATTTGATATTTTTGGGGAAAAAAAATAGAATGAATAGTAAAAATCCAAACAAATCCATCAAACAAACAGTACTCTATACTTTTATAGAGTACGGTTAAAAGATACACTTTTTTACCCAAACTCTTTTTTTTCCTCTCTACATATTTACATGATTCAGTTCATATGGAACAGCAAATGCCTTTGCAAAACCCGGGGTTCGGGGTTAAAGCTACCAGGCTATCGATCCAGTAAATCTTTTATGTCTATCTTGTTGGTTGATTCCTGCACAGCACATGAAGAGCAAGACAAATGGTGAGAGCTAATTTGTGTGTGTGTGTTTGGTCAAATTCACAGGAATAGAGCAATACCGAACAACAGAAAATATACAAAGGGCTAATTTGTGAACATTAATCATCCCTCAATGTCCAGCATCAGCTTTCACCATATTTTTATATGAATTAGTTGATTTCTTTCAGTTTGGTTGTAACCTTAACAATCCCAGTTTGTTAGCTATCAGGAATTGAAATTCAATACTTCTACTATCTATAAAATCTACCTTCTTCGTCAAAAAAAGTTATAAAGACGCGAATATGGTTACGACAGTTATTATCTATAAACTATAGAAAATGAGGAAGAAGATGTGTTTACCTATTGTTTCAGGTTAGGTCCCTGATTAATGTAGTCTTGATAAATCTTGAAGCTTTTCATGAAATCCAGTTCCTGTATTTTCAATTTCTTGAATGCTTCAAGCTCCATTTGGCTAAAACCGGTCGGAGAATCCTTGAATTTAAGCTCAATTGGGCAGCCCATGTCGAATATTTCTTCTCCAACCATCTCTGGACTGAAATCAGATTTGGTTTCTTTGTTTCTCTTGAAGACATGGGTTGAAAATCCATAATGCTCATCCACGCTCAACGGGTGTTCAGCAAATGCTGATGGTTTATGATATGCAAACTTCATCTTTCGATCAGCATAGCTCATATTATCATCATCATCTGCAAGGGAAACGTATTCATCATCCTGTGGTTTGGCCTCAGGTCCAGAGACATGCTCCCGAACAATATCCATGACTTTATCACATTGAAGCTTGATATGAGCTTGCACAGAGAACGCTTCAGCCTCTTCCAGATAAGGCTTTGTCCCTCTTTCAAGCTCTTCTTTGTAGATTTTATGAAGGCTGGCCAAATACTGAGGTGGAATAATCGGACCCACAAGAGCATCATTGGTTGGCTGAGATTTAGAGGACCATTTGTTGCAGCGATCTGATGGCTTTCTAACAGCGCAAGGTGGAAGTTCCGATTGATGAGGGATGCCCAAGAATTCGAGGGGCTCCTTACAGAGCTTAGAATCTTCATTCAAATCAGTGTAGGTGGAGAAGGTCATCTGCAACAGGTTCATCGGTAAAGAAGCATAGATGCTTCTTAAAGCAATGTCGCGCACGCTCGTGGGCAAGGTGATGTCTTTCATCACATCAGGGATTGTGAGAGAAGTTCTCGTTCTGGGAAGCCCGGAATTCTTCAATTTGTCACACATTTCTTGATGGAACATGTATTCTGATTTATACACATGCTGCTTTATCTGTGAACCTTGATCGTGCTCCCCCCGGTTTTGTCTTCTTCCAACAATGAGTTCTGCAAGGTTATCCTTCAAGCATGCATTCAGATATTCCAGCTTCAAGTGTTGAAACTTCTTTTTACCATTGTATTCCGAAGGGGGAAAATTGTACAAAAGATTATTATCCTCCGACAAAAGACTAACAAGTTTTCTCTTGTGACCGATCAATGGAAGTTTTTCAGGCTTCCATGCTGCAACATAGCGCTGAGCTTCTAACTTCCCTGATGAAGTTAGCCTGATGAGTACAAACCCACCAAAATTATCAGGAGAGGAGAGCTGAGCATAAAGATCTGGATGAAGAATGCCAAAGCCTAGACTTATTATCTTTTTCTGCCTCCAGTCGATCCACGCGAGGAGGGAGTCTTTCAGGAACTCCTCATGCACAATGCAACTCCCACAGTTACAATCAGACCCCGACAATGAGAATTCCAAAGGGTCTCCCCATGCAAGGAAACTATTGGTTTCAGAATTGACCGATAAATTTCTGCTTATATCAGGTCCATAACAGAAAAGACTAAACTCGTTGTCCCAAAATGATCCAAGCATGATACAATAGCCCGATTCGGAAGCTAAATTGTATTTTGAATCTTTCGCATTTGCTCTTAATTCTGCCAATTGGTAGACAACAATATATCGTGGATTCCGAATGCGATGCACCCAAGACAGCGGTGGCATCAATGGTTTCTGCACATCATAAAGTAGCAGTACCTTCTTTGTAGCCACCGCAAAATGAAACCCGTCTGATCCTGCTCTTGAGAGTGTCAAGAACCCATCGTTCTTGTATGTAGATGATGTCTCAATCTTCAACAAACTACAAACATTACACTCTCCTGCAGTTCTCATATCAACCATGAACATCTCTTTACGATGACAAGTGATAAATATCCTCGGATGCCAACCAAACTCACATCCAAACCACTGCAGCTCTTTGTCGCTACTTTTCTCCTCCAAAATCACCTTATTATTCAATGAAACTTTTATTATTTTGCTCACATAAGTGCGAGTAACAAACTTAGACTTACCCTTTATCTCAGAGGAATAATCAACATTAAACAATAGCAAGTCGCCATTTTCCAGCAAAATCAAACACTCGTTCCTAAAATGTGGACTCCAACAAGAACCCACGACTGCAGAGCCCCTCAGCATTTTAGGATCAGCACAGCCAAGATAATCCATACAAACAATATATTCATTACGGCCACGATCCTTACAAAGTCTCACTCTGTACCAAATAACAGAATATTCAGTGCGTGCCATCAAATAGCCAACAATAAGATTGGCATTATTGCGGCAATCTCCAAATAAAGTATCCCCATAATCATATCCAACCGAAACGTCAGCAGGAGTGACCAGCAACTGAGTTATTCGTTGATTATTCAAATTCCCTTCCTTCACCACCTGGAAACAATTTTTCTTCTGTGACAGGGCATTCAAGTTTTCATCCTTTACCGGCAACAACAAAGTCCCCACACAATCAGAATTCTCCCCAGCTGGGAAAAACAAAACTATCAATTTTTCACCTGGAATTTGGAGCATCTGAAGAGAATTGAATCTGTGATAATGAGAATGCGGATTCGGATTCAGGGGCCGGATAATAGAGGCAATTGAAGTGGCAGGGCAAGGAACGGAATTGCATTTCTGGAGGAACCGGGAAAACGATAATTGCGGATATCTCGGCGGAAGGGAAGGACCAATGGATTGAGAAAAATGGAGAGTGGTGGATGAGTTGGGGTCGGGGGTAAATCTCAGAGGACCAAAGGTAGCTTCAGACCCTTTGCTTGAAGTGAGAAGTGGAGCAGAGAACATTGAGGATATTGGCCGCAGAGATTTCCAATCCCCAGTAGAGTTCATACAATTCAATTCAAGATCTGTAACACAGAGAATTCATCACATAGTGTTCACAAACGCTTAGAAATCATACAAATGGTAACCTCCAGTAATAAACAACGTTTAAAGTATGAAGTCGGTAATATGAACTTAAAATCGAAACAACATAGCAGAAAACACAGCAAATACCGATATGAACTAATTGAACTAACATAACAACATACACATTCCCGATTACCTAATATCCACATACGCTGAAAATAGAATAATAAAACATAACGGCAAACAATTCAAAATCAGTGCAAATTTTTTAAAGATGAGCGAAGAATTGAACTTACGATCAAAGAAGGGGCGGACAAGGCGGAGAGCGAGAGCGGCGGATGAGGAAGGCAACGACGAAAAGAGGAAGACGGAGCATGCGGCGGCGGCGGCGGCGGCGGCCTAAATGCTCACCCGGTTACGAACCGCCGGTCGGTTCCGGTTCAATTTCGGTTCTAGTTTCTTACACCGTGAACCCCTGAATCCCGATTCGAACGGCCGGTTCAGTCGGGTTTTCTTTAATCCCAAACCTGAACTGCGTCCAGGTATGGACGGCGGCGTTGTAGCCGGACGGCGGTCAGCGGCGGTGATGAGTGGTTGACGAGGAAGAAGAAGAAGAAAAATAAATTACAGGAGCAAAAGTGTGAGGCGGAGGAAGGTGAGGGGAAGACGATGAGTGGCGACGGATAAAGGTTCTAGGGTTTAAGAGGAAAGGGGAAGGGAGAAAATTCTTTCTAAAAAATTGTGTTTTGGTTCAATTTTTTCTAAAGAGGGAGGGAAGATAATGTTTTTAGATTTTCTTTCTTTCTTTAATTTGAAGGAGAAATATTCTAAATTTTTTATTTTATTTAATTTTCTATTAGTATACCTTTTAATATTTTATTCAAATTTTTATAATATTTTCAAATTATAATATTTTATTCAAACAAACCCTATATGGTAACAATCGATCAATCCAATTTATTCAGAACAAAATAAAATAAAATAAGTAATTCCACAAAGACAAAGTAGCTCCAACCAATCTATCATCACTTCATTTTCGTTTGCAGAACAAGAAAAGATGCAGAAACAGACTTATGTCAAATTACAACTTCAACAATGGCTTTAAGTAAATAAGCAAACAAAGTCGAAAACAAACCAGCAGGATTTGCTCCATTCAATATCATCACTGCAAACTCCCAACACCAAACCAGATAGATAGAAAGATTGCTTTACCACAACACAAAAAGCTAAAAAACCACACCTTCCTGCAAAACAGGAGCCACACTGCAAACTCAGTCAGAGCCGGAAAATCAACGGTTAAGAGAAAATTCAAAAATAGGAAACTAATTTCCAAATCCGGCAACCATCATTCGAGAGTTAACCAAATGAATGGTGTTAAGAATAAAAGGTTGCCAAAGATTTTTCCTTTTTTTCTGTTTAACCCCTCTCTCTCTCTTTCAGAACAATGGGAATAATCATACATCTTCGCTACACATTTACATGAATCTATTTTGTAAAGAAAAGGAATCAACTTAAGAAAACTCGAGGTTAAAGCTACAGGGCGACCTAGATATCAAAATCGAGAATCCTAACTTTGCAATCTTTTTCGCCTATCTTCTTCTGTTGGTTCCTGCAGATGGAGAGCAAGAAGGTTCAGTCAGTTACTTTTCATGTTTGTACTGATTCACAAGCATGCAATAACGGGCAGTTCGATTTTCAGTAATTTGGCTACTGAAAATACACAAACACTTTCTAATGTCGATAATATTTGATGGAACTACAATCATAAATGCAGCATACGCAACACTGCCCAGTACAATACATATTGCAAAAGACAACAATGCCAGTGTCAAAATTTGAAGCTTACTGAAACTACTTACATAGCTGCACTTACAACTATTGTGAAGCCCCCTAGATCTTACGCCTACAATTATCTGTAAGACGATGCATATATGGCAGAACAAACTCATTATTACGAGCTCATTGTCCCTAGTTTCTGAGTGGTCTCCTAAATTTTGTAGTATTAAATGTTTATTCAATTCATGAGAGAAAGCTAGAAACTGGAGATAAATGAAGCAATAGTCCTAAGTTGCATCCGTAAGTAATCAATAGGAACAATTGAGGATTGTTTCTGTGATGAAATGCCCAGGAAACTATAGAAAGCTTGAAGCAGAAAATGTTTTTGAACATTAATCAAGAAATTTATCTGGCAATCGTAGACTTGTAGTATGGTTGTGACTTTGAAATTATTTATAAATTGCAGAAAATGATTTAAAGGTTAACTAAAGAATGCTCCAACTTAAATGAAAAAGAAATGCTTACCCCCTTATCCTTTCCAAAATCTTCATGAGAGTCCGATCTACATTTAGCATGAACTATTGGTCCTAACTGTGATCTGTCCATTCCGGCTGTTGAACCAGCTGCAGCATACATATAAACAGCGCCCTTGTACATCCATTCTTCCATTTCATCACTGTAAAAATCTTCAAAGGGTTCTCCACACAATGCGCATGTGTTCTGGTCTTCATCGGCAGGAACAGCCAATTCTTCATCATCCTTCTTTTCCACAGTGCTCTCAGCAGGTAAAAATCCAGGAACTGCCTCAGGTCCCACGGCCTCCGTGCCTCTGAGCAACATACTAACACTCACAAAATACTTTGGCGGAGGCTTTGTCTTACGGTTTTTCAATGTCCGGTCCTTGCTGACATGCCAATCCATATGCTTACTGTGTTCCTCTTGGTCTTTGAATCGACGACCACAACTTTTGCATTGTCTAGGAAGATCTGCATATAAAGCAGTTATCGCAGATTCGTGTCGCACCTTGAGCATGTCTTGATCGAATTCCAGTCCAACAGAATCCTATACATGGCATAGTATGCATATGAAGAAAATTTTCAAGACAATTACTCAATGACATGAAAAGTGCAGTGCATACCTGCTTTGTGGCTGATATTAAACCTTGGGCCATTAAAGAACTAATTAAACCTGTGAATGCACTCCCAGCTGGAGGGTTGGGAGCAATTTGACCTATAGGTAGTGGCTGAGATGGACCAGGAAGAGGAACTCCTGGTAGAGAGGGTACAGCTCCCCCATGGACATTAAATGGCATGTTAGGAGCATTATGGATTGGCATTGATGGCTGTCCACCAGGAATTAGAATAGATGAAGCAGTGCAAATTGGAGGACCCTGCATTGGTCCCATGTATCCATAATTGAGAGGTCGTATCATCGGATTGGATGGAGGGGGTACTGAAGATGGCAAAGGAAAGTTTTGTCTAGACCCTTGGACCATAAATGAATTTGGCAGGGAAGCATTTTGCAAATTTATGGGTGGGCGCTGACCATGAATTTGAGGTAGGTTAAGCTGAGACATGCTCCCAGTGATGCTGAAATGATGCTCATTATGAACAGTCTTGTTCAAACTCTGGTCAACACCCATATTGCCAGCACTGTTCATACCAAATTGACCTCTGGTATGGATTTGTTGAGGAAGAGAAGAAAGTGAAGGCAGAGCATGTGAGCTCTCAAGCTTAGTAGGACCCCAAGCCATTGGTGCAGATGCATCATCAGCTGATCGAATATCAGGAGCCGGAAGGTCGTATGGAGAACCTAATGTTTGCACAATATCAGTAGGCCTGCCAAACTTTCTATCTGTATTTTTAAAAAAAAAAAAAATGCAAATAATGGGGACTTTTCCTTCTAGCAGCTAAAAAGCTTCTATCTAGATATAATGAAATAAAAATTACCAGCTTCAACATTCACATTTCTCTGAGGTTGATGATGTGGGAAAGACAAGGGTTCTCGGGCCATGTTAGGAGGAATCTGACTCGGCACATCACTTGAGCCAGCAGCATTTGGCAGGACTCCCCCAGAGTTGTTAATTGATTCACGACCTGACTGAAAATGAACAAAGAAACAAATCAAGGTAAAAATCAAAATGATTTCTAAGATTGTAATTGTATTGTCAACAACTAACAAATAATGAAGATAGAAACTGGATTTCACTAAAAACCCATTATGTATGTAAGGAAAAGAACAACAGCAGCAAAATTAGGATCTGAACAACAGATGTATCAATCGATATGACACACAAACAGAAATATAGATAATCTAATTTGACCGTAATAATAAATATAAGAGACAAGTTTAATGAACAAGTACACAGTTAACTGAGTTTAGAATCTTGTGAACTTCTAGCTCTACCGAAGAAGATGGATTCATTATTTCTTTTTTTTAAAGGACTCCAAAGAGAAATAGTTAAATAAACACTCATGCTCTAAACAACCTCTATAATGGAGCACCTAAGGATAGAAGGCAATCCAACCTTGGACAGGTTGCCTCGGTAATCAGGTAATGGAGGACCAGCATGGTTAGTTGTAAGGCCATGTTTTGACATCAATTTACTAGGAGGTGGATGAGTTGGGTTCATATCTTCCCAGTCAAATTCTTCCTCTTCTGTGTTTTGCCATGTCTTAATAGCTGCCTTTTGGTCAGCACCATTTGAGTCCACCGGATGTTTCCGTTTCAAATTTTTTTCTCTTTCATCCATTCCATAGGCACTAATCAAAGCTCTAGGCCCACTAAGATCAGCCCCATTGCCGTACTTATGAGAAGCAGATGTTTTAGGATATTGACTGGAAATCCCCTGCCAATTTCTATTCCGCCATTCATGTGTATCCTCATCTTTCCCCATCACTCTGCTTAGCCCAGGATTGATCCCAGGACGAGATGGTGAGGTCCTGAAAGCAATTCTATTAGGAGAACCATCCTTACCAAATTCATCAATCAATGGGGAAAATGATCCAACATGCCCAATTTTATAAGGAGAGGAAGGCCGCATAATCCTGGAAGTTGATGGAAGCGACTTCTTTACGGCCTCAAGACCAGAAGTTCCAAGTTCTGAACGGCCAATTGTGTTTAGTTCTTCAGTTCCTATCTGTAAATTGAAAACGTGAGATAATAAAAAACATTATTGGAAAGCATCGACGCAGAGCAACTAAGAATGCTTCAGCATTTAGATGTCTATCAACTCATCCCATGGACATTTCACATTGAAGATAAACAAGAATGATGTAATTTTAGAAAGCAGGGGAAGGGCTAAAATCACAGAACAGCGCCAAAATGTTGGCAGAATTAAATAGCAATATCATGATGCCTCAAAGAAGAAGAAATCACACCAGATGTTGCACAGAGAACCTAAGCAAGGAGACAATTGGGGCTTTACACAACAAAACACAGAATACTGCTAAACACAAGTCAAAATACAGCCAAGATGCTGGTCAATTGCAACTTGTGCTCAGAAAGTTTCATATCCAGCCAGAACAAAGTAATAAAGCAATTTAACAACCATAGCTTGTATATATTGAACTTGTAAGCTTAGTTGATAGCAATAGAAATGCTTGATAGCCTTAAACTTGATCATATGTGGAGATGGAAAGGAACAAATTGTGTAGAAGTAACCAACATCCCTATCTCTGCATATCATTCAAAATTGAGACAGGTCAAACAAAAGGTTTCTAGCCACATTCAATGAGAGATTCCATTCGCAGATGTGACAGCTTAAGAACATGCACAAGCCCAGTGGAAGTCCATCTGCCTCTGCCAAATACATATAAACCTCAAGAATTTTCAGGTTTTCTAAATTATGTTATTGTCTATTTTAATTCATGGAAAATCTTCCAATGCTCAAACTATTAGAAAACTAAGGGATGATAATGCACAACAATCCAATTTGAAATAAAACAGAATTGTCTTAGTAATACTAGCTATATAATGTGTGCATAGGAAAAAGCCTTGATGGAATGAAAAAGAGAACAGAAGCAGTAATAATGGGAAAAAAGGAAAGGAAAAGAAAAAACACTTGCACTACTAAGAACACAGATTGCATGAAAGCTTACAGGATCAATGGTCGAATGTCCAAAATGAGGCTGAACTTCCAAATATTTAGGATTTATGTGTATACCACGTGTTGGCCTAGGAGACTCAGAAGCTCTTGTTGAACTTGAGCCAGTGGGTTGTCGATTCATGGAAGGAGAAAACTGCAATTGTGCCTCTATAGTTTGGAGTACTATCAATGGAAAGACTGTAGCCCATGTACCAAAAAGATGACGCATTGCTGGATGCATGCTAGGGTGGACTTGTGCATAGGCTTCACAGAAAACCTTTAATAATCATAGGCATGTTGAAAGACATTAGATCAAGTAGTCACTCAAAATATTGCAAAGCATTCAAAAACTTAAATTAATCTCACCACAGGCAAGCGAGCAGCAAAGTGTTTAATGTATTCCTTGCCTATATTCTTGACAATGCTGTCTAAAAGGTACAGAGAAGGAAGTTTCTGATCAGCAGGAACCTGGGCAAGACAGTTATCACAGACAAAGAGGAAAGCATCAAACATAGAACATGTGATCCAACTAATACACATTCAATAAACAAGTAAAATATCCATATTATATTCCTTCGCCAGGGTAAGGCAAAAAACCATGGAAGACTTACAAATTAAAACAAGAATATTTTTCTTAACTTCAAAAACTAAAAAAATAGATTAAAAGAGGAGAAGAAGAACATAATCTATTAGACAAAGAAACACTAATATCGTTAAGGCATGGCCTAGATTCCAAGGTTTAGTGAAAAGTACAATGCAAACCAATTGAGAAGTAACATCCAAGTTCTGTGATTCTTCTCTCCTGTATGCCTGGAAATTTCAAATATCAAATTTCCTGTATGCGTGGAAGTGATGAAACAAAACAAATACTATACCATACAGAAGTCATGATCCCCAGCAATTAAAGAGCAGAACAAGGCCAACCTTTCTCCTTCAATAAAGAAAATTCTGGTCTACATATCTGAAAGTTCTACCAATATACTAATTCTTCCCAAAGTAGTTGTAGAGATAGGAATGTGACTTTTGTAAAAACGCATAAACTACCATCATACATGTGATTTACCTGTAAATTTCCACAGGTTTCTTTACAGCAAGCAAATGACGTAAGCCAGGATTTTAATTCTGGTTATTTCCAATTACTGAAGAATGAAGCTTTCTTGAAATCCAACATTTTTATTGAAATTAAATCTGAACTTGGCAGCTTGAATTTCTTCATTTAAAGATTACTAATAAATATATATATATATATATAATGATATATGTTTGCAATCTCACATTCCCAATTTCATACTTAATGAACTTAACTTTTCAAATTAAGTGTGGCACAAATTTGTGGAGCAAAAAATATAAACAGAAATGTAAATAATGAAAAAAGAAAAGGAGAAGGAGAAACAAAGAAGCAATTTAAACCAACTTCTGCACCACCATTCCAACTCAATCAACAACAATACATTTGAATTCAACACACTACAATAACTACAGAAGAGAAGCCGTTCGAGAATTACAGCAGTAGCCCAAATGCTATACCTCAATAATCCGAGCACAAATGGCGTCCGCAATTCCTTCAACGTGAGCCCTCTGCTCTCCCGCAATTATAGTGAGATCTGTGATGATTGGCTTCGAATTCATTGTGAGCTCAGACAAAACAATCTCGTAAATCCGCACAATTTCATCTGTGCTCAAGGGCAATAGTGCCCCACCACCAAAAACCTTAAGCTCGTCCTCTCTCTCCTTCACCATAGCCCTGAATCGATCGAGAATCATCGGCGGCAGGGGCTTCATCCCAACACCTTCGTTTTGAATCGACGGGGGTTTGTTAAAACCCCCGCTGCTCAGAGACATAGGGTTCTGAAATCTCGAGGTACGGTCCATTCACCGAGAACAAAGGGCCGATGAAATTCACTACTTAGATCAAAACTAGGGTTTTGAACCGGAGCACGACTGCATACAATAACCGTACATATAAAAACCGTAATCGATGTGATTCCCAATCTCGAGTCAAGCAAGCACGTATGCTAACAGAATTTGCAGGAGGCGTTCCTCTTGGCGAGTCCGTCCGCGTCGGCGGAATCGGGAAGTTAAATGGCGGAAATGGAAACCATAGACGCGTATATTGAGAAGGCGGTGAAAGTGTGGGCTTACGGCATCAGCCACAGCATAGCGGCGGAGGTCGCACGGAGATAGGGATCTGCCGTAAATCCACCGGCGCGGCAGAGAGGATTGTGGACGGGGGTTTGGGGAAAGGAGACGATCTTGAATAATATCCTTTTTTTTCTTTTTTTTTTTTAACCGGCAGAAATGAATATATATACACAGCATGTTATTTTGTTTAATTGATTTTTATTTTATGTTATTTATTATTTTGGCTGTACGGACAAGACAAAAGTGTTGCATGACCACTAAAATAGGGTTTATTTTTAACAGTTAAATATTTAAATAGTAATTTTTTAAAAAATTACTCATAATGTCAAATTTAATATAAACACTAAAATTTAATAAGAATGGTATTAATAAATAATTAAAAATATATTAATAAAAATAATTATTAATTAAGATTAAAATAAAAAATTGTATAAATTATAAAATTTAAAATATAATTAAATGTATAATTTTTTTAAAAAATAAAATATATATAAGACGGATAAAAAAATAAAAAATATGACATAATACGTGGGACGGAAAGACATTTAAAAAATAAAAGAGATTTGTTTTATTTTAATTTAAAATTAAGGGTTTGTTTGTTTAATAGGAGTATTTCAGTGTGAGATAGTTTCCAATGTAAAATATAGGGAATCACATAAAAAATACTTCATTCGTCTCAAATATGTGTAATATTTATTTGCAGTATTATAATTTAGATAAAATAGTATTTAGTAGAATAATTTAAAAATTAGGTAATATGATGAGAAAATAGTGTATATTTATTTTTTATTTGAATGATGTGATAAGATAAAATGTGATATACATATTAAATATATTTAATTATTTTTTATTTTTAAAATATTACAGAGTGTTTGAGATAGACTAAAAAGAAAACTATTGCATTGTGTTTGTAAATATTTTATGCTTAATTGTTGACTTTTGTAAGAAAATATAATATTAATATTATATATTGAATAATTCTAAAATTTAATTGAATCTCGCTGATACGGGTTGATGGCTGATTTTAAAGCAGGGACGAGTGTTCCAATCCTTCTTATATCCGTTTAATTATTGGATTATGTTGCAAGTGTGTATACAACGAAGTTTTGAAATTTTTCAAAAGAAACTATAAAAGACTACGGGGTATGTTTCAAAATATCATGGAATATTTTGTAAGAAAAATTGTGTATTTCTAAATAGTAGAAATATAGGATTTTGAGCAAAAGAAACAAACCCATTGTGCGGGGGTTTATATGGATGAAGAACAGTAAAAATATATCATACTAGAAAATATCGAAGTATCAAAATTTAACTTTTTAAATGATGTTGTTTCTTGTAGCTACAAGAAGTTTGGATTTACCGACTTGTTATGCGTTAATGTGTTGAAAAGTTTTAGACAAATAAAAACGATTATAATCAAATAACAGTTTTGGACGAATATAATATTTTATATATAATATAATTTAATATAAGAGAATTTTATACAATCAAGAAAATAAATATTTTGTACATTTTTACTTAAATACAAAATGAAATATTATACTTCTTTCGTCCATCTCTAAGGGCCACGTTTACATTTTGCAACATTGTATTTAACATTAAAAATATTCTTATATTTTGTATAATTTTTTGTACAAATATTATTCTATTAGTAATATAAGATACAAATAAAACTATTTGAAGGAAAAAAAATCCCAAAATATCCAAATAATATTTAAATTAAAAAATAATCTAAAAAAAAAAAAAAAAACCCAGTTTGTTTTATTAAAAAAAAAACAAAAAGAAAAAAAAACAAAATGTACCCTTTAAGGTGTGTTTGTTTGAGGGTTTGGATTTTAGATTGAAATTTGAATAGTAAAAATTCTGAATTTGAATAGTTGTATGATGTGATATAAATAGGTATTGACGTGATGTTTTGAATGTACAATTAATTTTTAATATAAAATAAAAAATAAGTATTTGATTTGATATTTTAAGAGAAAAATATTTGAATGAATAATAGGAATCTTACAAACGAACACACCCTAAAAAGAAACTATAGATGAGAGTAGAGCTGCTTTAGTGTTCGTATATTTGTAAATATGTAGATATTTAGCATTTGAACTAAATTAAACAAATACCCAAAATGACAAATGTTATTCGAATAGAAATTTTTAATTAATAAAAAATATTTATAATATTTATATATAATTCGAATAGAATTTAAAAAAGAAATACAATAAAAAATAATTAAATTTTCAATTAAATAAAAATATTTATAAATATTTTAAGTCAAAATCAAATATAATATAATAATTAATATAAAATTTAAAATATAATAATATAAATATATAACTTTTTTTTTAAAAAAAAATTGAAATACAATTATCATTTGTTAATTTAGTAATGGTACTAAAGATATATTTATATTATACAATACTAGGTATTTTTGTCTTTTTATACAGCAACCTATTATAATATTGATATTTAAAAATCTAAAAAGAAAATTAAAAATTAAAAGTCAACCATGGACAGAGGAATTATACTATTCAAATTAAATTTGCTCTGTTTAAAAATTTAAAAAAAAAAAAAAAAAAAAAAAGGAAAAGGGATTCAATTTCTGAGTGTAGAGACATTTGTATTTTGTAAATACTTTCCATCAAGTTGGGTGTGGATCACATCGACGGTTCAGATTCTCCCATCATCATCGCAAGGCATTTTCGCGGCATTAGTAGAACACTAGGAACCCTTACTTCCGGCAACGAGCGGCGCCGCCATGAGCCACCGCAAGCCACCCATTGCACTACTCCCTACGGAATCGTTTCAACTCGAATCCGGCCTCTCCCTCACGCCGCGGATCAAATTCAACCTAACAATTTACCGAGCCGACAAATCTGTATCTCCAGTCGATGAGTGGAAGCTTAAGAATTCGCTGATCGAGTATCTCAGGTCATGGCACTCGATCTCGGTTCCTGAAGAAGATATCAAGATTTTTAAGTACAGAGACCTGAAGAAGCGGAAGCGGGAAGATCCTGTGGCGCGTGGAAGCTTGGTCGTGCTGGATTTTACTTTCCTGTTGAAGAAATTGGGGATGAGCGGGGAGGAGGATGTGGAGAAGGAGTTTTTTAAGTGGAGGAAGGAGATTGTGGCGGCCATGGATGGAATGGAACTGAATTTGGAGGGCGTGAAGTTTAAGTTAGTCGGTGAGGTTTACGCAGGCGATGATTTTGCAAGGATGAGGAAAGAGTGGGAGGATATTGCAGCCTTCAGACCTAGAGGTCAGTCTTGTAAATGCTTCGTAGATTGAACTTGTAGAGAACTACGAAATCGAAGAAACCAACGAATGAGCTGAAATTCATGTTCTAATGGATTGATTTCATGGACTAAGAACTAAATATGAAGCCAAACTAGTTCATGCCAGTTTTGTAAATTCTTGGTGGAATAGGGCAGTGGAAGATCGAATTTTCTTGAAACAAGTTCACAAATGCAGAATGGAATCCACCATTGATGTTGTTGATTTGTTTTGCATTTGTTCCTGGCTTATTATATCATATTTTTATATATTAAATCGATATTGTGCTTTATCATTATAATTTTATGCTATACTGTGTTCTTATTAGTAATTTTCTTTTATGGTAACATAATTTATCGATGACTTTTGGTAGGATATCAAAGGGTTGATAAACAGGAGCCAGATACAATCATACTGAGGGGTGTTCCATCGAGGTGGTTTGCTGAGCCTCGTGTTTCTTCAAAACCTTCAATGCTCGTTACTCATACAATATTTTCAGTATTTGGAAAGATAAGGTGCGGTTGTAGTTATCTTTCGGTGGTTTGTTTGTCTGCCATATCGATGAATTTATTGAATACTGAAGAATTCTTTACACTTTTGTTCTTGATAATGTTATGCATTTCTTTTACACTGCTCATTTGTAGTATGCTGTTAAGTGGCTAAGATATTATCGATTGTAGTATTTGAATCTGATATATCCTGCATTATTTATAGATACACTAATGAAAGTAATAGCCATTTTTAGAAGCATGATCATGATGAAAGTAATAGCCATTTTTTAAGTTTAAGTTCTTGTAGGATTTTATTAATTCCTTGTTTCTATATCTATCTGTTCCATAGGTGTCTTGATGTTGGGGAGGACAATGATGCGGGTGAGGGAGAGGATGAAGATAATGAGAATCTAGTTTCAGGTCTTCACTGTAAGATTGTGGCTCAATTTGAAGATCACAAAGACTTCTGTAATGCCTTGAAGGTTTTATGTGGCCGCTCTTTAAATAAGGTACACAACCCCTTCTCTCTTTTGCTTATCTTTCTTCCCTTCTGAAAAAAAAAAAAGGGTAATGGCATGTCGGAGCATATTCTGCTTTTAATATGTTTCTTGATTTTCAGACATCATTTGAAAGTTTCAACTATGTATGATTCTTGATATTGAAGGCGTGTTTGGATGGGTTTGAATGTAAAATTGATTTTTAATATAATGTAACAAATAAAAAAATATGAGTTAGATGATCACAGCATTGCATGCAGAAGCAAATCAATATAACCATTGTTGTGTCTTGTATGAAAATGTCTTGCACCAAATTTCTTTGTGCCACTAAATAAGAACTGCTTTTCGATAATTATAACTATTGCAGCAAGGATCCCGGATGAGGGCTGATTATGAAGTGACTTGGGATAAGGATGGATCGTTTCGAAGTGGTAGGGGCCAAGCAGAACACATTAGAAGATGGACTCCGGCAACTGGGCCGGAAAATTACAGAAGTGGAGCATCTGTTCGCCCTTCACAAACACCACAATATAGCCCTGACGACTCCCGCAGAAAGCGATTCAGGGTATGAATAATTGTCCTCTTATCACTCAAATTGTTCACAACCCACTTATATGTTCTAGCTCTAATGTATTGCGCCAAGTATTGTTTGCTAATCCATGTCGGTAATTGCTCAAAAAGCCTTATAGTCAAGTAAAAGTTCGTCCACTGTTTCCATAAACTGCAGGATTGAAGAAAAGATCATACAAGTCACTGAAGATTCAAGAAAAGTGAAATTTGGAAACTTCATGGTGCCGAAATCTTGTCTCGACTCAAAGAACAGGTAGACGTTCGTTCATAAAATTTTCCATTTCCCCGGGTCTGACTGGGCAATCTTCTTGTCATTTTGCTGATAATCTGCCAAAAATTGTGCTGTTTTTTGTTGAATCCTTTGGATAAGCTGCTGCTTTATGATGGTTCATGTTTTCTTGTTCTTGATTGTGCAACTATGTTCTTATTGTATTAGGTTGTTGTGTAAGGGTAGTTTTGGAAAGTCAAAAAAGAATGTAAACGGGGCATTCCGAGAATCGAACTCGGGACCTCTCGCACCCGAAGCGAGAATCATACCACTAGACCAAATGCCCATTTGATATTCGTATTTATAATTTAAATATCTAATCTTAAAAAGTAGATGAAAATTATGTGAAGTTTTAAAAGGGGCATTCCGAGAATCGAACTCGGGACCTCTCGCACCCAAAGCGAGAATCATACCACTAGACCAAATGCCCACTTGTTGTTAATCTTTAATTAACATTATTTATTAACTATAATTATGATATAACTAAGTAAATAATCATGCATACAAAATTTGGTCACATATAGTGAAAAAAAGAATTTAATTTAATTAATTGGAGAATATATCAATATATATATATATATACATCGAGGTTGCAAGATTCCCTTTGGGGATATTTAATTAAATTAATAAATGTGGCCCTTATAAATTAAAAGTGTGTGGGAGCCATGGATTAATTGATTCAGTCTTTAAAGAATGTGTTATTTTGTCCTTTAATTTGAAAGTGAAATGACATTTACACACAAAACCACATAATAGACATCTTATATAAATTTACATATATATGATTGTCTGCACACGTGGAGATGTTTATCCTTTGGGATTTGAATTCAGTTGCTTGTCCATGGATTTATTTATTCATTTTTATAAAAATTAAATAAATTGCAAAATGATGTTATCTTGGAATGACTCTTGCCTGTGGCAGCATGCAATGCACGTGTATGCATCGTCATCATCACTTTGATCAATAATTGCTGCAGATTATTAGCTAGTAATCCAAAGGCATATTATAATATATTATATTATATAAAAGAAATATAATTATTGGGGGCAATCACAAGGCCAAAACCCCTCTTTTCTTTTCTTTAACAGAATGTGGACAAATACTTCCATCAGGATGGGACAACCTTTGACAAGAATATAAATGAATAATTTCTTCTTTTTTCAAAATATTTTATATGATAATAATAAAAAAAATATCATTAATTAAGAAAAATCACAAAAACATCGACATGTACACTCATAGTATAATCCTATAACTTCTAATCTTGATCTTGATATATCTTCTTGTTAATTTTTATCATTAATTAAGAAAAACCGCAAGAACATCAACATGTACACTCATAATATAATCCTATAACTTCTAATCTTGATCTTGATATATCTTCTTGTTAACTTTCTTAATTAGTTATTGTTGGATACCTGAATCTGATGTTTCGATGTTTGTTGTAACTTCACTGAATTGTATGGAAATTTCGTTAACCATTCAACGAGTGGGATTAGGGGCAATGTCCCAACTTGGAAGTTCAGAATTGGATCTATCTTTTTTTAGCCCAGACAGTTAAATTTGATTTGAATTATTATAAATCTGATTGTGTTCACATTCTGAAATTCTAATAAGATTCTTCTTATTCTCATCTCCTATGTGTACATAGCCAACATCTCACATAATTCTTTTTGTCAATTTTATTTTATTTTTATTATCTTTATTGAAAGTCTCGTTAACCAATCAGCAAGTGGGATTAGGGGCAACGTCCCAACTTGGAGATTCGGGAGGGCAACGTAGCCTCTAATTAGGTCTATTTTTTGAGTCCAGTCAGTTAAATTTGATTTGAATTATTATAAATATTTACTATGATGTAATTTTTTGATTGTGTTTACATTCTGAAATCCTAATAAGATTCTCTTATTTTTCTGTGTACATAGCCACCACCTTATGTAATTCTGTTTGTCATTTTTTTTTAATAATTATTTTTATTGGATTCTTCACAACAATAACGATTAAGAATTAAAATATAGGTATAGCTAGCTAGCTCAATTATTAGAGAGGTAATAGTACCATGAAAGTGTAAACCAGCACACAGCTGGGAGGGCTTGTCTTTTTCCTTGCATGTATATCTCTACTGTCATTCTCCAATTATACATACATATATATATATATATATATAAATATGTCTTAATTTCACATTCTGAGGGTAACAGAACTTCAATTCTTATTTGTAGGAATTCAATTCAATTATTGCATACTTTTTACATTCATAGGGATCACAAATTTAGTATATATGTACATATGTACCTGTGCTGTCTGTCACAATTAGTGGTGGGGAGGATGTCCCTTTTGGACTTTTCCACTTCTACTTCTACTACAATAAAAAAAATTAAATAAAATCTCGATGTGTTCTGGTTTTGTATGACACATATGGTTTGTTTAGTGTGATAGTTTGTACACTGCTAGATTCAGTCGAAAATTATTCTGAACGCACCTTAACGATAACGGTGACAGATTTTCACATTATAAAAAATATATTCCCTCCGTCTCATAATTAGGTATCTGTTTGTTTGTGCACGGAGTTTTAGAAATATTAATATTATATTGGGATGTATTACGAATAAAATATAAATGACTAAAATAACCTTATCAGAATTGTGTGATATAAATGTAATAACATTTATGTAATATATTGTAAGTTGTAAGGGTATTTGTAATATTAGGTAGATAATACAGTTACTAAAAAAATGGATACTTTGTTATGAGACGGACTAAAATGAAAAAAAATAGATAGTTTGTTATGAGACGAATGGAGTATATAACATCAAGAAGATGATACCTCTCAAGTTTTGTTGTGTGTAATGCTTAAGTGGGAACCAAGATTTCATTTCACTTTATGCTTATAACTTATTATACTCACTCCGTCCCAATACAATTGTCTTGTTTATCATTTTTGTTCGTCTCAAAATAATAGTCTCATTTTCATTAATAATCATATCGCTATAAAGCTACTCTTACTCTTTCATTATTATTACATAATTGCCACTATTTTTTACACTAATATATTCACAAGGGCAAAAAAGTTTATTTTTATCCGTATTTACTCACTACTAATATAATATTAATATTTTTTAAATCAAGTGCAAAACACAACTCAGACTGTAGTTTTGGAAACGGATGAAATATTACATTACCCCTGCCTCTTTCTATATCACCGCTCATTATTAGTTGCCCATATATATATATATATATTCTTGACCCAACACTGTCATGTCTTTATTTATTACACTTTATTTCTAAAGTATTTCTGTGTAATATACCGACAAGAAAATAGAGCCCTTGATTTTTTTTTTTTAAATTTATTTTTTAACCATAGATGAAGCTTCATGGAAGAGACTATAAGAGAGCAAAAATGGTTTAATCTTTTGTTTTTTTTTTTTTCAAGACTAGGTTTTTTACATTTATGATCTTAGGTTGTTCCCTACTGCAAAGCTGAAAGGACAAGAACAAATAACATATAAAAAATAAATTAAAAATAAAAAAAAAAAAAAAAAATGATAGCAAATAGATTATTATCTTATGGGATACAGACATGACAATGATGTCTTAATATTTTCATCTGCCATTTGGTGATAGTTCTGGAATCTTATTCCTTCAGCATTTCTACTCCTGCTTATCACTGCCTCTTTCTTCCCAGGAAACTCCCTGTGTGGATAAATAATAAATAAATAGATTGATATCAGGCTCTACAGTTTTATTTATTTTTTTAAAAATATTATCTTTCTGCCTACCTGACTTCCCTTTTGCAGTGACTTTAAAGAATCCAAATTGATTCTTTGTTATACAGTCATCCTGAAGATAGATTGAGTTTTAAGGTTGTAAGTATGGTGTAAAGGGTGATAGAATATGAAGGGAGCAATTAATTTTGAAAGTTTTTAAAAAATAAAAATTATTATTTGATTTGATGTTTTTGTAAAAAAAATATATCGATTCTTTGAAGAATGAATAGTACCTCAACATGTGCAGAGGAAAAGACCTGTGAGAAGCTTGAGAGATGATCCTGATGAGCTACATTGCCCTAAAATTAATAATTGAATCAAATTAAACAAAATTTCATTACACAACCCTCAATCAAGATTCCTTTTATTTTTTTCTTATTACAAAATTCAAACTTGCCTGTGATAATTGACAGATTGGTGAGCTGGCAGTGTCATCATCAAGGCAGCTCAAACTCTGCCTCTTCTTACACTTGATTAATCCTTCTTTAGTTCTACTCATCTTCTCCTGCTTGTTCTTCATTTTCTGATTCTCAAAGGCACAGTCTTGATTATGATGAAGATACTCTTGGAATTGCTGCGGCGGCGGCGGCCCCGACGACGCGTCCGAAACCATCGAAAGATCCTCATCATCATCATAATCATCGTCGATATACACTCCCTTTTCGTCGACAAATCCCCTGCTTCTACTATTATTATTGTTATAAGGATCTCCGCAATTTGAGAAATGATTGAGGTACCTCGTCCACCCCGATTCGCAGCCGCTGCTGCATTCGGAACCCGATAGGTTCATCAGACTGTATGTATTGTAAGAATTCAAGAATGGTTTTTTTTTTTTTTTTTTTCTTGTAAAGTAGGATTGATAATTCTTGAGGTTATGAGAAGACTTGGTGATGTGTATAGCCTCTTTTACCTTTATTTGCATCTATTTATAATGAGGATAGAAGGGAAAGAGTAGGGTGGGTGGGTGGGTGGGATGGGGGTGGGGGTGTTAAAGGGACATGAAGCCAAATGAATCACATTCAAATCATAGACTATATTTTGTCCTTTGGCTCTATCCTTTTCCCCCCAAAAATTATACATATCTCTTTCGAGAAGAATCAAACTTGCCAGTTGTCCCGGTCGATGTGGGCCGGAAAAGGCCCGGCGATCGACAAATTTCGGTATATGTTAGTGCTTCTTTACTAATCCGAACTTTTTTTTCATTTTTTTTTTTACTACCAGGTAAATATTGCAGAAATTAGTAAATCAAAAACTAAAAAGAACACTGTACTGGTAAGTTTTGGTATAAATTAAAGAGAATACATCAAGTATATGTAAAAGTGTAGGTCAAATTTTTAATTTCATATTACCTCTCTTACATTTCATAACACATCAGTAAAATCGTCTACCGTTAAATTACTTTATGGCCCTTAACTTAATGGATTTGTCGCCAAAATTTTCAAAGATTCGAATGAGGAACACAAATACGAATACGGACACGAACATAAGCACGAGCACAAACATGACCAAGAAACATAAAGAAGTGGTGAGGAAGAAGCTTTTGGTCAGGTTTAGACACAACAAGAATTAAGATAAAGTGGTAAGATTGTCCCCAAATAAAACTAGCTATTATTATTATTAATATTATTACATATGATTTGTAGGTAAGAGATTCATATCATTGGCCAACTAAAGTATACCTTTTGTTCTTTGTTGTCCTAACCTTTTTTGACTTTCCCAACACTTTCACTTGTTTAAAAGTGACATGTTTGCATTTCCCTACAATTAATTAAGTACTACTACTACTACTACTACCACCACTACTACTTTAAAATTAGCATGCTTTAGGTGTACATACCATACCTTAATATTTATTTAATTAATTAAATGTCCTTTTTTGTTATTGTTTATTCATTTATCTATTATTTATTTATTTATTTATTTACTTACATTAGAAATAAATGGTGTGAGGAGAACGACAAGAACGTGCACAAGCTACCCTTTTTGAAAAATTTTCTACAAGAGTTTTTTCACTAACTTTAATTTTTGTTTGTTAGTAGGTTTCTATCGACGTTTTCAACCTCGAAGGCTACCTAAATGGCCATTTGAAAATAGTAAAGAAAATTGTAAAGAAAATTTCACACCTTATGAACTCCACTAGTTTGAGATTTTTTTTAAATAAGTCCAAAAATAAATCCGTACGGACTCAGCTCAAAATAGACAATATTATATTATGCAAAATAAAAGTAAACTAAAATACTTCGAATCACAATAATTAAAAGCCTAGCTCAAAAGTGAATTTATGTATTTGATCATCAACTTCATATAATATATATTCCATTAGATTCATTGATAATTAGTTATAGGGGTTAACAAGCTCTAAGCGAATTCCGGATTTTATAAAGAAAAAGTTCCTTCATAAATCATCCAATTTTTTTGTTGTAATGAACACCAAAATGATATATGTATATATATATATATATAAATTTAATGTAAAATACGAAAACAAGAGCAAACACATATTTTAAATTTTCCTTGAAAAAAAAAAAAAGAAGAAGATATAGTAATAAAAGAAAGAAAGAAAGAAAGAAATGAGCAGAAGGTTGGATATGAAAATAGTTTCATGAAAATGGTGATGGGGCATATCATATATATACATCAATATGGTTAATGTGGTCCTATTCCCATTTGTCCTCATTTTCATTTAAATAAATAAATAAATAAATATAAATTGGTTGTTTAAATAAGAATCATCTATTTTTGAATCAAAACTGTTGGAATAAATAAAGATTGACAAACACAAACTAGATCCATAACTTAGAAAATTTGATTTTGATTTGATCTTTCGACAAATCGCAATTGGCAGTTCGAACAATTTGGGCAAGACATAATACATTCGTTCCCTTTTATTTTTTGTTTGAACTAATCTAGCACCACACGTCCAGCTGAGATGCAAACTTAAGTCTCATATTGTAAAATCAGATAAAATAAAAAAAGAAATAAAAAGAAAAAATTCACACCTAATAAGTCGTCTCATATATAATTCCCTTAATATGAGATCTTTTCGAAAAGTTCAAAAACAAATACATACAAGTTGGCGCAAAATAGACAATATCATGAGTTAACTTAGTTCTCACGTTTAGTTGGTGAAGTAGATTTGACTAGATGGAACTGGACATTGTTGCGATGCAAATTAAATCCTTAAAAAAATAGAAAAAAATAAAAGGAAAAATCCACACCTTATACCGTTTCACATATAACTTCACTAGTCCGATGCCTTTTAAAGAAAATAATAATAATAATAATAATAATATATATATATATATATTTTAACAACTCATTCTGCATTGAAATTGAAATAGAAATTAGGGTGTAGGGTATGCAATGCATGCAATAATAGAGAGAGATATCTTATGAGCAATAAATGTGAGAGTGGACCAAACAAAAATACACCACACAATACATATATATATATATATAGAGAGAGAGAGGGGGGGTTCCGGAGGAGCTTACTCATTTTGTGTTACAGATGACTCGCCTAGTGTAACTTGCTTTGTTAGATTTAATTTAAAAATTATTAAATTTCAATTGAAATTTATCCAAAACGTACCAAAAAATTACAGTTGCGAATTTCCACATTATATTAAAAAAAAAAAAAAAAAAAAGGTTGAGTTGACAGGCTATTTGTACCCAAGTGCTTGTTTCCTCACTTATATGCAATTCAATATCATTACACACACATACACACACGTGTCTCTCTGTATTATTTATTTATTTATTTATTTTCTTTTTAATTTGTTGTTTATATATATATATATACTTGTTTTCCAGCTATTTACCATATATCACTTAATTTTGGAAAACAAAAAAAAGTACACACACTCCGGATCCAATGTAAATTATTTAAAATGTATTTTTTTAAAGTTTATAATTATTATTTAAAAAAAAATAAAATAAAATAGAATAATTATTTGAATGTATTTTTTATAAGATAAAAAGAATATATATATATTTTTTATAAAGAATCATAATGACAAAATGAACTAAACTTTGAAAGAACAAAACATTTTTAATAAGAATTTGTTTAAGGTAATAAAATTGAAAATAAATTAAAATTTTGAATGACAATTATTATACTAATAAACAAGTAATACACACACAAGTAAACAAAAAACTTAGTTCATGTTCCTTTGAATTTGGATTGCAAAATTTTGGTTTATATTTTATATTTAAATAATATTTAATATTACAAATTGTTAAAGAAAAAAAGAAATATATATATACATTGGAAACAAAGAGTCCCAATAATAATAATTTTTTTATATTATATTAAAAATTAATTTTATATTCAAAACATCCAACTTTTATCTATATTATATCTAACAACTATTCAAATTTAAAATTTTACAATTTAAAATCCAAACCCCAAACAAACAAGACTTTTTGCCAAATAAACACATTATACCAATAAAGTTGCCATTAGATTTAAAAAAAAAAAAAAAAATTCAAAATTGAAATATTTTATACCACACAATCATATAGCTACATTATTTGATTACAAATTTTAATATAATAACAACCAAGATTATATATAATAATTTTATATTCTTTTCTAATTCCACTATATATATATATATATATGAAAAAATAGTGTTTCTTTAGCAAAAGTTTCTAAATCTTACTATTTAAATTCCATATATTTATTTTATTTTTTTTTTATAAAATATCATATTAAATATTATTTAAATAAAATAATTAAATCAAGTCTTATCGATTCAAACCCAAAAAGACACACAAGCATGCATGCATGGACGTTGAAATTTGAAACCTTTGGAAGGATATTTTATTGCAAGTTGGAATTAGAATAAGGTACTTATTTATTTATCGATTTATCATCATCATCCTCATTATTTATTATTATTATTATTTTTATTTTATTTTATTTTATTTTATTTTATATTTATTTATTTATTATTATTGGAGTGTCACTTTCAAACAGTGAAAATAAAAAACAGTGAAATGTAAGGCAGCCAAAATGCCATCCATTTATGGGATTGTACTGTCTTCCTTCTTCATTGGCCTTTATGGTGTTAATTATGACACTTTTTGGCATTGGTTGTTTTCAATATCAATAATTAAATCAAAATAATATACATATTATAATTAACATTAAATAATATAAAAATTTGGCATTATACGATATTATATTAATGATTTGAAATGATATTTTATGATAAAAAACAATATTATTCTCATAAAAAAATTATAAAAATTAAATAGTAAAAAAATAAATATGTTATAATAAATTAGCTAGCACCTTACAAAAATTTCAAAAGGCCATCCATTTTGAAGTCACCGTAGACCAAGCATGTTTAATACTTCTTGACACGTAGATTTAAAAAAATAAATATTTTATTCAAAAATAATAAAAGTAAAAAAGTAATTGAGGTAATTTTTAAAAATTAGAGTTTGTTTCTTTAGCCCAAATTTGGGTATTTTTACTGGGCAAATAGCAACAGTTTGGGGAACAAAGTCCGAAAAGGTTTCCTCCCTTTTTTTTAAAAAATAAGATAATAAAAGTTTTAAAATTATAAATATAAAAAAATTATAATAATTATAATTGAATAAAATATATACAATATATAAATTATTTTGTAGAGAATAAATTTTTTTGTAATATAAATTTATAAACATATATGTATATTTATATATTTTATACAAATTAATACACATTTATATTAATATGGGTCTGTTGTCCACAATTTGGCCGACCCAGATGCAACAAATTTGACTTTATTTTTTTATTTTTATTTTTTAAAATTAAAATATATGTGTGTTTCTTTTGGTTGAGTTAGAGAAATTTTAGTTTTACTTTGGTATTAAAATAATATTTGATGTAATGTTTTGTGAGAGGAAAAAATATTTT